ATGCTTGCTCGTCGTTGCTCGTTATTCTATCGCTCGGCTGTAGCTGCTGGCGGGAGCTGGCACTCAGGGTAGAATGACTTTGAGCGATACTTCATCTGTCAGCTCTAAACTCGCGTTTGGGTGACACGTCGCTACTCGGCAAGTCTCCCCATCGATGGTTGACTGCAGAGTCTCATCCCTCTTCTGTCGCTCGCCGAGCTGTCCCTTGCCGAGCTGTCCCTTGCCGAGCTGAACTGCGTGTGTCGTGTTGCTGTTTATATCCGAAAAATCTCCCCTCTGCGCGTCTCCTGCGAGAGAAAAAGAAACCAGATGCTTACTCCGTCATGCTCTTCTCCCCCCGCGGCCGCGCCTGATTGCCCCCCTCCCCTCTCCTCTTGGTGACCCCGGGCGGGCTGCTTTACATCAAATTGGTGTTTGTTTGAACTCCCAACCCCTCTCTTCGTGGTGTCTGTTAAGGGAGGGGACGCACCTTACATATGTATTTATGGCTACCATGTGTTTGTGTCAAATTGTTGGAAGACAAAGGCGGCCGGGGAGGCTCTGATTTCATGGAATACATTTATCTGGTCTTGTGTGTTTGACCTATTTTCTTGTACCTCTAATGAGTTACCCCAGGTCTAATCTCTTGTGATTATTATTTGGTTTATGTTTTGCCAAGATTTGTAATGTACCATTAGATGTTACCTCCGGTATTTCAAGGGTTTGCCAAGCTTTGTTATAAGTCTGTGTCACCAGGGATCGGTGTTTTATTCTCGAGTTATATTTTGATATCCCGAGGCTGGAGATATAACCAAGCCCTCACTTTCTTGACTGCCAGAATTCACATTCTTTGGTTCTCTTGGTGAAGTTACATAGATAGAAATATACAATAAGAAACAATATATGAGTTGAATAATGGTGAAATAAAATAAGTAACAATAAAGCCACTAATATAGACTGCAGTCTATCATGTCGACTTATTCTTATAGCCAAGCTTCAACTTTTTCTGGACAAAAAAATATCAGTTATAATGTCCGTTTGCCCTGTGTTCTGTGTCCGTGCCTGTGATTCTGGATATTTGTTTGTGAACTGTCCAAAGCGCCAAGCAGGTTATGGCATGCGGTCCTTTGGCAATCTGGAGATTTTGCAGATCGTGGTTAACCTCCCTTTGCCCCGGAGTTTATTATTTAATGGACTTTTACGACCTCCAGATGCTTGGTGCTTGTGGGAGGTAGCGGGTTTCAGGGTGTTTTATTTATTTATTTGATCGATTATTATTTAAAAAAATATTGGCAAAATTATTATTAATATCAATTTTGGAAAAAGGCCTATATATACAACAACACACCGTGTCGGTCATGGGGTTTGTTTGACCATACTTCACCATGCCGGTCAATGCAGGTTGGCAAAGGGGGGGATGTCCAGGGCTAGTTCATATATCTGATATTAGCTGTGGCTGGGCGTCAAACTCAGGCGCCTCTGGGTTTATATAGTAGTGCGCTATCCAAAGCGTCACTGTTCCCTATTCCCCGATTACAGTATATACAGAAAGTGGTATTGAAACAAACATTTTTAATTGATACTCGACTAGCCTCTGTATTTGACAGGCGCAGAGATGTTCTTTTACATCTTCGATCGTGCCACAATTGAGCACTTAAACCCGGAGATTTCGCGAGCGAGAGAAAACAAAGAATTATCCGAACCTGTCCACTCGTGAGCCGCAGTGAAATCAGAGCGCGGGTTGGGTGGCTTGGGCGCTCGGCACGGGAGACCGGCCGTTTGAGAAGTGAGTGTCTTCCCAGACACTTTGAGAAGTGTCCTCCCAGACACTTTGAGAAGTGAGTGTCTTCCCAGACACTGTGAGAAGTGAGTGTCTTCCCAGACACTTTGAGAAGTGAGTGTCTTCCCAGACACTGTGAGAAGTGAGTGTCCTCCCAGACACTTTGAGAAGTGAGTGTCTTCCCAGACACTTTGAGAAGTGAGTGTCTTCCCAGACACTGTGAGAAGTGAGTGTCTTCCCAGACACTTTGAGAAGTGAGTGTCTTCCCAGACACTGTGAGAAGTGAGTGTCTTCCCAGACACTTTGAGAAGTGAGTGTCTTCCCAGACACTGTGAGAAGTGAATGTCTTCCCAGACACTGTGAGAAGTGAGTGTCTTCCCAGACACTCTGAGAAGTGAGTGTCTTCCCAGACACTCTGAGAAGTGAGTGTCTTCCCAGACACTGTGAGAAGTGAGTGTCTTCCCAGACACTCTGAGAAGTGAGTGTCTTCCCAGACACTTTGAGAAGTGAGTGTCTTCCCAGACACTTTTAGAAGTGAGTGTCTTCCCAGACACTGTGAGAAGTGAGTGTCTTCCCAGACACTCTGAGAAGTGAGTGTCTTCCCAGACACTCTGAGAAGTGAGTGTCTTCCCAGACACTGTGAGAAGTGAGTGTCTTCCCAGACACTTTGAGAAGTGAGTGTCTTCCCAGACACTGTGAGAAGTGAGTGTCTTCCCAGACACTGTGAGAAGTGAGTGTCTTCCCAGACACTTTGAGAAGTGACTGTCTTCCCAGACACTTTGAGAAGTGAGTGTCTTCCCAGACACTGTGAGAAGTGAGTGTCTTCCCAGACACTTTGAGAAGTGAGTGTCTTCCCAGACACTGTGAGAAGTGAGTGTCTTCCCAGACACTGTGAGAAGTGAGTGTCTTCCCAGACACTTTGAGAAGTGACTGTCTTCCCAGACACTTTGAGAAGTGAGTGTCTTCCCAGACACTGTGAGAAGTGAGTGTCTTCCCAGACACTGTGAGAAGTGAGTGTCCTCCCAGACACTTTGAGAAGTGAGTGTCTTCCCAGACACTTTGAGAAGTGAGTGTCTTCCCAGACACTGTGAGAAGTGAGTGTCTTCCCAGACACTTTGAGAAGTGAGTGTCTTCCCAGACACTGTGAGAAGTGAGTGTCTTCCCAGACACTTTGAGAAGTGAGTGTCTTCCCAGACACTGTGAGAAGTGAATGTCTTCCCAGACACTGTGAGAAGTGAGTGTCTTCCCAGACACTCTGAGAAGTGAGTGTCTTCCCAGACACTCTGAGAAGTGAGTGTCTTCCCAGACACTGTGAGAAGTGAGTGTCTTCCCAGACACTCTGAGAAGTGAGTGTCTTCCCAGACACTTTGAGAAGTGAGTGTCTTCCCAGACACTTTTAGAAGTGAGTGTCTTCCCAGACACTGTGAGAAGTGAGTGTCTTCCCAGACACTCTGAGAAGTGAGTGTCTTCCCAGACACTCTGAGAAGTGAGTGTCTTCCCAGACACTGTGAGAAGTGAGTGTCTTCCCAGACACTTTGAGAAGTGAGTGTCTTCCCAGACACTGTGAGAAGTGAGTGTCTTCCCAGACACTGTGAGAAGTGAGTGTCTTCCCAGACACTGTGAGAAGTGAGTGTCTTCCTAGACACTGTGAGAAGTGAGTGTCTTCCCAGACACTTTGAGAAGTGAGTGTCCTCCCAGACACTTTGAGAAGTGAGTGTCTTCCCAGACACTGTGAGAAGTGAGTGTCTTCCCAGACACTGTGAGAAGTGAGTGTCTTCCCAGACACTTTGAGAAGTGACTGTCTTCCCAGACACTTTGAGAAGTGAGTGTCTTTCCAGACACTGTGAGAAGTGAGTGTCTTCCCAGACACTTTGAGAAGTGAGTGTCTTCCCAGACACTGTGAGAAGTGAGTGTCTTCCCAGACACTGTGAGAAGTGAGTGTCTTCCCAGACACTTTGAGAAGTGAGTGTCTTCCCAGACACTGTGAGAAGTGAGTGTCTTTCCAGACACTTCTCAAAGTGTCCTCCCAGACACTTTGAGAAGTGAGTGCCTTCCCAGACACTTTGAGAAGTGTCCTCCCAGACACTTTGAGAAGTGAGTGTCTTCCCAGACACTTTGAGAAGTGAGTGTCTTCCCAGACACTCTGAGAAGTGAGTGTCTTCCCAGACACTGTGAGAAGTGAGTGTCTTCCCAGACACTTTGAGAAGTGACTGTCTTCCCAGACACTTTGAGAAGTGAGTGTCTTCCCAGAAAGGCAGCTGCCACGTGTCGTCAGGGATCACGGTCTGCGGGGCTTCGCGGTTCTCCCCCATTTTTTGTTTTATCCTCCAAGAGTAGCGTAGCTGTTGAAAGCTTCGGCCAAATTTCACGCACCTGTGCGGCGTATTAACCAGTGGATACACCTAAGGTTCGTACAGTTACAACAGCAGTTTCTTCAATATCAGAATCTTTATTTCGACTCGAGGAATCTGATGAGCTATAAAGCTTTTCCCACACATGTCCAGTAGGGGCGGGTCAGAACGTTACTACAATAAACAATTAAAAAAACACGACCGGAGTGCAAAGTATAGGAAAGGTAAACAAATCACTTAACAAAAATACTGTAATAAAAGTAAACAATTTCTTTTTTTATCTTACCAGGTAAAGCCCACTGAGCTATCAGCTTCTTTGTCGGAAGCTACCTGGCCACTAATGATAGCTCAACGGAGTCGCTTACCACGTGTCAATTTAGAGCAGCAAATAATGTAAATGAATCAAAACGCATGTTTCAATAATCCCCCACAGCTTTACTCTTAACTGCAAACGAATGTACAATAGTTGAATCGGTATGCCAGAGCCTCACTCCAACGTCAGTTTTCACAAAGTCAACAACTGTGCTTTGTCAAATATATGACTTGGGCTCGTTTTTTGAAAAAGTGAAATTGCATCCAATTGCTATTGACAATCCAAAAAGAATGTGCAATTGTTAGCGAGAAAGACCTCTTTGAGTTGTGGCCAGTCCTAGATCGACTCAGCCTGAAATGAGTACTTGCTGAAATATTGTAAACATTGGGGAGACAAAGGCGGCCAGGTGTGGTGCTACCGAAACCGCACCCTCGTGTACTGTGTTGTCCTTCATAAGTGCTCGCTAACAGCACTTGCCCCAACAGTCTGTTGAAGCTGTAGGGGGGGCGGGTTCTTTGTCTCTGTTCATGTGTTCATGTATGTGCGTGCACGTGTGTGTGTGTTGTGACCCCCACAGGGAGACATCCAACAGCTGCTGTTTGTGGCCGACCCACGCGCCGCCTTCGACTACTGTAGTCACTACAGCCCGGACTGCGACCAGCCCCTGCCAGAGCTGCCCCAGTCCCAGGATCCAGACCTTGACGAGGTCAGCCTTCGGACGCTTGCTCATCTCGTAATCAACGTCGCCGTCATTTATCGTTCATACCGCGCCTCCCGTACGCAATTCAAATCTGTGAACGGTGGGAAAATCTCATCGCAGCGGAAATTTTTGTTTGTTTTTGCGGCTGTGGTCGTGGGCCTCTCTCCTGCTGCTAAATCTCACTGCCTTCCATGCGGTACAACATCTCGAGGCACTAGAACAAATGGGTATTTGAGGTAATTGCTCAGCAGGGAAGTGACAGCAGGCCGAATATGGCACTGTGTTCAACGTAATGCAACACAGGCAATTTACACAACAAATGAGAATAATCGGCCAGGTGGTAGCTTAGTGTGAGAGGGAGGGGCTCTCAACCAAAGGTTGAGAGTTCAAACCATGATTTAAAGCTTTCCTGACTGCAGGGATTCATATTCTTGGTTCTTTCGGTAAATTCACGTAGAAGGGAGAAACAATAAAATAATAATAATAAAAAAAGTAGATATAAAACAATAATGATTTTTTTTGTTTTATATTTTTTATTTTATTTTATTGTTTCCCTTCTACGTTACTTTATCGAAAGAACCAAGAATATAGTTCAAACCCTGTTTAGTGGGTGGACTCAGCCTTTCATTCCTCCGGGGTTAATAAGGGGGATGTCAACCTTGGTTGTCCTAAAGGTATATTCGCACCCCCATATCGAAATTGGGGATTTCCGTCACTGGCTCAGGGCATCAATGCTCAATCGAGCAGGAAATCACTTTGGCTTCGACTTAAACTCGAAATTATTAATATACGTTGAACACGAAAAAGCCTTAGGATTGTTGCAACTTCATGATGATTGTCTTATTTTGCCTCTCTCGCTCCAAAGTAGCATTTCGTCAGCGATTATTGATCATCCTGTGTCGTGTCATCATAGTAGCATGCCAAATGCACCCTATCTCTCATTTCTAACTGTGTTATACGTGTGTTATGGTCACCGCATATGCACTTAAGACATGGCATCCAACACAAGTGGGCCATGTCCACAACATAAACCTTTATCGTCTTGAGAACATTGGGCGACCGGATTTACACAGCACCACGACTGAGCCAATGCCTCAATGGTGAACGATAACCCATCCATCTAACCGGGAAATGTGTTGTAAATGGGAACAACCAAAATTAGTGGTGAAAATGTTGAGGGTGCATTTTATATTAACCTTGACACATCATTTAGTCAAGCTGAATAACAACAACAAAACATTTTTTTCAATGAAATCTTGGCATGCGCCCGACTGCCTATAATCATGCTGATTCATATGAACGATTCAGTGCTCTTGCAAGGTACGCTGGGGGCAATCCTGAACATTTCTGCTCTTGCTGCGTGGGTTTCATCAATTGCTTACATTCTTGACTAATAAACTGTCAGTACGATGCATTTCGGAGCTGTGGAGTGACGGTCAGCTCACTGGACTTGCAATCCCGAGCTCACGCGGTTCGATTCCATCTTCCAGTGCGGCGGTCGAAACAACGGCGCAAGTTTCTCAAATCTTCCCACTGCTGTCCACGCAGCCGTGGGAGCGAATGGGTGCAGCCACAGTTTGGTCGATCGGCAAGCCGCACGCGGTGGGGTTAAGCGTGGGGACGCACACCTCTTCCGACACGTCCGGTGAACGTGGAATATTTATACCAAACATTCCCGAGCGGTCATTCTATTTGGGAGGCCTTTCGGCCAGCAGTGGCGTGCACCGAGCCGAACGCAGGGAGCTCCACCTTTAATAATGCAGTTCGGTGGGGGTTTTATATTTTTCAGAGCAATAAAGAAAAATCCCCGCCAAAGTATTTCTTGCAAGTTGTATTATTAAGAGTCGTTGTATGGGGAAGAGTGAGCTCAAGGTATAAAATAAAAACCCACCCCGTACATCATGCAGTTTTATTGCTTAGAATGTAAGCACTGGTTCTCATGAATAAGATCACGAGTGGTCTACCTCTCGCGTTACCCGATGTCCGTGTTGAGCGGGTTTTCCGGATTCTTTATTGGGTGATGTTCTCGTTGGCTGCAACCTTTCCACTGCCCTGTTTCTCTCACTGTCCTCCTGACCTGTAGTACAGCGATGGAGGGTCGCCCGCCTATGACTATGATTACACACACTCGCTCAATAACCACACCGGGTTTGGGCCGCCGGAGGGCCTACAACCTACGGCAGGCAGCCCAAGCGGGCCTGGACAGGTAAACACAATAACAGCTCGCACAGGTGTTGACCTGAATGTTTCATTTGCTGGGGGTGTTTTGGTTAATTTGCCACCATTACGAAATTCTATCGCTTCTAACGTATAACAGCTACTATTGGCAACTGGTCAACTCAGGGCTTACAATAACTGAGGGTACGCCACCACGTTACTGTGTCGTTCCGTGTCGTGCAGCTGCATGATTTCGAGCGAAGTCCGCTGGCACGACGCGTCGTTGAGGTGTTGGACCCAGCTTTAGGCTCTCTGTAAAACTTCCACTTTCACGGAATTGTCTGACGTATTTACGAATTGACTTTCTGCCCGGCACAAGAGAACACCTTTGAATTCGCCATGAATTGCACAGCGATTGGAGTGTAACTCTGCTGAAGTGCCACTCTGGCTGTCGTGGCAAGAACGGCGTAGTTGAAAACAGTAAGCTCTGAGGAGTGCCAGCCGCGCTGCGTGATGGCGAATGGATCGTCGCAGGTAGATTTTTATACTCTCAGTGGTAATCAAACGAAGCATCGGTAGGGGTAGAACGGTCTATGAATTCGTCGGTTAGCATTGTTCACCGTACATGCACGCGTGCAAGAATCAATGTCTTTTGCAGGCGGTCTGCAGCATTGCGTTTAACAGGATTTGTGTCACCCTTCCAGCCACAAGAGGCGTTATAATTCACTGCAACAGAAAACAAAAAGCATAGATTGTTGGATCGAATTGAGACGCTGAATTGCCACAAATAGCGTTGGCCAGGCGTTTCAAAAGCAGAACCCTCATATAAAAGTCTTCAGACTCACGAAGGATTTGCTGGATAAATAATTACTGCATTTTCAAATTCAGGTACAGATATGCACCAATACACGTTAATTTGATTAATGATGCTTTCTCCTTACATTTGTCATAAGTTAGCAACTTTTTTCGGTTTACATCTCATTTGATAAATTTTTACATTATTTTCATTTCTAAGTTATATACGTTTTTGATGTAAAATAAACCCAAATGCCGACAGTAAATGCACGTGTCGTTTGTCCGTGGGTGCATTTTGTACGATTCCAGGCCGTTTGCCTGGCCGCCGCATTCCGTCGCCTCACCACTCGTTTACAATCCAAGCCGTGTCCACATCGCGCTGGCCTTTCGCAATTGTTTTCTTAATCGGCACCTGCGGAAAGTTGAATGCGACACATTCACTGTCGTGGGGTTCACTCCCCATTGGCGTGCGGCGGACGGTTCCGAAGTGTCGCCCGATCATACCACGTGTCGCCCGTCCGGCCGCGTCGACTCGGTCCCCGAACGAGCTCCCGCCGGCACATAGCGCGAAAGCCACAAGCGGCACCCACCCTTCGTGGCGACTTCCGCCGAACGCCGTTGACGTTGACGCGCGGACGCGCTTGCCCTAGGAGCCCACCGGCGCGGAGGCGGAAGGCCCGAGCGAGGGCGAGAAGGAGGACCCCTCGAAGTACTACACGATGACGGACTATGACAACACCCTGACCGAGGACGTGGTGCCGGAGAGCCCCGAGCCCTCCGTGTCAACGGTCTACGCCGTGGACAGCAACTTCACAGAGGTGGCCCCCAACTCCCCCACCCCGACACCGCCCCCTTTGCCATTCACTATCAGGGTTGAACCTGGATAGAGTTGGATGGGTAATGCCATGCATGGCAGGTGTCCATAATAAAGGTTATATTTTGGGGGGGTTAGATGGCATATATATATAAATATGTCGTTAAACTCCTCACCACCCAACATAGTCGATGGGTAAGGTTTGTCAGCACACCGGTGTGTTGGAGAGTAAACCCATAAGATTTACAATTCGAGCATGACATTTCACCGGTAATTACAACCAGCTGCATCAGGCGACGGCCAGAATTGTGAATAAATCCTCCTGTTTCGGTCTTAAATAGAGGGAGTAAAAGTGATGTCACCTCTCTGCGTCTATCAGGTGCGAAGATCAGAGAGGGGTTAATACAGAATAGTCATATACGTTACAATGGATCACGTTAATTAGAGAATATGCCATACCTATCATTGGTTAGGTTATTCACAGTTAATCAACAAACATAATATTGGTCGCAAAAGCCTACGTGTTAAACATAGCAGGTGTTGCAGACCGTGGTGCGAGGGAGCGTAGGGCAGTGCCGCAAGGCCCTTTGCTGTACTGTATGATACTCGCACGTGCGTCTATACTGCCCGCTTCTACCGGTTCGCACTGACCGGCATGGTGAAGTATGGTCAGATAAATCCCCACGACCCACCTGGTGTGCAGACGCCCTCATCCAGCAGTAGATTGACAAAAGGACTGTACGTTTGCATGGGACGATTTGCAGAGCTTGGAGGAATGCTGTCAAGCGTTCAGAGAAAAAGGTCTATTGAAGTGACTTCGGTGGTAGTTCGGTAGTGTCAATTTCTGGAGCCATTCGAGGGCATGTAATTGCTCAGTTGACTGGATGAGTTCCAGAAGGATGTATATGTTAGCCTATGACATGACTACGATAATACAATTGAGATGTAAAAAAATTAACAACACCTTACTGGTTTTCTCTACCTCCCAAACATAATCCCACCATCTTTTCCATAATTGCAAAGTGCAGCATATTGCAGAATTTTTGAACTCTGGGTCATGGACACTTAGCCCTAATTTCCCACTCTCTCGGATTTTAATCGTTTCGGCCTGTGCACCGTAAATTATTTGACCGATGGCCCTGTTGTTTTTTTACGAGGAATAATGATAAAAAATACTTTCGAAATGTACCCGTCGTTTTCTACCAAGTACTTCGTTTGGAACTGGATGTGTATGCCATGATCACATGTAAATCTCCAAGCTTTTATTTCCTTGAGGTTAATTTTTCTTTTACTTTAGCTCGTGATGCAACGACAAACGATTAAGCCGTGTTTCGTGCTAACTGGCAGCCAGTGGTACTCGAGCAACAGTGTACAACAGGCCACAGAGCCTCCTGAATTTGCAGTGCGGTGGTCATTTGGCACGTGACGAGCACGTCGCTGGTGAGGTCCCTTAGGCTGCGCGAGTTTAAGTGTCGTTGGCCGCCACTGATGGTGCTAGTGGCACATTCGTCCGAAACAGGAGGATTTCTCCACAGATCTGGCTGTCACCTGATGAAGCTAAGTGTAATTACTGGAGTAACGTCATACTCAGATTGTAAATGTTGTGGATTTGCTCTCCAACACACCGGTGTTGCTGTACTAGTGACGAATTGGCATGTTCTGTTTACGTGACAAACCTTACTAATTGGCTGTGTCGGGTGGTGGCGGGTTTAACGACACATCTATATTTACGTGATCTAACCCCAAAAAAACCCCTCTATTATGGATGATATTGGTCGCGAAGCCTACGTGTTAAACTTGTCCGTTTTTATTAGCCAGTAGCTGTGGACAGGGATCTATCTGTACGACACGCACACTCGTGATGGTTTGATGTGCAGCAGTAAGAGTAACAAGCCTGACCTTGCCAATGAGACCCAGAAGGTTGAAACTGGTCCCGAAGTTGCCTGCTTAAATAAATGGTGCTTGATAATGTTGGCGTGCAAAGCCAATAGGCTGATGGGACAAAATAACATTTTTGATCAGCTATGGGTTAGGTTTTCACATTTTTGATGCTATGCAGCTCCCCGATGTGTGATCATACTATCGTGTTGTTCGGCACGATGTACGACGTTTCGCTGCACGTGTTTGGGGCGGCGTCTTCGGATCCTTCAACAGTCAATTCGGTCGCGGTCGGAGCCGCACGCGGTACAGCCACGGAGCCGCAATCGGGGAGGCCCCCCCCCCTCCCCCCCCCCCCGTCGGATTCGCAGGACGTACAGAAACGTGGACGTTTGCTTTTTTGGTGCGCTCGATCGATTCCACAGGGCGACAATGACGAGTTCACTGAAGAGTACGTGACGGGCGAGGACAACTTCCTGGACAAGGAGACGCAGGACTACGGGGACAAGGAGTACCTGGACTACGATTATGAGGACAAGTCGGCAGCCGGGGCGGCCGGGGGGGCCGGGTCGGAAGAGCGCGGCGAGGGGGAGAGAGAGGGAGCGCAGAGCCGAGAATACGGCCCAGCCCTTTCCGGAGACGCCAACTCAGGGGTAACTACAATTGTATCCCGGCATAAAGGAGCAATGGAAAGTAATCAGCGTGGGGATTATGTTTAATCGCTGAATGTTAACAGGATTTTGGAAGGCACAGATGCTTACGTGTGTTTCGTGAGTCTAGCGGTTAGAGCGCTGCTCTGTGAACCTGGCGGAGCCGCGTTCGGTTCCCGCTCACGACCAATAACAGTGACGAATATTTGAACCGGTCCTGGGACTCCCCTAAATAGACTCAGCATCAAATGAGCACCTGGTGCGATGTGTAAACATCGGAACAAGGGAGACAAAGGCAGCCGAGCGTGGTGCTGGCCACCCACCCCCTCGTGTGCCGTGCAGGCCTTCATTGGTGCTCGCTAACAGCACTTGCCCCAAAAGTCTGTTATGGCCAAACAGGGGGTCTTCAGACTGCCCTCGTGCATTGGTTTTTATTGTATTAGATCCTTTGAAAAAGTTGCCCAATTTGGAACAGGATTTTTACAGCATGTTAATAAGCATTGACTATGTGATTGCCACTCTCTCGGCAAGTGTTCGCGGTAGTTTTACGTAACATTATCCTGAGATTAGCTCGTTTGCCCGAAGACAAAGTTACGCGTGAACTTCCAAAGATAACATCGCTAACTCTATTTCTAGCAGCTGCGGATTATTCACAATTCAAATGTGCTCCTCCCTGGACATAAGTAAAAGTTAAAGGTGCATCCCTACAATTCCTTGCTTACGCCACTGCCGGTGCAAGTGCCGGGATTCCATGGAGTTCCAGAGAGCCGCACTACACCGGCTCTTTGGCCTACTCTTCCATGCTGGCCAGATGTCTTTGAAGAGCTGGGAATACCCACACTTGACCCCACCGCGCTTCTGGGAATTTAACCTGAAATTGTGTGCGTGTGTCTGTGCGCCAAAGTAATCCACAAAAAATACCGGTATCCGCCGTTTGAACAAACGTTCAAAGGATCCGAGATCTGCTTGTGGTGAAAGAAAAAAAAAGCCAACTTTTTTGGTCACTACCGGCAAGGCACAGTTAGACTTTGACAGCGTAAGCCGTGCACAGAGAATGCAACACCTGTTGTCGGCGGACTGACATTTTGCCTCTGTTTATTTTTACAATGAAGGGCGGTGGAATCAAGGGTGAGAAGGGAGAGAAAGGCGAGCCTGCCATCATTGAGCCAGTAAGTGCGGTTTTTTTAAAACGTTTTTTTTGTTATTTCTGCTGTTGGGCTGCGTCGCTACCACAGCTCCAACGTCCGTTTTGTTTTGCCGATCGGCGACAAGGAAGAGCAACAAGGCAAAGGTGATGAGCGCATCATGAACCCAATTGATTTGCCCTCGGCCCCGTTTGTGCATTTCTCTTCCGCAGGGCATGTTGCTGATGGGGCCCCCCGGCTACGAAGGCCCTGCCGTGAGTGCTGCCAACACCTCTCTCTGTCGTTGTTGTTGTTGTTGTTGCTGTTGAGTTCTATTCTCAGAGAATTAAAAGTTAGCGAAGCCTCCGCTCTGCACGGGGTTGCTGCGTCGACGGTTCACCTCACCGCGGCGTACATGATGGGCAAAATGTTCACGGGGGTCGATAGGGTGGCGCAGCGGTAACGCTTGTGCCTCACGGCACGGGGCACCTGGGTTCGACTCCTGACCTGGGCGCGTTTTATTTGTGGGAATTGTGTGTGCTCCCACTTTTCCGCAAAGGTTGTCTCCAGGTTCTCCGGTTTCCTCCCAAAAACTAAAAGCAATATAATTGGTGTTGGCCATATTCCTCGGACTGCGTCTCGTTTTTTTTCTTTCTGGGAAATTAACCAACTATTTATTATGATTCAGTTTGGCCACTGGATCTCGGTAGGTGTGAAACTTGACTTGGGTGAGGTTTTATTCCTGTGCCAAGTCTCGTGTGACATGACGATGACAATCATCAATGTTTATTTTACATAACACGTTTCCCATGCAAGCTTCAGCGAATTTCATGGCAGAAAAAAATTGTACAATGCCAAAAAACTTGCCGTTAAATTTGTTTGACATGTTAACATATTATTTATCAGTTTAGAGTTAATCAGTAGGGATTCTAGCATTTCAGTTTTTATTTGAATAACGATAAAAAAGACGTTTGCCTTTAAATGACACCATAATACACGTGCTCAAAGTATTATTGCAACGATGTAGATAAACATTCACGCTAACCCAAAGTAAATATACATTTAAAAGCCCTTATCCACATCGCATACTTGTGTGTGTGTATATATTCACAACGGTCATTTACTCAAAAGGGGCAATTGCGTGGAGAGCTGAAGTCATGAGCGGAATTCTGCACCTCCGATTAGCATGGTTGGCAATGTACGGTGCGAAAGAATGTCAACATACATGCTTTTAACATCCCCACTGTGACAATGTGTCGTCTGGCCCTTGTACCTATCACTATGAGTCACGCTACCATTCGGTGACCACGAAAAATACAACTAAAGCTATAAACAATGTTTTTATTTTACTACCATGAAAGGCCCACTAGCTCTTTTTCAGAAGCGACCTGGCCAAAAATGATAGCTCAACGAAGTGGCTTATGACGTGTAAACGTACATTGATTTTAAATGTTCCCTTCTGTCAGGGACCGGCCGGCCCACCTGGGCTTCAAGGACCTTCAGGCCCCAGAGGCGACCCCGGTGAAAGGGTAAGCTTGGCGCCGCTGATTTGCAACAAAGTCCCTCGTCACCGTCGTTGGCGGTCGTATCGAATGACCAATGTGCGTGCGATGTGCGATTTTGTCGCCTCTCTGTAACATACGCTGAGTGCGTTGTACATTGTTTTTTTTTAATCACGGTTGTTGAGCACCAGCCCCCCCCCCCCTCCGCTCCCCCCCCCCACCCCCCAACAGTAAAATAAGTCACCAAGTTGCCAGCAACAAATAGCACTGTAAAGGTCGCGGTAGATACGAGTGTAACACGTTTCTTAAAGTGAGCAAGGTTATGTATGCACGTGTGCATGTTGAACTTCTTTCGCACCGTACGTAGCCAACCGTGCTAATCGGAAGAGGCGTGAACTTGCGACCAAAGACGAAGGGAGGGAATGCCGTGGACAAGCAGATGCAGAGTGAAATAGCAGTACGGCGGTGGCTGAGCACAGTTTTGGCGAGGTGAAAGTCAATATGCTAGACCAATCTATGTGCGCACGTACGTGAGAGTGGAACAAATGAGAACATTTTGTTTGCCCATTACGATTGTGGCCTTTAAATGTTGGTAATTTATCGCGAAGGCGTCGCTTTGTCAGCCGCGCCGGTCTAACGCTTATTGCGTTCACTGAAGGCGTCGGTACGATCTGCAGGTGGTGTCCCTGTGGTGTTTGTCAGCGCCCGACATAATGAGGCACGCGCGTGCGCGCGCAGGCACTAACATGCGTTGTGCCCAGGGCGAAAATTCTCATAATGTTATCGCAGCAACGTTCATTGCTGCGATTTTGCGTTTAAAAAAAAAAAATTGCCACAAAATGTTGACTTGTATATTGTGCCTGCGACGAATTTAGCCCTGGGATTTCTTGGAGGGGGGCCGTGGTGCAGTGTGCAAGAGGTTGGGAAAGCGAATTGCGATTCACCGGTTTGCCATCAAGCAATCTCTCTCCGGGCTTTGTGAGTGTAAAGCTGAGCAGTGGTAAGAAGACAGAAATAGACACTGGATGAATATTTAAATATACAAATTTTTATATAAAAAATGTTTTACTTACCACAGCTGGCATCTTATTATGGGATGCTAACTTGTGGAATGAGCAGTCGGGGAGACACAGCTGACTAAAATTGTCCTCCTGTGCACATTTGGCCAAGACTAATGGCATTTTTCACATTCCTCCATAAATAATTCTAGCAGTTATTACATTTCTTTATGATTACGATAACAATGAAAACTTTTTTGCGAGGTAAATATACCACGATTCAAAGCCAATGGACTCTCATGAAAAATATTTAAAAGCTGATAACGAATTATCATCATCAGCCATTATCTAAATATCCACTGTTGAATGAAGGCCTCACCATGCCATCGCCATCTCTGCTGCCCTCTATGACACGATCCATTGAGGTTCTGGACATAAACAGATCTTGAGGCTCCATCTCAGCATTGATTGTCCTCTCAGGCCTTTCCTCTCAGGCCTTTCCTCTCCTAATTTAGATGCCATTTTGTCACTGGTCTCAGCAGAATATATCCATTTCGGTAAGATTAGAGTGAGGGTTAGGTTTGGATTAGGGTTAGATAATAGTTAGGTTACGGTTAGAGTTAGGGTTACGTATAGTTTAAAGTTAGGTTCGGGTTAGGATAGAGTTAGGGTTAGGTTACGTTACTTTTGTTCCATTGGAAAATACACAATAGAGCATCCGTTGACACAGATACGTTTAAAAAGTTGGCTTAAGATTACGGTTTCATTGATAATGCATGGATATAAATTCACGTGCAAATTCATATTATTTTGTTACGGAAAAGATAAGGTTAACGATGAGCGAAGGGGAACCGATATGCCTGGATATTTATTCATAGGGAGAATGACAATTCATCACTTGGAAAACAAATATTTGGCTGGAACAAAATTTAAATCAAAATGGAACACATAACTTATGTTCCCTGACATGGCAATCCCCACCACTAGGTTAGTTGGAATAGATAAATCATTAATTGGACATCCACTGCTGCCCTGTAATTTCACGCAAAAATTACCAATTAGCAACGTCTTATCTTGCAAATTTGACATGAATGACCCTGCGGGTATAATTTACAAGAAGCAAACCTTCATGCTTTCGTGTTAATAACAATACGGATTCACAACGCTCTTTAAATTTACTGCTGGAAGAAGGCCTCCCCACTCCAAATCATTTCCGAGGATTGTTTGGCCATATTTCACCACGCTGATCAGTGTGAGTAGGAGTGAGGACTGTTGTTGGCCATGGCTATGAGTTTAACTCAGGTTGTTGCATTCACGGTGCGGTGCATAGACCACTGCACCATCGGCATCCTCGCCCTCGCATCAGCAGTGTTATCTGCATGGAAAATTGTAAACGTAATGAATAGATTAAGGGACTTCATTTATAACTGGCTGATTAAACAAAAGACAATGCGTTGGATACAGCGGCCTTGTATTTATTAGTCAAGATTTTTACAAATGAGTGCTTTGCCTCTCAGTAATTACAGCGTAATGAGGTTGCAATTACCCCTTCAGCGGGTCTTTAATCATTGTGCCCCATTTTCAAATTGTAGCCACCACGGCCGCGAGGGGTTTCCAGACGAAACGTAATAAAACATTAGTGGCAATTCCTCGTTTTTGAAACAAGAAGAAAAAAAAGTCACAAAAAACCCGGACGTGACCTTAAAATGACACGGCAAAAAATGCTGCCTACAAATGTCTACAATCAGATATTCCCCACACATCTCTTTTGCAATTCCCTAAAACAAAACCTTCACACTTCAAAGTATGAGGCGGTGCTGAAGAATCATTCATTGCTTCACGTGCGCCATGGTATTTCCGTCGTCATTTTTTTAATCTCGTGACAAAATCTGCACCGCTATCCTTCGAAACATGTTTTTTTTTCCGTCACGGGATCATTTCTTTGAAAACGATGCGCCGAGGTGAAAGGACATTGCCAAGTGCCTCGCCGAGCGGCATCTCGCGCTTCCGTTCATCGTCGGTGTGCGCGCTCAATTTCTCTGTCTCATTTGCACTTTCTGATGTCACGGCCGCCGTTGTTGCACGTAAAGGAAGAAACAAAAAACAGTCCCCTTAGTTTATTTTATATCTTGAGATTTATTTATCCGTCGTTTTTTTGTTGTTGTTGTTGCCAAGGTTAGCACAATGTGCCTCTCTGTCAGGCTGCCTGGCCTCCTGTCCCGTGATAATAATTTCAGTTATTTTGTGGGGGAAATTTCGGAAATTTCATCCGCTGCAATAAACGGCTAGCCAAGTCAGTTCCAACAACCCTCTTGTCTCCTTCACCCACTTCTTACTCATTCGGTACAATTTAACCTAAAGATATCCACAAAGCAGTCGTCCTCCTCACGGAACCAAATTCACCTGTGGGAACTGCATTTGGAAAAAACAATTGTGAGTCCCATATTATAATTATTACATCATGGGGGAGCGGGGTGGGGAGGGGAGGCAGTGGTGCAAGCTGTTAGCGCAATTGAAGACGACGACCCATCCACGGCTAATAATCGGTGGTGAGTGATATCCAAAACACATCCTGGGTTCAACACCTCCCTTCACCAGCCGAACCTGTCCTGAGCAGCAATGATAAAGTGTGGTCCAACAGCTCCCCATGACCAACGTGGTTTGTGGGGGCAGCCCTTGGCACAGCGTTGGGTTGACAGAGGGCTGTTACGAGTGGCTGAAATGTATACTTATAAATGCCCGTTCGAAAACCTATTCATCCTGCAGCTCACGGTAATTGCCGTGCCGTTTCACCTCCTGTTTAAACAGCGGCGTAGAGAGAGCATAGGGAATAGGAACCGTTCGGAAAAGTGCTGCCAATGCCGTACGTACCAGCCCAATCCGTTGCTTATTCACATTACACCACGTATGCTGAGCTAAACTTCAGCCGGAAGAGTTTGGATAAGCTGTTACGGGAATTATTTTGACACCTATTTTAGTTTTTGGCAAAGAAAGCCACTCTGGCAACATCGGTGAATCGATGCATCTATTATTATTATTTTTGTCCTCCTTCTTCTTCAACCTAATTATAGGATTATGGTAATATAGGGTACAATCATATAGGATTATCATAGACTGTGATCTCTTGCATTATAGTTAGTGGTCGTGCCTTCCGCCAGTGATCCCTGCTTCAAGGCAGCCCCGCAGCGTTCTGGGAAATATCGAGTGGGAAATGAAGCCCTGTGTGTGTGATGCATGCTCGTAGAATTAAGTCTTTCCCCGAGGGTCACTCTTCCCAGCTTGAACGAGCATTTTCTGGCAGCTGCTGAAGAAGCTACATCGGAGAATTTCGTCTAAATTGTCTCTTCGCAAAACGAGGTGACGCTCTGCCGATTTTCGAGTTGCCAGAATTGGCACTACTTCACCTTACGCCTCGACTCCCTATGGCACGATTATCAAATGTACGGACGGCGGGGGGGGGGGGGGGGGCTCCAATGGTAAATGATCTGCGTAGGATTGGTTAAATTATTATCGTGCGGCAGTCATGGAGTCGTCTAAGCTCACGACGGACGATGGGTTTGATTCGGAGTGAAAATCCCCACCCATTCACGACATTTAAACAATCATCAAAACGTATTGAGAATTATTTGGAACGAGGGGTCACCGAATTGCAAACATCGCCGTCAGGTTTATTCCCCCACAGCAGCGGTTTAATATTCGTTATTGGGCAGTGTGGCACTGCTACCTAGTGGTTGAGAGAGAGAATTTCATTCCCTGCTTCCCCAGTGAATATATTGCTGATGCCATGCCTAGCACTGTAATTGCAAACAATTTTGTGGCAATTCACACTGGCACGTAATATACTTGCTTCATCAAGATCATGTATTATAAATTACTAAGTTGTTTTCCATTAATGTGGCACATTTTAACACTCTTAAATGCATTGAACTGCACAAAACTATTTCTTTCCGTTGAATGCATAAATTATAACGTGATATATATTTTTTAATAAACCTTTCACATTTTACCCGGCATTGTGCACGGTCTCACATTGCTTTGACAGAACCGTACGTGGTATTTTTTGGTCACCATATTTTTGGAGACGTTAAAACATGTAAAACGTAATTTTTCTATTTTTCATTGCATCTCAGTTTTTTCTCGGCTGGTAATGAAATTCAGCAGCGGTGTGAGACGGGGCTCATTTAAGATGCGCATTCGTATCTGAAGATTACTTTTTCTCCTGCAGATTATTGATGCCACACCCCCCCCCACCCCCACCTCCTGATGCTGTAACCTAGTATGTCACTTGACATCTGTGTACGTTGAACTTCGTTCACACCGTACGTAGCCAACCATGCCAATCGGAGGTGCGGGAGGGAGGGCCAAGAAACTAAAGCAGCGCTCAAGAAATGAATTTTGAAATCGAGATTTTAAAGTGCCCTCGACGCTCAATACATCTTTTGAAAGTGTGTAGATGTGGTCCCGTTTAAGGCGTATAGAAGAGTGTGTGATACTTTAAACGCGTCCTGGTAGATGCGGCGTGCGTGTGCGTGTGTGCATATATGTTCGCTAAAGGTACATTTCACGGAAGGGGTGGGCGGAAAAGCCTGGCTCATCAGATTTGGACACGCGACTGGTTGTGCAGTCATTAATCAGCACCACATCCTGGCCTCCGCTCACCCATGCGTGAGCACCGCTTGAATTGGACGGTGGTGGTGGGGTGGTGGATTTATATTAATCTCTGCAAAATTGTATTGGCCTTAGCTCCCTCATAATACCATAGGTAAGCTTCCCATGAAAACTGAGGCTAAAGCGCGATTGCATTGTTGCAAATTTTTGTGTGTAAAATATATTTGATCTTTAACGCTTCAGTGACGTACCAGATTTCTGACGTGGTGACCGTTTGTGCTGTCTGGTGTGTGTGTGTCTGTGCCTTACATAGGGGCCCTCTGGTCGACCAGGTCTGCCGGGAGCTGACGGGTTACCTGGGCCCCCTGGAACGATGCTCATGCTGCCCGTGAGTTGTACGCGGACTCCATCACCAACCTCGTTTTGTCTCCCTCTCTCCAGCACGCGCCGCATTCTCCCACAGCATTTGCTGCGTGGGAGATCACTCCTTCTCCTTTGCTGCACTCTTCCCCACAATATGCAATGCACCCTCTTCTTGCTGTCAGTACTCTTGCTCAGTACAGGCCCACTGAAAACCCTCACTCCCTCTCGTTGATGATTTGCGTGTGGACTTTTTATGTTTTGCTTGCACACACCGGTTATGCGGTTGATCGCCCAGGATGTGCCCAAAACTGACATTTTTCGGAAGTTAAGCAGGTTTGAGCCTGGATAGTGCTTGGATGTACTGTTACCGTGCGTAACAAAGGTTGTGTATGTACGTAGCTGCGTGGTTACGTTGCGAGCAGCAGAGGGAATCAGTGCAGCAAATCCCATTGTTGCACTGTACGACGGTGCTCCCATGTCTATGATCCTTGCCTTCACAAATCTGCACTGACCAGCATAGTGAAGTATGTTCAGGGGTATCCTCTATTCATGTGTACATATCAGACACACAACTTATTCAATAACCGTGTACATTATGCGTACGATCCTCATTTGCTGTTTGCTTTCCATTATTATTTTGTCTTACCATGGCTATAGAATGTCCAAATATAGTAATTATATTATGATGCTACGGACAACCTATGATATACAAATGCTATTACACCATACCAAGGCTTCAGATTTACAATGATTTTCCCATCATGATTTCCCAAACCTGAAATCGATAATTTAATCGGAAGATATGTTGGGATCCTGTGGATATTACTTTGTGGATATTTTTTGTTCTTTATAAAACAGCATACATGTTAAACCCTTTTTTATATTTTCTCTAATTCATACTGCGCTGGATGCAAAGAAAATACAGGAATGGAACAGATTGAACAAAAATCCCTTCTTAAATTGGAAATACATATTTGTTCCCCTTTTTCTATCTGAAATGCAATAAATCCAAAGGTTAATGCAAAAAGTTTCAGTTTTGTTGCCAGAAAAAAAGTGGAAAACCCCTATTATCATATTTTGGTACTGGCAAAGGAGGCCTCATGATGTAGATGTTTACCCCGAGCCCTCATTACTCTGATAGTGGCATTGTCTTTGAACTGTGTGCCTTTTGGCGTCATCTGGTCGAACACCGAATGAGACGAGGCTCTAAGGAAAGCTGTCTCTGGTGTGGACCAATCAGTTTCAGGGACAATGTATATAGTATGAGAGTGTTGTTTTTTATTTGCATTCTGACTGCAAGTATTGTGGTTAATGTCAACATTATTCCTTGTAAAAGGTTTCAGTTTTGTCGGCAGAAAAAAGGGGAAAACCCCTATTATTATTAATATGACAATTTTCGCAGAATATACAACATTATTTTTGTTCATGTAAACATTATACGGAATCCAAAGTTACTGACACAGACAAAACAAAATTTAGGGTTTTGCTCATTCTTCACATGTGCAATGTTCTCAATGATCCAAAGCCAAAATACTCTGAATGATTTAATCAATTTGCCTGACCTCATCAGATCTCCGAAGCGAAGCAGTTATGGAACATCTGTAGATCCTCCAAGGGATGTTGAACATCCCTGTTGTTGTCAACTGTCTATTAATACACAACTCAAGAAAATGCATGCACATGTATTGTGAGATAATCTTATTCCCTCAGTCTGTCCCAGTTATTTGAACGTTAGAGATGACAACCCAAAATAGCAGTTTGCATGTACATATTTTGAACTTCTTTCGCACCGCACACGGCCAACCGTACACATCTGGAAGTGCGGAGCGAATGGGTGGAGTGCTGGGTCAATTCACCCATTCATATTCTGATTTCGTAAGCTCACGATGCATGCGTGCAATCACATGGATAATCATTATTTAAGCAGGGGTTCACATTACCCCCGCAAGCCACTGTAGGCGCTACCATTCACTGCAATAAATGTTAGGAGAGAGAACAAAAAAACGGAATCGATTCTTAAATCAAATTGTGACACAGGTTTTTGACAATTCATCAAATCATCAGAAGGGAGAGTTGTTCCAATCAGTGGCGTCACGGGGGGGGCGGGTTGCGGGGGGTGCGGACCACACCTTGTGACATCATCAGAGGGGGGTGACACCAAAATGACTGTCTATAACATTTTTTGTGTAGTGTTTCAGCAGAAATGTATAAAAAAAATTTGATATAAAAACAAATATCCCTGTAGTTAGTTATAACAACACAAACACGTTTCTTAAGCCCAGCTTACATGTACTGTACCATTATACCTACAAGGCTAAAACTCTGTGCTAATTTACTTTTTGAACCTTCTAATGCGCTCCGGTCAGAGCTGTCATTATCACCGAATTTTCATGACACTTTCGAGTCACGTGGTTTCGTCTGCACGCGCTACGAGAACGCGCTGTTGTTTTCGTTGCTGCTCGTGTTTTTATAGTCGCTGATTTTGTCTAATTTTCTGGTGTTTTAGCTACAATATTGTGGTAATTAGTATTTGTGAACCTATATCAATAACCTTTTTGAGAATGAAGTAATTAAAGGAAATATAATTTAAAGGTGTAATTGAAATGTTGCTAGTTGTTCATGTCACTACTATTACATTCAGTGATTTACGGGAATTACGATTTACGAGTAACATTAGCACAACAAAAAAAACTATTACTAAGTATTCTGTATGGTCTGGTACAGGCGTAGATCCATGAGCGGTGACACCAATGAGTGAACGCACTGGGTGACACCAGCCCGAGTGACGCCACTGGTTCCAACCCTCTTCATTAGCAGGGTTGAGCATGGCTTGTACCTGGATGGGAGACTGCCCGGGAATAACACGTGTTTCTGGTAGGCTTGGTGGTAGGAGATGGCAGCACAGTACAGCAATACTTTGAATCGATCCATGCGGAGAAATGAGTGCCATCTCCTTATATTCGTGGGGTTTCTCCGTAGCACTCCGGTTTCCTTTCCGCACGGAGCCAAGCGCTAACGAATGCGTTCGAACGTACAAATGTGACGTGCCGCCGGCTCGCTCTGAATGTTAAGGGTCCCGTGACGTGATTTGCACGTGCACGCGCCTATAGCTTTAACGGCCCACAAACGTGGATATCACTGGGAAATTCTGTTTTATAATCTGGAAAATGCCGTTTAAAAAAAAATCATTTTTAGGACAGTGTTATTGACAAACGCATTGCGTTTTTTTTGTGACTTGTCAGCAATAAGTGTATTTCATCCATTATCACGCTCGACCAGTTTTAAAGGGCATAATTTTGAACTTCCCTTATCCCGTGGAATACCATCAATGGCTTCGAAAAAAGTCTCATAATGTCACGGGGATCATTTTCCTCAAGTGATGGACTATGACCAAGTCAGCCAGAATGAAGCTGATTTAATTTGATTTTCTAAGTGAAGCGAGGGTTTAACCAGCTTGCAGCCGAGGATCAGAAGGAGTCTGTAATTGTCTGGCGGCCTTTGACGTATTTGGGAGTCCACAGTCTGCCACTTGGTTTCCAGTTCACTCTTTTATTGGGATTGGTGCTGTTTAAGAAGTGAACTGACATTGCTTTGCTCATACCAATGGTGGAGGAAGTGCCTAAAATGGTTCCTGAGTTCCTGAGAGCCCATCCAGACGCCAGAGGGCATTTGTGCCTCCCCTTCCACGCTGGTCACACACATCATGGAAGTGGTGGAAGTACCCAAACTAAAACTACAAACTTTTTTTTTATTTTACCAGTTAAGGGCCGACTGAGCTACCCCTCTGTTTTATCAGAAGCGGTCTGGCCATATATGAGAGCTTCAACGAAGTAGCTAATCTTGTGGACATTCACAACAGCCAAAACACTCAAAGCGCGTGACGTTGAGTCTAAACGTAGAGGGGGAAAACCGGAGGACCCGGATAAAAATCCACACGACCACACTTTACCCCACCGCACAGGACCTACCAGTCGACAACTTATGTCGTTATGAAGCTGGGTGGACAGAGGCGGTGGGATGGGGTAGGGGGCGAGGGATTTATTAAATTTGCCCCATTGTTAAAGCTACCACGACTGTGTCCACGACAGCATCCTGTTTAATTTGATTAACAATAATACAAATTTTTACACTTACTCTTTGGTTCTTTCGGTAAAGTCACGTAGAAAGAAAATACATTCAATAATAGAATACGACGTTTCGATCGCAACACAAGCGACCGTCATCAGGTATGAATGAATGAGAAAACAAGTGGAGTGGGAAGCGAGTGGGAAGCACGTGGGAAGCAAATAGGAAGCGCGTGGAAGCGCGTGGAAGCGCTTCACTTAAATAAACCGAGGGACTTAGCAGATCAAATATTTGATGGAAGTTAGTTCCACAGCTTGGGGGGGGGGGGGGGGGATAAGACGTAAAGAGGCCCAGCCACTCATTGAACGTAGATTCGAATCCATTTGGATATTTCGCAGAGTTGTTCAACCCTTCGTACACGAGAAAGGCCCATGGAAGTAGATATCACAGAGTTACCTCTGATTTCTGGTCAACACTTAGGGGGGCAGCACTTATCTACTCCAAGGCATGCCACAGAGTAACGCTCATTGAGTCACAATCACAGTCGTATTTTTGCATTCTCAGAGCTTGAATCTTTTACTGAATTACACTTCGAGGTCATGTGGATAGACTCAACACCCACGCCAGAGGAATGTGGAATTTCCACTACCAGATCAGGGCTGTAAAAAGGGGAAACGACCACCGCCTGGGCGATCAAGAAATTCAAGCTTGACTTATAAGTTTCCGAAACTCAAAACCAACTTGCGTTTTGTTTTCTCCCAGTTTCGTTTTGGCAGCGACCCAGATGGCAAAGGGCCGGCTGTCTCAGCCCAAGAAGCTCAAGCCCAGGCGATCTTGCAGCAGGCACGGGTAAGCTCTGCTGCACCATTCCCATTGCGTGCGATTGGAAAAATTAAAGCCTCTGTGAGATGTTGGGGGGGGGGGGGAGGGAGCGGGGAGGGGGGCGGTGTGACGTGATGTGACGGAGTGCAGGTGGCCTTGTTTGTCAGAAGATGTCAGAAGCAAACGGAGTCGCACGGTGTTGGTGAGCTACGGGTGCCACCTGGATATGGGCACCATGTTTGCGCGAATCGCACGTGCGGAATCCGGAGACGTAACGCCGTGTCGTACTTGTCGACGAGTTCTCTCTTTTCTTTTCGCCCTTGTTGCTCTAATAAAGGACCACCAAAGATTCGAGCTTTCGGCGCCTGAGTGAGAGAGTGAAGGAACCCTGAGGATAATTAAGGTGCGCGCGTGTGTGTGTGCTTTCCGTCACGTTCAGCTTGCCATGCGTGGCTCTCCTGGTCCAATGGGCTTGACGGGAAGGACAGGCCCTGTGGTGAGTAACATAAACATTATGCCACTTTTTTCATTAATCAGACGATTGTGACGAAGTGTGGTACTTGTTGAAGAAGTAAGTTTTAGTTTGCATTTGATTTAACGGGACTAGAGTTATGCACAGTCTTTGTGTTATTTTTGGATTAGTACAAAAGTTAGTTTTACTCATATTATATCCGATATGTTATTTTAAAAGTAAAAAAAAAATGAATTTTTGCACTGATGAGCAATGAGCTGGTAATTATTTCCCATTTACAGCCCTGAGCCAGTGGTGCCAATCCCTCATTCTTATTCATATTCTTGGTTATTTTGGTAAAGTCACGTAGATAGAAAATAAAATAAGTAATAATGAAATAAAATATTTATAAAAATAAATAGAAAATAATAAAAGCAAAAACCCACGATAAAAAATAGTAAAATAAAATTACAATTTTAAATAAAAATAAATTTAAAATAATAAAAGCAAAAAAAAAACCTCATTCTTATGGCAGGGGAAAGTGTATCCATACAATGACCGCGGTTAAATTCCCCACAAAGTTATATTTATTTTATCCAACGAATCGTGGTGATGGGCTCCCAACCTGGATTTGAACCGGCAACCTTCCGACTGTAGGCCACTGCCTCTACAGCTGAGACAGCTGAGTCACCTGGTTGGTGGATTAAATGCATCGTCATTTCGTTTGTAGGGTTTGCCAGGTGGGTCGGGATTGAAGGGAGAAGCTGGAGATCATGGACCTCAGGTGAATGACCGCAGTTCACAAAACCAAACAGCTTTGCTCTTGCAAAAATAAAATACTGAAACGACTCAAAAATTCTCCTTTTACATGTTTAAAGCCTTGAATGAGTTGACTCCTTAATATTTCACCACTCTGCTTACGTTTTATATTCCACTGTGGAAACTTTAGATCTGTTTATTCTGGTCTACTCATTATAATTCCGAAGACCAGGCTTTGTTGTCCGATGGGAGACGGAGGCTTTTTTGCAGCCAGGCTCCACGATTGTGGAATCCCCTTCCTCAGTCCATGTTACACTTTCTTTAAACCACATCTTAAAACTCACCTGTTTTTGCTGCAGACTTTCTTCTCATGCAAAGAGCTTTGAGGCCTCGCGCGAATTGCGCTATAGAAAACCGAGTTTATCTGTCCACAAATTAATGTTGTTGCTGGAGAAATAAAAAATGTTTGCAATGTTGAATTCGCAAATGACAATTGGCACGGCGTTTTATGTCTTCGTGCAATGACAGTTGTCTGCTGTAAATGTGCTTCATAATTCAGGGCCCAAGAGGATCACAGGGTTCACCAGGACCTGCAGGAAAAGCTGGAAAGAGGGTGAGGAGATATCGTGATTTTAATCAAGGAATATTACGTGCGCTGCTACATGATAAATACAGTGACACAGGGCATTTGCCAAAGAGCGTTGTCATTTATTTGGGACCTACCAATGCTCGCACCATCTGTTCCATTTTTTTCGTCTTCAGGGCCGAGCAGGTGCTGATGGATCAAGAGGCCTTCCTGGAGAAAATGGCATTAAGGTGACACAACTGTTATCATGTAATATATATGGGTACATATATATTTATATTTTGCTTTATGTATATATCACAGGCCCGAAGGCCCAAAAACGCCAAGCAACCATTCACAGACATTACTACTTGGAGGTGTAATAGAGTTAATGTCTTTCTTGAATTTAGCAAGATTATTTGAAGAACTTAGAAAAAAAGAGAGAGAGAGACAATCGGTTTGGAATTCCTAAGTCGAGCAGTGCCGAGGGAATAAGCAGAGGGGAGAATTGTTGTGACCTGCAGTGTGGTGGTTAAACGGAGTGTGATGGATGAGACAAAACGGTCCGGGTCTCTTAGATTGAGTCCTCACCATAGGGGGAGGAATCGACGAGTGGAGTTCGTGGCCGTAGTGGCCACGGTAATAGTGATAGAATAGTGATAAAAAAAGTATTAAATACAATATTTAAGACCTGCAGATTATTTTCATGTGATATAAAAGTCCACGTGTGTTTGGTACGAGGGCTATTCAACACTGCCATTTGTGTGATTGCTAAACGTGAGCAAGTTTGTATACTTTAAAATCAGGAGGAGGAAATGCATGAGTAACTCTACGTGAAGCTACGAATCACATTCCAATAGCGTTGCAAAAATACCACCGAACTCTTTGTAGGATGAACGAACATCGCGTTTATTTATGGATGCAAAGTCGTGACCACCGTTTGAACCCATAGCCTGCCAGTGGCCCCATAACTAGCCCTGGGCCATATGACGAAGCCACAATATAATTTGATTGTTGTTCAGAACACTGCAATTAATAGTTGCAGGTTTTTTAAATTTATTCTAGGTCAACGACTATACACATACAACCTACATCTTCCCTTCTATCAATGTCTGTATCACATCTGTGAAGCTTCTCAAATATTTAACATTTCTACACACGTATCAACGATACGTTCCCAGATTGGGATTATCCCTGAAGAATGATAAAATCGGGCGTATATATGAATTTTTGGACGATTAGAGACGTTTTTTGTTTTTGTTTCAGATTGATCCAAAAAAACGTGACATCACAGGACATAGTTTTACTTACGTCGTGTAACAAAGTATTATTTACAATAATAAAACGATACAGATTTTATGAGATGACTACGTTACACGTGTACGTGTTTTTGAATATACAGTATTATTTAGCAATTATTTACAGCCCTTTGTCAATCCATTGATAGATAAAGTGGAGGTGCCAGGCCTATGACCCGTCAAGATGCTGCTGCTCCATCAATACCTGAATAGAATTAACAAAGATGTAATGGTTACGCTTCATAAACTGGAAAATGGTGTGTTACATTCTATTACCAGGCAGCTATTAAGACCAACAACAGCATGCAAGAGGGTTGTAGGAACCAACACCACCACGTCGCACTTTCACAACAGGCCAATTTCCCCTTGCGCTGCGTGCATAGCCGTGCGTGAAACTGGGTTAGTGCACTAACCACTGCGATATTGTTAATTGTGCTTGTTTGTTCACTGTCGTCATGCTTTTTTTAATATATAGATGTTATTTTCAAGGTTGTCCGGCTAAGGTTAAACGCGATTATATGTCTGTCTGTAATGGAGGGATCGTGATAACACTTTTAGAGATGATCCAATACTGCACGAGCAAAACTTTAGTTCGAAAGTGGTGTTGCTATTTGGGACTTGCCCAACAGAAAGCCGGCCACATTGACTAAAAAGATTGCTCGTGCCCTCCCCTGTCAGAGCCGCTATCTGAGCCCCGTGCTGCTTCCTGTGCACCTGGCAACAAACACTACCGTTATCATCACTCGTTAAATACTTCAGAGGACAATCGCATGTTGGGAAGTGTCTCCAGTATCCGCGCATGTGCGAGATCCACCCCCCTCCCCCCACCTTGTTTGTTTGTGATCAGGGCGACCGAGGATTCGATGGCCTGCCCGGGCTTCCTGGAGAAAAGGGCAACCGAGTGGGTATCATAGCAAGCTTCACAACTCGATACACATAGCATTGCCGTTCTGTTTACATTTCAAACGAGGTAACGGTGCTTGATTCTAACATATGTACCATTACGGTCAATGAAGGATGTCCCCTTGTGCAGTAGGGGGCGTTGGTAAGATTTTTCTGATGGTGCCTCCCCCCGCCCCCCCCCCAACTCGCCCACCAATCAACACCTTTAATTCCCATGCCCCTGGCCCCCCACCCAGCTCCATTGCCACCCCCCCGCCTCCACCAAAAAAATGCCACATTGCACAGAGAGAGATCACATGTCCATGCCTCGAGTCAGCACAGTGTCCGTACGGCATTTGTTTCACGTTGTGTACCAGTGCAATTGTGTTTAGCTTCAGTTTCAGTTTATTTATTTTGGTATAGCCCTGTGAGCCATTCGGCTCTTGAATCGGGTGCAACCACAACAAACAAAAACACACGAACAAGAAAACTATGTGACTGTGCAAACAGAAAATCCATGGAAAAAAACAGCAAAATATTCCTGAAAAAAGCACCGTACACCAACGCTGTGTGCAAAAAAATCCCAGTGGGATGCAAGTCAAACAACAACAACAACCACAAGAAAACTTAGATTAAGGCCATCAGTCTAACTCCGTACTATAACAAAATAAACATGTCCAAACCAAAAAACGTTTTCGAAATCACTAAAAAATAAAGCCATAATTGCAACGTAACAGTGATCATAGGGACTGTGACCGAATTTTTTCAATAAACTACATAAATAACATGTAACACCAAATCCTAGAGCCATAGCTGGCTGCATGAGTTGATATGGCATCGGTTTCACATTGTGTATCGGTGTGTTTTGTCACCCCAGCACGGTGCTCATGTTCCCCGCACACATTCATAATTTCGCCTGCACGGTATCCATGCAGCAGCCTGCACCCACCACCCCTCCCCCCACCTCTGAAAAACTTTTGCCCACCCACCCCTACCCTCCCCCCACCCAAATGGCTCCTGCCTTGTTTATGTTGATGAATGGACTCTGTCTGTCATCAGGGAGACGTGGGCCCACCCGGACCTCTGGGAATAGCTGGAGAGGATGGCGAGAAGGTAATAAACATTCGATTGGGACAAATAATATCGATTCTCAATTTGTGATTGCTTTTAGTTGCGCAAGCTCAGATATATTTATAATAATGCTATTAAAAATATTAAAGTAACTTACAACTCTCTGTCGGTCAATTGCTGGATGAAGGCCTCCCCTCGCCATGTATGCCTGCACGTTGAAATAATTTGGCACCGTACGTAGCCAACCGTGCCAATCGCCATGTCGGTCACACAGCGGTTGCTTTTTTCTTTCAACCATACTTCACCACATTCGCCAGCGTGGGTTTCGTGAAGTAGGAACCCGTGGCCGTTTCCGTTATCACTCACAGCTGATGTTACTCGCGGCTGGGAATGGAACTCAGTGACCGGGTTCATAAGGGCAGTGCGCTAACCGCTGTGCCACTTGTCCCATCCCCAGATTCAACCCGTGTTACACAGCGCAATCAACGTCTAGGTTTAAATGTTGCTTTCTTGAAGAAACTAGAAAAAAAATCACCGACGTTTTATTGCTCTGTAATTTGTTTAACCCCACCCCTCCGATTCACGTGGTTGGCTACATACGGTGTGAAAGAAGTTCAACATCCCCCCCCCGCGTCCCTCGTAATAACCATGGTAATGTTTGTCGTCTGTCCCACAGCGGACGTTAATAGATCCCCCTGACGCCATTCGCAAGAGTAGGCCATTGTGTGCCATCGTCAGGGTCCACATTTTGCCACTTTCAAAAATGACCCCTAAATTACTCAATTTGGATTTTACACCCTCTGACTGACAGACGAATGCCCCAGGTCGCTCTTGCAAATGAGACTTAACCTGGTCTCTTGATTTGTCACCTGGTTACACAAACTAACCGAAACTAATTTAACCCCCCCCCCCCCCAACATTTTCTAAATGTAGGGCTCGGATGGTGAAGTTGGACCACGAGGGATGCCAGGGGAACCTGTAAGTATAAAGTAAAGTGTGCAGCTGTCCGCACGTAACAAACACGTGCACAACCTTGATATTACGGTTTGTGAGTTTCAGTGGCTTATGTTATCCCACAGTATGTTTAACCTCAATGCAAGGACTTAATTTCCAACTGGATATTTTCTGGGTCACTGGTAGACCGTTGAACTACCGCCGTCATGGCGAGAGGTAGAGTGGATGTGGCGTGACGGGTGTGGGGATAATTTCTGGGCCGCTGACCCGGACAGAAAAGGCTGAGTCTCATTCTTTACCTCAGCGTTGTAGTGAACACTTCATCATAATCATCATCATCGTGATCATCATCACCATCATCATCGTCGTCATCGGCCATTGTCATTCCACTGCTGGATTTAAGGGCCGCCTCAAGCTGCCGCCAATTCTCACAATCCTGCGATGTAATAATCCGCCCGGCGTCTGCACAGCGAGCCCATCGAATCGCTCCATCATCTCGTCCTCGCCGACGCGGTTTCATTCCTTGACTGCCGCTCCCATCATTATCCTTGACCGTCCGGCGTCAAGCTAGCAGCGACGTGTCTCCTGCCCATGCCCCACTGACTTTCTCAACGGTGCAAAATGATGTCATAACACCGGGACATGCTTCTCCAAACTGTTGCTTAATTGTTATATCGTTGTTATTATTATTATTTTTCCAGGGACCGCGGGGTCTGTTAGGACCCAGGGGACCTCCAGGGGTGTCGGGGTTGCCCGTGAGTATCATCCGTCAAGTCAACGTTACCAGACGTGACATAAAACTCGCTCGAAGATCCGTTATCTAGAAAATAAATGACAGTCATGCTTAGGCCATTAATATCATTGCAACGTAACTTGATTGCTGTTTCCAACAGGGTCCCCGTGGGACTGACGGCCCTCCAGGAGCGAAAGGAAATTTGGTAGGCCCGATTTTTATCTCCCATCGTACGCGAATAGCCAATAACATTTCTGCCAATAAAATATCCGTGCGCTAATACAGATTACGTTTCAGCAGTGCATTAAAAGACAATAAACACGCGGGGGAGGGGTTTTATGCGATAGACAGCGCTTGACACGCTTCCAATGAATCGTGCATTTTTTTTCCGCAACACGAAAGACACATTCAGATTGACACGTCCGAGAGAGTGCGAGCACTTATTTTTGTTTGGTTATCTCCGCTATGTCAGCCCGTGACAAGAGATACACATGCTCCTTATTGATATTGCCAAGTGTTTGCATTGGTTTCACCGATCCTCGCAACTTTTACCCAGAAGGCACCGTCTCACTCTCCAGCAGAAATGCCACGAGTGTGAATTTGCATTTTATGAGCAAGCAGAGGCATCCCTGTGCAACAATGCAGGAATCACAGTGTAATTTTATAGCTTGCATTGGATTTGTTGGGGGTCCCTCAAGGTGCTCAATATCCAGGCTGATAATAAGCCGCGCGGATCATGTGATGTGAATTCACAATGCAGTGGTGCGTGCACTTTTGTATAGCTGTACAGTATTAAGACATTTTTTTTGTGATACCGTGTTGGCAGTGATGATCGAGTGCTATGTAGAAGGGCCATTGCCTGAAACGTAATCTATAAGGAAAAAAAATCCATTCAGGGCAGTGTGTTATTGATGAACGTTGCTGGGGTAGAGTATTAGGTATTAGATGTATTTAAGTCAAAAGTATTAGGTGTGTTTCATTTCTATTTGGTGCGTTAAATTCGTTCGTGGCAGCACGCCTGCACTTGGCTCTTATATTCGCGTGCATTGTTTTTTAGCATTAATACATTGGTACCAAAACAAATATCTTGAATCGTATAATTGCAATCAAGAAAACTCTGGACCGGTGTTGACATGTCACATCTCATCCGCATAATCAGGCTCGTTAAACAATTGCTGCTAGTTAGCGCAAGGCCAGTCGGCTTACAGAATAACACATTTCATGTTTACGTTGTAAATATAGAATGGATTCCGACTTATTTATATAATTACCCAGAATCTTCCACATAAGTGCGTCACGAGTTATTTTACAATATTGCTTTCTGTTTCTGATGAGCGCCTCCACCCCCGCCCGCTGGTTCGAGATGGAGTGCTCCAGTCAATAATCTCTGGCGAAACATTAGTCATTTTTAACCGACCTGTCTCTACTGATGAGACTCGAAATGTTGAAACCGGTGTCGAGTTTTCTGATTGGGAAAAAATGATGCCGTGAGCTAAAATAAGCCCGGCATGCCAATAACAGACAAACTAGAACACATTACGTATTCATGTATGCGCGCAAATACATACGGGATGCCTATTTCTTTGTTTTATTTATTCATTTAATTTCCCGCCCCCCCAAAAAAATGCTTCTTGGTAAACTCTCCTAAGGTGCAGCTTATCGAATTGCACGACGTGTTGTCCAATTCCCGAGGAAGCTGCCTCTAGCACGCAGAGCGAAACGTCGGACTTCATGCCGAACGACAACAACAACAAACGCGTCGCGACCCCCCCCCCCCAAAAAAAATGCCCTTCCGCACGAGTGTCTCTAAAGGGGCTTTGTTCCAAGCAGATTGTTTTTACTCGGCCCTTCCAGCTGTTGCAAACGCCCTGTGCACGTGCCAGCCCTGTCACTTGCCGTCCGCGCGTCGTCATCGCTGCCGCGTGACCGCGCTCCCGTTTGTGTCGCCCGCGTGTGTGCTTGCCGTCCACTTGCCTTCGGTTGAGCAAACACGAAAACCCCTTTTCCAATCTTTGCCCAACTGCTCGCGCTGCCCTCGGGAACAGCCGAGCGGACCCCGGCACCTTTGGTGAGTTCATCATGTCCGGGCAAATATGGATAGCGAGGGTGCGCGAGTGTTCTGTTTGAGCTTATCTGAGCTCGCACAGCACCCTGCGCGGTCCTGCACATTGCAGAAAGGAAGGCCAGTAAAATAACTTATTCGGTAACAACTGTCGATATCTGTCTCTGGTGTGTTTTTTTGGTTTTTACCATGGTGGTGGTGGTGGTGTTTGCTACAATGTACGACATTCACTGCACGGGCCGGGAGCTTCTTCAGGAAGCCGAGCAGTTTCTCAAGAAGCTCCCAGGGCACGGTGCGAAACACGGGACGTAGCACCGAACATCGCTCGGCATCGGTGGAGTTGCACTGTGCAAACCTAACAAGGGGTGATGGTTCAAAGGGATGCCGTGTGTGTATTTTCTCTTTCTCTCTGCAGGGTCCACAGGGTGAACCTGGGCCCAATGGACAGCAAGGGAACCCAGGTACCCAGGTAAGAACTGGTGTCATCGTCATCGTCATCATCATCATCCATACAAACATTAATAATCATCGTGCAATCGCACAAACCTGCGTGATACAGTATAAATAATAATGTACAGCCTTTGTAAATCCACTGCTGAATAAAGATCCCTCCATGCCATGTCTAATTTGGAGGTTATTTGACCGTACTTTGGTGAAGGGGTGCTCAGCAACGGTTTGGTTCCCACGCTTCAACTGCACTTCGCCATGGCCAGGAATCGAACTCACGTCGCAAAGTTTATAGTGCAGTGCGCTAATCCCTGTGAATAAATGCCTGGTAATTGTCCTGCTTGCAGTCACATTCTCGACACCACGAATGCATTCTTCTTGAGAGACGTTCCAGAGTTGAGCCCTTCAAAACCATCAACAGAGCACGATGATCGGTCTGAGCATCTCGGTCATTGTTGTTATGGCCACGAATAGTCACCACTCGAGTGCCTACTGGTCGTCCAACAGCATTTGTGCGGAGTGGCCAAGCGTGGTTGGCACGGGCCCTGGTGCAACAAATTAACTACCCCACTCCCACCCTCCTGTCCAATTTCCACCCCTCATGATAGCCTGCCATCTGGGGCCCCTGTGGCCCATGGACCGATGAGTATTTGCGCCGCCTGCACACTTGATAACTACGCCGCTGTAAAATACAACTTGCTCAGAACACCACCAACCCAAAAGCGATTCTTCACCGACCTATAAAAAACGAATTGAGTGCCATCTCTCCTTGATTTGTCTTTGCCAGCTGCAAATGTTTACAATAAATCAGACGTGCAGTGAAAAGCTAAAAGCAGCATCTGTAGCAGGGATATGGGGTGTATTGTTAATGTATTGTATCTTCAAGTGGGAGAACATGTGTTATGTATGTAAATTTATGTACACAGCACTGCGAGTTTCCACATTGCTGCTTCACTGATCGCGCGAGTAAAATTACCGGTAAATTGAAAATAACAACAGGGGAGCTCTGTTTTTAAGTATCACTGAAATAAAAACAATATCTCAACATTTCGGTCCGCTGAACTTCAAGGAAGCATTGTGGTTTTTACGAGCAAGTCTTATATATACTTGCGTATGCAAGCTGAACTTATTTTGCACCATACGTAGCCAACCGTGCGAATCGGAGTTGTGGCAAAGAGCAGGGGGCATTGGGTGGTGAGCAATGTCAGACGGTGAACTTTGTCATTGTGGCATCTGAACATCGGCTGAAATGTCAAGGCTCTTTCTTTCCTCTTGGCGACAGTGAACATAATTTATTATTATGAACCTGTTATTTTACACAATAGAGTAAGCACTAGCGGTAATGTAAAAACAATGTGTGTGGAGTTTACGTGCAAACATATGTGTGTGCTTGTGGACAATGTTGATGCTTTCATAGTTATTACATGGATAAAAAAAAACTTATACGAGTGCTGAATGTGAAAAAAATATAGTCATCTGGATTTGATCGATTTAGGGCAACTTTTATAAAAGCAGATCAGATAATGCATCAACAATTCATTGCCACTGTTCATTCAGCAAGTTGTTTGAAACCAAGAGTGCATTTCAGTTTGTTAAAATAATTCCTCATGCCCCATGGTGCTCAAATGTTTACAATCTTTTTTGTGCTGTGATGTTTTTTTTCTTCCATTTTTTTCTTGAAGGGCTTGCCTGGGCCACAAGGCCCTATCGGACCTCCGGGAGAAAAAGTGAGTCGCGAATTAATAACCGTGAAAGTTTCCATTGGAAATTTGAGAGAAAAAGGAGTTTTGACTTTTTTTCAGGCAAACACAAAATGCCACTGTGCCACCAAAAGATTATTACAGCGCAAACTGCAATGTTTCATTTTAGAACCTTGAAGGGCATGGAAAGATATATTTAAATGTTACGGTTTTGTTTTTTAAACCACAGTGTCATTCAAAAGAACAACAAACCCTTTGCTACCCCTACTGTAGCGCGAATTGGCATTCACGATCTCCGTGCATTAAAACGGCAATCGTTCTATTTTCCTGAGACAATTTAATTCGATGTACCAAGTGCCACATTCAACATGGCAATAATGACAGTGTTTTGTTCAGTGCACCCGCTCTATATTTGGCAAGGAATATTTAAGATTGTGCATCCTAGGAAGGACAGAACATGAATGCAAAGTAAATATGAACAAAATGTGTTTGTGCTCAGTGCACTGTAAAGCCATTAGAAGACAATTATTGAGATATTCATCATCACCATGATCATCATCAATAGCCTTTGCCTATCCACTGCTGGATGAGGGCTTCCCCTATGTTATCATCTGACACTGACGCCTGTTAAACTATATATTTGGAGTTTGCATGTTCTCCCCGTGGCCGCGTAGATTTTTCTACGGGTCCTCCGAATCCCCCCTCCACATTTAAAAATGTATGTTTAGATAATTTGGCTGCTACTTTAAATTGTCAGGTGATAAACCACTTCGTTGAGCTATTATTTATGGCGAGGTCGCTTCTGAAAAAAGAGAAATATGGCTCAGTGGGCCTTACCTGGTAAAAAAAATATATACATACGTATAGTGGTTTAATAGTATCACCACAACTCATGGATCTAGGATGCCACGATCTTAACGCACTCGTGCTCATGAAAGTATCTCATTGCTGCATCTTCACCGTGGTTATCTTATTGGTTGCTTCTCTCATTTGGCTACCATTCTGTCACTTGACTAAACGATCGGTCATCATCCCTTCTCGCGGTGTGTCCTACCCACGCCCAAATTACACCTCTTCTGAACAGTCAGTGTGATGTCTTCGATTTCTGTTCGTTCTCTGATCCGTGTGCTCTTCTTCCTGTCACTCGGTGAATATTCCCAACATCTGTTGCAATGACAACAGATGTTGTTCCATATTCTTTGTCAGAGGCGATGTTTCTGATCAGCGTTGCCTTAGCTAGAAATATCTACTCACTGAAAATAGTTCTTATTCGGGCATATTGGTATGTTGCTTTTCATTACCAAAGCACTCTTGTCCTCCATTTGTTCACACCTATGTTTCATTGTTTTGATCATGGTCCACCTTCAACAAATGTCCTAAGCATGTGTGTATATATATAGCTGTGCGTTCCATTCATGTGTCTTTGCAACGATAATTTTACTGCATTTTTCTTCCTTCAGTGGCCTAAAATATGGCTCTAGGGTTTGGTGTTACATGTTATTTATGTAGTTTATTGTAAAAAATTCGATCACAGTCCCTATGATCACCGTTACATTGCATTTATGGCTTTTATTTTGGTGATTTCGAAAAGTTTTTTTGATTTGGCCATGTTTTTGTTTATTGTAGTACGGAGTTAGACTGATGGCCTTAATCTTAGTTGTCTTGTGGTTGTTGTTGTTGTTGTTTGACTTGCATCCCAATGGGATTTTTGCACACAGCGTTGGTGTACGGTGCTATTTCAGGAATATTTAGCTGTTTTTTTTTCCTGGATTTTCTGTTTGCACAGTAACATAGTCACTTTAAGATGTTTTCTTGTTCATGTTTTTGTTTGTAGCGGTTGCAACCGATTCAAGAGCCGAATGGCTCACAGGGCTATACCAAATAAATGGAACTATGAAACTATGGAACATGACTTCCGTTTTGCTCGTATTTATCCTGAGGCCAATTTTGTGGCCTTCGTTCGTGAAGTTTGGGTCGATCGCTTCCTGCGGTCAGTTTTCACCGGTCGTCACGACAACTGCGTCGGTGGCAAATCTGAGATGGTTAACGCTTTCTCCGCAGAGATACCAATCTCCTCCTCGCTTGTGTTTGCAGGGCCCACAGGGCAAGCCAGGACTATCGGGTCTCCCTGGGGCTGACGGACCTCCGGTGAGGTCTTAGCTTTTAAGACGAGAAAAAAATAAGCATCTTATGATGAAAACTCTTATCTCGATGCTTAACTTTGCTCAAGAGACAACACGCAAGGGTCCCTGCGGGTTAACCTTCCCTGTTTGTGCTGGATAAAGGCTGTCGATGACCGCGGTGGTGTAATGGTCAGCGCACTGTAGTTGCAATCCAGAGGGAGCAAGTTTGATGCCAGCTCCTGGTGTGGCAATTGAAACAAACGTTTTTAACCCCCCCCCCCCACCACCACCCCCGCCTCTGTCCACCCAGGATCCAGCAGAATAAATGGGTGCACCGTGGTAAAGTCTATCAGCAGGTCGTGTGCGGTGTGGTAAAGTGTGGGTACTCTGACCTCTTCGAAGAGGTCTGACCGGCGTGGAAGAGTAGGCCAAAAATACACTTTAGAGGTGCTCCCGACAATTGCTCCCTCTGCTGGACGCTCTTCAGTAGCACGAGAGAGAAAAAAAAAACGTTCGCGGTTGCACCTTTACCCTTTGTGCTGAATAATTGTGAAAGCCAAAAAAAAAACCGGCAGCTTTGCGGCCGATGGCCACGCACATTTGTTTTGCGTTTGCTGCAGCCGAAACATGTCGCGCGAAAGATGAGCTTTCGGAATCCCGGATGCGGCGCATTTGCCGATGGCCCTTCGATGCAGGCTGCGGACGACGAGCCCAGGTTCCGCCTGACGTTGCATGCCTCTGCAAACAGCTCCTCTCTCGCTCGTTTTCTCGTGCGCAGGGTCACCCAGGGAAAGAAGGCCAGCCCGGCGAGAAGGGAACTCCGGTACAACGCGGACCCTGTCTTTTCCTCTGCACCAATGTCGCACTTATTTTCATAATTCGAAGTAAATGTATCTTTTTATGGGTGTGGCAGTGTGGCTCAGTGGTCGGAGCGTTGAGTTGGCACCACCTGCGATTAAACTGGGCTCTCAATAGCAGTGAGTTGATGGTATCAGCCCGGTCACAAACGACTGCACAAAAAATAAAACCCCCATCATTTCGCGTTGGGTTTTGCGCTTAATTTGTCTAAATTCCAGCTCTGACTCCCATGCGATGGGCATTTCCCTCCGCGACAGAGTGATTGTTAAAGTGCTTCCCTCTACTGTGTGTGGACCAGAGGTCACGTGGAGGGGTAGCCTCAGAGGTAGCTCTGTGGTGTCCGCTTCCATGGTCCGTTCCCTCGCACGAAAAGTCTCACTGCTCTGCAAGGTGTTCAAATGGATGCTTCCTCTCGGGACGTGACGTCGATAGAGCATTCAGGATAAAATTGTGGAGAAATGACGACAAAAAAATTACATCTCTCATTGCTAGTTGATGGCTAGGTGTTGTAGTCGTGTGTAAAAGTCCAATTTGTTCTTCTTTTCAGGGTCCTGCCGGTCCTCAGGGTCCAATAGGCTATCCCGGTCCGCGAGGTTCAAAGGTGAGTGGGGTATCGAGAGAGGTAAAGTTAAAGGATTCCTGAAATGGGACGTGTTTACCCATGGCTGCATTGCGCCGTTTGGAAGCTGATCCTGCACCGCACACGAAAGTCGCGTGACTCTGAGCAGCGTCCTTTGCACACCCCGAGTGGCCACCTGATGAACTGAACGACGGTTTCACGTGACAGCAAAGCTGGTACAGAGCCCGGCACAGACTGTGTAGACCATGGCAGAGCAAGTACAGAACTCGATGAAGTGAACGTTACCGGCAGCCTGGCATGTTTCCAGAAACCTGCCTGACGTCGGCACCGTGACACGCTGATCGGGAGAACGTTTCCCGTCCGTGCGTGGAAAGCGGCCGAGGCTTGCTGGCGAGCAGAATTCGGGTAGCGCCAAAGTGGTGTGTCGGTGATTGTTTCCGCCGGCACGTCGCGCGTGCCAGCGGGGAGCTTCTTTGGAGAAACGATGCTGCAAGAGCCACTGAGCGGCACAGCCCCGGTAAACTTCAGGGCAGTCCTCTTTTGGAAAATGCGCTTGAAACGTTTCGCCGCGATCTCGCCCCAAAGTTAATTTCCCCGACGAGCCTCGTCTGCAAATGTCGATCTGCGACGACGGCACTCGCGTGGCCAGGGAGCTCGTTTCGGCGGTCCCGCTCAATTCGCGGAGCGCCGGGGAACGCGCGCTTGAGGCATGAATCGGGAGTTCGTGACGCTCATCGCGCAGTAAGGATACTTCGTGTTTTGCCAGGTGTATTATGGGCAGCACATTGGCACGTGGCAATCAGTTCATGCTGAGGGAAGTGTAGATCATGTTTTAATCGACTGCGTTTATTGCCTCTACCTTTATACCGGTCAGCTGTGAATGTATAACTTTTCTTCATTAACTTTTGCATCACGGGCACGGTATGCACTGATGAACGCTCTTGCGTGCGCTTATATGCACGGGAGGTTTGTAAGCCGCATGGAAACTGCCAATATGTTAAATGTGATGACTGTTATTTACGGCGGCTAAAATATAATACGCCCATTACAGATGGCGATGTGTTTTTTGAAGGCCATAGTGGGATCAAGAACGTGCAGACCTTGCAGTGGTATTAAATTTCAATTTTCAGCAAATGCGTGAGCATTTTTCCCGTTATCCTTTTAGTAGCCTCTGGTACCTTTATTTTAGGAATCCAATTATGTGTTTTTTTTTTGCCAAAATGGAAAATTGTTTTCTTCACAATGATGTGTCTTTATTGCATGGCAGAAGATTGAGAAAAAAAACCATAATGTAGAGTAATGTGGTTTTCAAGGTGAAAACAAAGATGTTGCAGCCTAAATTGGCCTATAATTCTCCAATGGTCAATCACATTTTCAATCGGCGAGGTCACATGGTTTGTTTACTCGAGCGTTCATTGACATTTTTTCCCCTCCCATAGTTATTTTACAAAGGTTATTGTTACTTCTAAAACGCTTGCAATAGCCCGAACGTCCTCTGCGTTGGCCGCTTAATTGAAGGAACGCAACTCCATCATCCCCAGTCTGTTTGTACACGTGGCCATCACCCCACTCCCCCCCCCCGCCGGCCTTTGTCTAATTTTCTCAGCGTGTCCCTAGATCTGATTTCGACGCGAAATACGAAAAAGCTACGGATTTTTGCAAAACAAAACACACGCAAAAAATGTTAAGCGATAACCGTGTACGCGCACGCAGGGGACACAGCGGGGGGGGCCCAAAAAAAATCACTCCTTACTCCACGCACACGCTCGCTCGCGCTCGCACGACTAAATTCCTGGCGCCTCTTCTTCTTCTTGTGTTGTTCTCTCGCCCGTTGTTATGAAAGGGTGCGGACGGCTCGCGTGGACTCAAAGGAGGCAAAGGCGAAAAGGTACCCTCTCCCTCCTTCCTCTCCGCAGACGTCGACAGACATCCGTACTTCACCCGGCGCGTATCCCCGATTACGCTACAGAAAACGACGCGTTTCTTTGTTCCTCTTTCAAGCCGCATGCCTTATCCTGAAATTGGAGGTCATGGCGGGGGGGGGGAGTGGCTACAAATGTTTTTTTGCAGGCCACGACAGGCGACTGTAACGAGAACGGCCGACCTGTTGTGTTGGGGTTTTTTTTGTTGCTTTGCTGCCACATATTTTATTTTGACATTTTAAAGTATTGCGATTCATTTTTCTCTATTAAATTTTACTTGCAGGGAGAAGATGGATTCCCAGGATTTAAAGGGGACATTGGGATTAAAGGTGACAGGGTGAGTGAGATATTATTGTGTACTTTATATATATAAATCTGAAATAAGCTTACGATCGAGTCCTCAGGAGCAAGTTATAGGAAGGTATAGCAGAATATGGAATTAGTGGATGTCCTAGGAGCATAAAAGTTTATACAAGGACAGCAAAGGAGGCTATTTTTATCATACGGAGACCTCAGCAACTGGCTCTTAGCAAATACCGGGGTCAAACAAGGTGACGTGCCGTCACCTCGACTGTTTATCATTCGTACTTTGATGGAATTCTCGGGTCAGATACTGCAATGGAAGATTGAATAAAATTAATAAAAACACGTAAATTCTGGTAGTAGTTCCCGCTGAGATGGAAAGGAAAACCGTTTTCAGGCGGATGGCTGGCTGCTATGTGACGTATTGTATATGAGAATGGATAAGAATGACGTGTGACCTCAGAGGCACACACAATGTAAGGACAACGCGAGAGAAGGTTGCAGACACGTGTGAGCATAAACCTGGCGATATTAGTATTATTACTGAAGAAATGTAACGGCACTCAAATTTGATATAACCGAATCTTAACTTGCCATCTTTTGTAAATTGTAAATTGTATTAACGTGCGGCGTCTCTATTCTACATCGTGTAAACATGTGTATACCCGTGTTCTTGATGACATGTTTACATCTGTATTTGTATTACTTGGTACAGGTACGTTTATTTTTATTTTACCGCTCCCGTAACATTTGGTCTGAATTGTTTGCATTTGGTTTTGCTCGGCACCAGATACGTTTTTTTTTTGCTTGAAGTAGAGACCTCTGGACTGCGTGACCTCTTACCTATCAATCAATCCGTAACATATTACCCACGACATACATTAATAAAGCATTTGACATGCATTGCATCGTATATGTAAATCAATATAGATATTTCATAGACATCTAAATGATTCCCCATTCTATGAATGCTCACGATCCGGGTCACGGTTCGCTTCAATAATTCATTTAATTTTCTTTCACCAACGTGAGCATGTTGAATCTCTGTTTACGTGATCCACACCGTGGAGTAAAAAACATGCAGAATGCACAGCCCCCTGCCAATCTACTGCATCTACTGCTGGATTAAGCCCCACCCCCCCTCCCGTGAGCCATGACAGTTGTTTGACCATACTTCACCACGCTTCGTGACTGGTGCGAGAAGGAGATGCCGAGAAACGGTCCAAAATACGGAGCATCTACGGCGCACTGAACGACGTATCGCGCCAGTAGAGTAGAGGGCATCCCCTTCTGAACCCGTGCCGGTGAAGTAATTACTACTAAATTTTGATTTAAAGCTTTCGTGACTGCAGGGATTCATATTATTGGCTATTTCGGTAAAGTCACGTAGAAGGGAAACAATAAAATAATACAAATATAAAACAATAAAATTCTCACGACGATTCGACTGCAACACAAGCAATCATCATCATTTGTGAAAACCACAGCAGTAGGCTCACATGACATTGACTTCTCCAAGACAGGTTCTTTGCAAGCCATCTGGCTGCCATGAGAGATTTGTTCATGAGGCTATCCACATATACAAACACAGAGACAATTTCAACCGAGAAGATGGATTCTGGCTTAGCAATCATTGGAAGGATTTGATAAACCATTTCGGGTCTTAATTGATTGTTCACGCTTACGGTGGCTTTCAGACCGCATCCATTATTTTCGTCTCCCCCCTCCTCTTTTCCAAACATAGATGGACTCGTCCATCTGAATAACTGCCAAATCGCTCTCCGTGGTGCTAACATAAAAAACGCCACTTTTTAAATTTTCTTGCTGTGGTTTTCACACCTGATCATGATTGCTTGTGTTGCAGTCGAAACGTCGTGATAATTTTATTGTTTTATATTTTTATTATTTTATTGTTTCCCTTCTACGTGACTTTACTGAAAGAACCAATAATATAATTACTACTAAATTTAAAGATGGTGATGTATAAGCAGGCTATGATGAAGGTGACTTGATTCTGTTTGAAAACTACTCGGGAGGAATGGTGGGGATGAGCTCTGAGGACATGGCTGGTGTAGCCGGAGCTGAGAAAATAATATGAAGGAACCCGAATCAGGGTTGTGCAAACGATGACATCTGATGCACTGTCCCCATGTGCTGCGATCAATGAACATTAGGGTACAGTGAGGGAAAAAAGTATTTGATCCCCTGCTGATTTTGTACGTTTGCCCACTGACAAAGAAATGATCAGTCTATAATTTTAATGGTAGGTTTATTTGAACAGTGAGAGACAGACAGCAACAATAAAATCCGGAAAAACGCATGTCAAAATGCTTTAATGAGGGAAATAAGTATTTTACCCCCTCTCAATCAGAAAGATTTCTGGCTCCCAGGTTTCTTTTATACAGGTAACGAGCTGAGATTAGGAGCACATTCTTAATGGGAGTGCTCCTAATCTCAGCTTGTTACCTGTATAAAAGGCACCTGTCCACAGAAGCAATCAATCAATCAGATTCAAAACTCTCCACCATGGCCAAGACCAAAGAGCTCTCCAAGGATGTCAGGGACAAGATTGTAGACCTACACAAGGCTGGAATAGGCTACAAGACCATTGCCAAGCAGCTTGGTGAGAAGGTGACAAACAGTTGGTGTGATTATTCGCAAATGGAAGAAACACAAAAGAACTGTCAATCTCCCTAGGCCTGGGGCTCCATGCAAGATCTCACCCCGTGGAGTTGCAATGATCATGAGAACGGTGAGAAATCAGCCCAGAACTACACGGGAGGATCTTGTCAATGATCTCAAGGCAGCTGGGACCATAGTCACCAAGAAAACAATTGGTAACACACTACACCGTGAAGGACTGAAATCCTGCAGCGCCTGCAAGGTCCCCCTGCTCATGAAATCACATATACATGCCCTTCTGAAGTTTGCCAATGAACATCTGAATGATTCAGAGGACAACTGGGTGAAAGTGTTGTGGTCAGATGAGACCAAAATGGAGCTCTTTGGCATCAACTCAACTCGCCGTGTTTGGAGGAGGAGGAATGCTGCCTATGACCCCAAGAACACCATCCCCACCGTCAAACATGGAGGTGGAAACATTATTCTTTGGGGGTGTTTTTCTGATAAGGGGACAGGACAACTTCACCACATCAAAAGGACGATGGACGGGACCATGTACCATCAAATCTTGGGTGAGAACCTTCTTCCCTCAGCCAGGGCATTGAAAATGGGTCGTGGATGGGTATTCCAGCATGACAATGACCCAAAACACACGGCCAAGGCAACAAAGGAGTGGCTCAATAAGAAGCACATTAAGGTCCTGGAGTGGTCTAGCCAGTCTCCTGACCTTAATCCCATAGAAAATCTGTGGAGGGAGCTGAAGGTTCGAGTTGCCAAACGTCAGCCTCGAAACGTTATTGACTTGGAGAAGATCAGCAAAGAGGAGTGGGACAAAATCCCTCCTGAGATGTGTACAAACCTGGTGGCCAACTACAAGAAACGTCTGACCTCTGTGATTGCCAACAAGGGTTTTGCCACCAAGTACTAAGTCATGTTTTGCAGAGAGTCAAATACTTATTTCCCTCATTAAAATGCAAATCAATTTATAACATTTTTGACATGCGTTTTTCTGGATTTTGTTGTTATTCTGTCTCTCACTGTTCAAATAAACCTACCATTAAAATTATAGACTGATAATTTCTTTGTCAGTGGGCAAACGTACAAAATCAGCAGGGGATCAAATACTTTTTCCCTCACTGTAAGCAGAAGTCCCGAGACTGACTCAGCAATGATTTGCACAGTGCCCAGGGTCCATGTATGGGTCGATAATAATTAATTGTTAATTGACATTATATTTCTCATTTCAATACATGTTACCCGATATCGTTTGAGGAGGGCTGCAATAAGGAAATGAGGTGTGAAGGAATTATCACTGTGGCTTTTTCGCTACAAAAAAAACTAATCTAAACTAACCAGAATTATTGACAAAATGTTAATTGTGCTTATGAATGATATTAGATCCGCGCCTTATTGTCCTCATGGGGAAATAAAGTCACCGTTAGATTTTTGTTATCGGTGGGGCAGTAGCACAGTGAAAGATTTCCCTAGGATATTCATGACAGATTAATCATACACGGACGTCGCCATTGTGTCGCGGTTACCACCTTATATTTGCAATTGGAAAGTCGCTGGCTCGATGTCCGGGCCCGGCAGTTAAAACAATGGACCCCGTCCACCCAAGCGGGATACATTGAGTTCACCAGGGTCGCGTGTGGTGGGGTAAAATGTGGGTATTCCCACCTCTTCCCAGGCGTTTGGCCAGCTATGGAAGAGTAGGCCAAAAAAACCTCCAGAAGGCCTCTCTAGGGCTCCCTGCAGTGGAGGGCCCTTCCGTCAGCAGCTGCGTGAGCAAGCAATTGCAGAGCTGCAATTTATTCTTTCATCTATTTTCTACATATTTTATGATGAGTCAAAATCAAAGTGATTTGCTGCTCAAATGAGCACCGAGGCAGTTTTCATCTCCCGTTTACAGCCCTGAGCCAGTGGTGAAAATTCCAAATTTCAGGTGCGAGTCTGCCCACAGCACAATCACACTGTGGACTTCGCCACGAAGCGGTCCCCATTGAACCTACCCATAGGGATGACGGAATGATGAGCCAACCTCCAACCAGGATTCGAACTCGCGGGGGGCCTTCCGATTGCGAGCCGCTCGCTCCGCCGCTGCGCCGACCTGGACTTCGCATTTTTCACTGGGACTTCGCTCCGGATGCGTCCGCTCGGGCGATTGCGGTTGGTTAAAACGGCCCTTCCTCCGTAGATCTACTCACAGCCTGCATGCCATCGCCACTCGTCCGAGGTCTCAGCCAGCTTGATGCCCCCCTCGGCTACAAATCACGTGGTCCCCCCCCCCCCCACCGATGGGCAATGCAATTAGCGAGGGGCGCTTCTCTCACTCGCACCTCGTAGGTGCAGGTGGCCGATTAACGCCGGCACTTGTAGTCGGGGGGGGGGGGGGGTGGTGGAATTCAAGGCGGCTCAGCGAGCCCCGTACCTCGTTACTCGTGAAGGCGATTCGGGCGTGCGCTCACGGCAAACGGCGCCGTAAATCATCGCCCTCCTTAGAATTCCAAGCGGAGCCGCGCATAAATACCGCGACGAGCAACTCCCCGTATGCTTTCGGTAAAAAAGAAAAAACCTAATAAGCTGCTGCAAGGAGATGAAAAATACTCGGGCCCGGGCGCTCGCTCCTGAAAATAAAATGTATCGTCGCGAAGCCAGTTTCAAATTGGGTAAAAGTTCCGAAGAGAATTATGCCACCAGTGGTCGTAGCACTAACGGGCGCTGCCTCGTTGGAAGAGTCCGCGGAGAGTGATTTAACTCTTCTGCGTGAAAACTCAATGGTGCGAAGTAAAGCATTTAGGCGATGGAAAGTTATTGGATTAAAGAATAATGTGATATGATTTTTTTGCAAGGGACGCTGATCATGTTGAAGGACTATCTATGTACACTGTCCAAAATATCTACTGGCGCTTAAGGGTGTTAAATAACCGTGATGTTCCGAAGGCTGGCGACATCGCTTCGGCTCAGATAATTGTATACCCGTTTCTTGGTTGCGTGTTGGTAAATCTCGTGTGGGGTGCTCGCGGGCGTCCGCGTGCGTGTGTCTCCATGGTGGTCGCTAACAGCATTCATCGCGACTGCCAATGCAGGCAGCACAGGCATATCTCTATCTCTCTGTCTTTGCAAATACTTTTTACAGTGCGTGGCAAAAGACTGCATGACGGCTAGCGCAGTGCACTACAATCTCGGCAACCTCGGTTCAATTCCTGACCAAGAAAAAATCGTAAAATATAGTTCTCGGAAACTTTGCCGCCCTTAGGTGGACGCGGGCTTAAAAGTTTGCGTATTGACCTGTGTCGTACGGTGACCTGTTCTGGGTATGAAGTGAAACTGCAACCGGCAATGGTGTCACCTAAACACGCTTACGTGGACGGCAAGGTGGAACCACCTGAGTTGTCCTCGCTTAGTCGTGACTCAAGAACACAAGGGCGAGGTGAAGGGTAGGAGCGAGATGCGATGGAACGGAGGGAAGCGCGGCCCATGAGCTTGCTCTTGAGCAGAGACATAAAAAATTAGACTGCGCATGCACCTCCATGTGCGGAGCTTTGCCACAGGTTGAGTGGTATTGGGTGCAGGTCTACGATACGAAGCGTCACAGGGATGAGATGTTATCTCCCTCGTCTGGTATGCAGGAGGTCGTGGGTTCGATCCCGACCCTGACGCCTGTGTGCTTGTCGTTTGCATCTCTCTGTTCCCGTGGTCGCGTGGAATTTTTCTCCGGGTCCTTCCGATTTCCCTCTCCACATGTAAAAACGTACGTTTAGATTATTTGGCTGCTACTATAAATTGTCAGGTGATAAACCACTTTGTTGAGCTAATATTTGTGGCGAAGTCGCTTCTGAAAAAAGAGCGATATGGCTCGGTGGGCTTTACGTTGGTAGAATAATAAGTGTAAACAGTGTAGGCTGTGGAAAGTGGGACCAGATGGGATAGAGCCATGAACCTGCCCTTTGCTTTGATAACTTAACGAAAAAAATTGATGTTATCCTCAGCAGCAACGCAAAGACAAAGGTGGCTCGGTTTGGCGCAGCCCCACCCAGTGCCACTCCATGTGCTACAACCAGCCCTGCATTTTGCGATCACTAGAAGAACTGGGGCAGAAAAAAATGTCTTTCATCTGTGATGAATGAGGTCGCGTGTGTGTGTTTGCGTGCGTGCAGGGCGAGAACGGACCAGCGGGCCCTCGCGGAGAAGATGGGCCAGAGGGCCCCAAGGGGCGCATTGGGCCCACGGGAGACCATGGGCCCGGGGGCCCATCTGGCGAGAAGGTGACCCCAGTCTGCTCATCGTGTTTTGCCGGCTTGCTAAAAAAACGGCATCGCCCCCCCCTCTCCCCCCGCTCTGCCCCGCCCCCCCAGCCCCCCCCCCCCATCCCCCCTCCATCACTGCTGCATTGCACAAATCAATACACTCCACTTTTATAGCTTCTCATTATATTAGCGCGGCCTTCAAAAAATACCCTCACCACCGTCATCATCGACACTGCTTCCTGATAACAGGAATGTAAGCATGTGCCGTGCTAACACTCAGAGCTCTGGTCCGCTGTAATTAACGAAGAGGCAGCAGTTTTCTTCATTTCTAATTGTGATCGGCTTCGTCCCTGCGAATGATTTCAACGCACTTTACTGCATACGTGGATATTTGATTATACAGAGTGTGTGCTCTCGTCCGCGTGGAGGCTGCTTATCTGTTTGGCTTTCGTTGCTACGCGGCGTGGGAAATGTATTGCAAAAGATATCGTTTCTTCTCGTCTAAAAAAAAAAGTGTTTTTCCGTCGTCATAAATGCGGGAAGGGCCCTCGTTTTACCTTGAGAGCAACATACCATTTTACATTTGATCATGCTAGCCAGTGTTTGTACCCATGTTACGCTGCTTAATTTGTTGACCTGAGCATCACCAACATTATTATTATCATCATAGTGACCGCAATTGTCATGATCTCCCTCCACTTCATCGCTCCCCAGCAACACACCACTCACCTCTTCTTTGGTTCTTTCGGTAACGTCACGTAGAATGAGAATAAAATAATAAATTGATAAAATAAAATAACACAATAATGCTCATCGCCATCTCCGCCGCCACCTTTATCACCACTTCCAATGTTGAAAGGCACTGCATAAATGGCTTATTTTCATCTTAACAATCTTTAAATTTTGTTCTTAATCTTCATCACAAATTGTTATAGCGATTGGGAAAATGTCTCCTGTCGTACCATATTGCCATTAGCTTTTAAAACGATTTCTATGATCTCATTGGCCAGAAGTTGCATTATTTTTCTTTAAGTTTGACAGCTAATTTATTACAGCTGCAAAACCTGCCTCCACGCTCCCTCCGCTGTGCTCTAATGGAACTCTTTCTCAGAGCTTTAATGTCTACCGTTGCGAGAGATTTCATGCTTTGTTTCTCTCTTGTTTTGTTTTTATACAATAACGCACATTGAGAAGAACACAGGGGAAGAAAAAAAACCCAAACCAATATTCCAGAGATTTCGTGCAATTTTTATACTTAATGGTCTCTGTTTTGGGTCCATAAAAAGCCATCTGTGTTGTAAAAATGCAACAGTTATAATAATCTCCCGTGAAAAAAACCCCGTTAATGTGTTGGTATAAATAAAATTATATGCTACATTAACCCGTATACATATGAGAATGGGCTAGTCAGCAACTAATATTGAATTACAATTAACATTTTCAGAGGAGACCAGGCTATTAAAGCTCCTGTCTTTATAATAATAGGGCTTTCCTTCTTGTGTGTGCTGGTAATATAACATTTTGAAAACATCCTAACCTTGTCGGGATTAAGAGATGTATTTCAATGTGCTGCAGATGCCATAAACTCTCAAAATGAGATATAGATTACAAAAAAACAGATGTTTCACCCATTATCTATCTACTGCTGGATGAACCCCCCCCCCCCCTCTTCATACCATCAGTCATGGGGGAGGGAATTGTTTGACCATACTTCAGTGTCAGTTCGGCCTGGCGAGGCGCTGTCCCACGGTTGTGAAAGTAAGAAGTGCCATTGCTGAATATAATCACCCCCAACTGCCAAAAAATACAGATGGTCCAATATACACCTGGGGAGGGAATGCCATGACCTCCACCTGACCTCGCCACCGAACTGCCGCTCACTGCTGGGTTCAGTGCCTGGGTTCACACACCATTAGCTCTCACTGTTGAGCTGGTCATTACGTAACATGTCTAGGCACGCATCGTTTTATTTATTTATTTTCTTTCTAAGTTCACGGCAAATTCCATCGGAAACGAATAGTGGAAACACGCATCAAAGCACGTGCAGGTGATCGCAACTGATTGAGCGCGCGAGTGACCGATGGGGGATTCTATTGGTGCTTTCGAATGGCTGGAACTTGGTGTAAATGATAGATTCCGACAAAAGCTTCGTCATTACCATCAGCCGAGTTCTTCCTACTGCTGGACCAATGCCTCTCAAAGCCATGGTCATCCATCACTCGTTTGTGTACGCGCGATCCGATGTCATCACTCCGTCTCCATGGTAGGCATATCCTCTGGGGCATCTTCACTCCTCTGACAGCTACTGCGCATCATCCCTTCCCGTGATCTGCCCTACGCAAGCCAGATCACCTCTGTTGTCGGTCTTCATCGTGCCTTTCGTGCCTTGCGTGGGATTTTGACTGCACACCTTGAAAACTCATGTTTGTTTTCTTTATTTGAGCCCCAAAATGAGGTTTGCAGCACCATGTATCCTATAGATTATCTAAGGCTCCTCCTCCTCATGGGCAATAATACCTGGGGGCCGTTGTTCCTGGCAGATATATGGCATGCTTCAGCCTCGTCTCAAACGCCCCCATAGAACCAGGGCAGCCTCCCGCTATATGAACCAAGAGCACCTGCAGCAAGTGGCGAGCGTGCTACCACTGGGCCATGTCCACCGGCCCATGCCCGTGTGTCCACGTGACCCCTATGGTGGCCGTGTGTCCACATGACCAGTGTGGTGCCCGTGTGCCCACGTGGCCCGTGTGGTGTCTGTGCCCATGTGTCCACGTGATCCACGTGGTGGCCATACCCGTGTGACCCAAGAGGGCGACTGGTTTCACTCGTAGAGCAAATTCAGCCTAAAGTTTTATCTTGTTTTAAGTCTCACGATAAGCACTTTCAAAAATATACTGTATATGATCCCGAACAATCAACTAACGAAAGTAATTTGCTTCCCTGTTGAGCATCATACGAAAAAAAAACCCAGTGTGAAGAAAGCAAAGGTCACTACTAGTAACTTGTATGCGGTGTCATTCTATCAGGTCTTGTCACCATGTCTTACGCCCTTCTTCTAGGAATATGTCCCATGCATGTTCACGTACTCCGGCCTCTAGACCCAATAATTAATCTATTAAATGTCTAATTTACTACCCAGTCCTTGCTGCCTCCCCTCTGATGCATGACGCTATGGATTGGTGGGATATAATAATTCTCTTACCGAATAATATTTCATTTGTTGTACTTGTAATTTACAGCTCACTCAAGCTAAATATGTGCCGCTGCATTTCATCATGTATAGGCGGAATAGGTAGTGCTTCGCTTGGGTTACGTAATGCACGGTGTTGAACAGGTTGATTCGTGTGTGTGGTGTGTGTGTGTATTTGTGTGTGCATCCATCGTGCGCCGTGCCGGCCTTCATAGGTGCTCACTAACAGCACATGCCCCAACAGCCTGTTAAGGTTATACGGGGGATCTTTGCATCCACTGATATGTTTTATTTTTTCATCAGGGTAAGCTTGGAGTACCCGGATTACCAGGCTATCCTGGCAGGCAAGGGCCAAAGGTATGGAAATCAATATTAATTATGTCTTTACATACACACACTCGCACAGAGCGTACGTATACTGAACACATCGAAAGAACAGTTTAACATTAAGACGATTACTTATTTTGTTGGTTAATGTCTCGGGATATGTGGTCAATATGCATGTAAACCATTGATTTTATCCCGTATAATATACGTTTTCATTGCAAAACAAAATGTAATTGAATGTTTGCATTTGTTTCAGCTAACATTATGAACGTCAATAACGTATCTTCCTTTCATTTGTTTAATCTTTGCTTGCAATCGATGTCAAAAAGTAAGATGCATACTAAAGCTGTCGCGATGAAATACCTGCCCCCAATAAAAAGGTCCCTTCGAACAATGCCAAAATGAGCAGCTCAAAAGATTCTCCAGTGCTTTCGGCTTATGCCGCGTGTCGTCCGGCACGATGTCCGACGTTTCGCTACACGTGCTCTGCTGGTTCCTGAAGAAGCTTCCTGGCACGTCGAGGGAAACGTTGGACATTTACGCCGGACAACACGCGGTACAAGATGAAAACACATGGTTGGAGAGCCGTACGGCACAACTACGATAATTTGCTCTAAAATAAATTGTCGGTGTCTGCTGCATTGCTCGTAAAGGATTCACGTGTCTAAATCAACGAGAAACCTTTCGGCCGATGTTCAATTTTCTGAAAAATTTGATGTTTGTTTTGGTCAGGGCTCCACCGGTTTCCCAGGATTCCCTGGGGCGAACGGAGAGAAGGGTGCCAGGGTAAGAGATGTAAAAGCAATCATGAGCCTCGCCCGGTCTTATCACTGCTGGCTGATTGTCAAACATACGCGACCAACATTGCACTTACAGATGACTAATCACTTTAAAGCCATAGAACATGCCGCATTTTGTCCTGTACACACACTCGGCAGAGTCGTAATGGATTAGCCAATGCCTTACCACGGCATGTAAGCAATTTTGCGTGCAGTGCCATTGTATATTTATGTGACCTTCAATCTCTGATGGAATCAATTAATCATTACTGGGACTTTGTATGAAAATGCTGCCATCATTTCAATCATAAAACGAAGTGAAATGTGAACAATAGCATGCTCGTAAATCTTTGATTTGTCCTTTAGGACATGAAGATGCGGGCTGTTTATTGAATAAAACTTTCTTGACAGTTACTAAACGCCTCTAAATTTAGAAAAAGCAGTGAGGATCCCGATGTTTGTATATTTTTACCCGACGTCTATTGATTTATTAGCCTCTGTGTTGGCGTTGACAGACCCCCCCCCCTAAAAGTAGGAGTCAGCATAAGGAAGGAAACGGCACACTTTCAAATTGAGCACTTCAGCCGCTGCATGTGCAGCGCTTCATGAAGAATGCTGAACAATAAACAACGCTTCATAAATAATGCTCAATAAACAACGCTCAATAATAAACAGCGGGCAGCCGTGCTCTGCGTGCGTTCTCGGTGGGCAGAGTTGAATTTCTAGGTCCCGCTCGCGCTCGTCAAAACGTTGTCGCCAGTGTAAATGGAGTCAGATTGTTTAAAATTGTATTTGAGTTCATTCACCGTCTTAGTCTCGTCGACTTCAAATACAAGGCCTAGTCTGTCATTTTCTGAGTGTAGTCGACAACAGGAGCAATGAATTTAGTCATTCTTATTTTTTAAGTGATGGCAGGGAAATTCGCCACACCCAGCATTATCAGGTCAGCCAATCCTTGAACTCAGTAAACTTTGTAAGTCATTTTATATTCAGCATAGGGTGGTCTTTTCAAATCCCCCCGGGCTCTGTATACCCGGCATTATATATTGGTACACAGTAGGTCAGTGGGCAGGTTGCATATGGTGGGGGAAAGTGTGGGGATTATGAGCAACTTATGGGTGGCATGGAAGAGGAGGCGATCTATCTGCTAGAGGTGCTCCCCTAAGCTCCTTCTACTGGAGGCCCTTCTACCAGCAGTGACATAAGCAAAACTTGCAGGGGCTGCACCTGTACACTTTCATGTTGCTGGCTTGACGGGCGATTTAAGAAACGTGTCCATCGTTTCAGCCCGCGTGCCAGGAAATCAAATCGAACTGGCAACCTCAGTCCAGTCTGCTAAGCGTGACGCCAAGGCAGGCAGCATCATATACCGCAAAGCCCACTTTAAGTCCAAAAAACATAATTTTATTGTGAGATGGAATAACCCCTTCAGGTTGTGATGGAATAACATTCAACAGTTGCGACTTCTCCAATGTCCTGGTTTGCCAACGTAGGATTTACAAGGCATCAAAGAGTTTTTTTTTTTACAATAAAATATCTAAACCTGAAAAAGCCATTGGGTGTTGTGGACTATGCATATGAAAAACGAGCCACTCTGTGGAAACTATCCTAGCGTGAAGGTCGACCAGAACTTGGTTGAAACTGTCTGAACCATCGTCTTGGCATGTCCGGTCTGTTGGGAAATCCTCTGCCAGCGCACGTGATGACATTAGCTGAGTTATTATTGAGAGGAGTCTCGTAAGTCTCTGAGAATTTACAAGGTACGGGAGGTGGCTCCGTTCTGAATTTAAAACCGGTCAAAACTTTCACAAGCTGTTCCGTGTCTGCTGAGGAATATGTTTTTGGTACTTGAGCATTATAATATTTTAGTTAAACATTTTTTGTAGCGATATTACATGTGTGTATCTATATATATAACGTTCATGATAGAGGTTTTTTGGGTTAGATCGCGTAAATATATAAATGTTTCGTTAAAACCCGCCACCACCCGACACAGCCAACTAGTAAGGGGTTGTCACGTAAACAGAACGTGGCCAATTCGTCACTAGTACAGCACACCGGTGTGTTGGAGAGCCAAGCCACAAAATTTACAATCTGAGTACGACGTTTCGCCAGTAATTACAACTAGCTTCATCAGGCGACAGCCAGATTTGTGGAGAAGTCCACCTGTTTCGTTCCTTATATAGAGGCGTAGATGTGGTAACCACGCTTCTGTGCTCTTGCACAATGTGGGGGGGGGGGGGGATTACTGAGGCAACGTACATTATGCATGTGCATTATGCAGGCCCTTTGAACTTGTTCTTCCTGTCTATTGTGTGTATTAAAATAGCCCGTACCAACGGTAATCCCTATTGAAGTACGCTGCCCTTTGTAGGCATGCATTTAAATAATGTATGATTTGTTGATTCGCTTCCAAGCAGCACTAAGGCGGTAGCTATCCGAACTGTAAATTTTATTTATTTATTTCAATTTCGATAGGTTATCTAATTAGTCTTGGCCAGTAGTAGCTCGTTTTGCACAACACTTCACTATGATCAAAATCAATTGAATGTCCTTGTTGACACGCGTGTTCTGCTACTGCTGACAGTTGTATTTGGGAGAATTTAATATTTCTCTGATGTTCTTTTAGTCTCGTGCTGATCATTCGTCCTGTTTGCCCAACATAACATTTACCACACGCGCACTTAATCTTGTACACACCAGCTGTTGAAAGCTTCGGTAATACATCTTTTGTAGCAGAAATTATTTTTTGTATTTTATGTACCGTGCCAAATCTGACTCGGATGTTTTGTTTTTTACAAACATCTGGCTAGTTTATCAGTTACTCCCGCAATGTACGGTATTTTAAACGTTTTAAATTTCTACACATTTATATATTTACGCGATCTAACCCCAAAAAACCTCTGTTATGGATGATATTGGTCACGAAAGCCTACTTGTTAAACTGTCTAACCCATATATTACATTGTCTTGTGTACTAATTAATGTCATATTATTTTCATATAGGGCCCAGCAGGAAAACTAGGACTGGGTGGACAACGAGGACCTGGAGTAAGTTGAATATAACATTCTCATTATCAATATAATTGATGATGAATCTACTGCTGGATGAAGGCCTCTCCAAGCTTAAACCAATTTGTCTTTTTACAGCTCTCTGAGCTCGTTCTCTCTCTCTCTCTCAGACAGCTATACAGCACAACGACCACAACCACGAAAAATATGCATAGTAGTCCGCGTATATATACTTATATACAGTTACCAGTTAGCGAAATGTTAATGTGGAAGTTCCGGCATGAAACCTATTTGTCCTGCAGCCCATGGTAACTGCCGTTTCCCCTCTGCAGAAACATCCTAGAGCGGGAATAGAAACTGTGCTGTTCCAACAAGTGTCGATGTGCCATAATGTCGTACACTGGCCCGTTTTGACTCTTGTACGTACTAAATTACCACAATTCCGTATTGACCATACTTCACCATGCTGGCCATTGTGGATGAGTGAAGGGCGATCTTACAAATATTAGCTGTGGCTGGGAATTTAAATCAGGCTTTCCAGGTCCATAGCACAGACCGCTACCCACTGCACGACCACTCTACCCCATCATATTTATATTTGAATGTGTTTCATAAATTACCCGCAAGCTTATTGACATTTGCGTTTTATAAATGAATGGCAGCGCGTGCGTAAACCGTGACTGCATATCAATCCTGACGAATACATTTGGCCAAAACAAACAAAAAAATGTTAAATTAGAAACTATTCTGGGTAAGAAAAATAATGTGTCTGCTCGAGCCGATAAGGTCACTATGGCCACTTGTATTATTTTGTTATACACACTATTGCACCGATATTATTAATCAGATACGAGCCAAAAACTTGACTTGTATCTGTTTGCGGTGCCACGCAGCAGAATACAGTAAATGTGCATTGTCCGGAGATACGTTTTTTTATTATTAATTTGCACAGCAGTTGAAATCACTATCCTGTGGTATCTGTTGAATGGGGTTATCATTCGTGTTTCTCAATGCAGCACGTTAGCAAATTGTCCGTGTTGGAGATAACCTGCTATTAAGATAAAACTCCGACGCTGTTGCGAGAGCCTCGGTGGGAACGGTGCTTTGTCTTTTGAACCCTGTTTTTGAGACGATTTTTCTTTTTCAAGGGACCCAGGGGTGAGAGAGGACAAAGAGGACCGACGGGGAAGGCCGGCCCCAAGGTTAGAAGAGAAGACGTCGCCGCGTATAAAAGCGCCCCCACATCTTTTTAAACGCGAGCAAAGCTTGGAACCATCGTCACCCAAATATGCCCCCCGGCTAATGGGATCGCTCCTTTTGCTTTACGTGTGCTATGTTGAAACGTACGTACGTTGAACTTCTTTCGCACCGTGCGTAGCCAACCGTGCTAATCGGAGGTGCGGGGTAAGGACAACAAACTCAACACAAAAATCAGTCCGAAAAAATGCATATATAAGCAGACCTACTTTCCCATCTCTTAATAGATAAGTAAATAAAAAAACCGAGCTTTAATCCATCAGCCCAGTGGCTTTCCAGTTCAATATTATCCAGCAGCATTTGTTTAAGCAAGCAAACTCCTGACCAGGTTCGACCTACTGTTTTGACCCATAATGCTCAACAACGATGCATGAATCCCAGCAACATGTGTTTAAAAAGTCTGACTCATCGAGAAAACACAGGCTTTGCCATTTCTGGCAATAATGCAGGTGTCCAAACACCAAAAAGACACACTATTGCAAGGAATCAAGTCTGCACTTCCGATTAGCACGGTTGGAAACGTACGGTGCAAAAGAAGTTCAACATACATACACACATTAACCACACGTGCTTGTGGTAAAACATGCGAATAAAATGTGCTTTGATAATGTATGCATTGTCCCTGAAACTGATTGGGCTACACCAGAGACATCCTACTCCTTTATGGCCTTGTCTCACCAGTGTTAGACTGGAGAACGTCAAAATACTTCGATATTTGCGTTGCCTTCAAGCACGAAAATAAAATCACATTACACAGGAATTTTTTTTGTTACTTAATATCGATACATTACAATGCTACGGACATCTTTCTGTAGCAGAGCTTGTAGGTAAGTAATGTGGCCTAATGTGTAAATAATGATGGTCACTTGAAGCCACCTCGGCTGTGTTTCTTCCATGAGCCATTCGCTAACACACGGGGTGATACTCTGCTCTGCGAGAGTTACAGATGCCTCCTTTGTCTTGTGACAGGACTCTGATGGCTCGATTGGAATACATTTGGGAAAAAGGCCAAAACATATATATATTTAATTCTGGTTGTGAGTAGGGCACTCTGGAAACCCACTAACCACCCGGATGCTTTAAGGACGCTGTAATATGCTAAAATGCTAAGTTGGATTCGTTCGAGCACTTTCTTACGATTGGCGTCTTAGTTTGACATGCAGTTGAATATTTGCGACTGCATGGTGACCAACGTGGGGAATGAACACGCTGTTGTGTTGACGCCGTCAGTTGCGTGATTGTTAAATGACTCGTCGTAAATTGGGAAAGTGTCAGCTAAAATATCACTGTGCAGGCTAAATAGAGTAGTGGGATTGCAAATGTTCTAAATGTGTACGTATGCTCTGCAGCGTCCTGTTATCTTTCCATGCAAAGATTGATTTTTTTTACATACATCGGTTTGGTTTCTGTGGTAAGGATTTGAAACCAAATGATATATAAATTGAATTAGTTGAATTTTCATTGCCTGAGATGATGATGCTTCACTTGCCCTTCTACAGTGTTAAAAGTAGGCATTCGATACGACCGTACCGAATATTTCCTCGTCTCAGTCTGCGAACGTTGCTTTCATTCTGTGGTTACGCGGTACTTTTAGATTTCGTTTTATTTTTTTTCCCCCTGTACGTGTCATACATACAAAGTTTCATCGTTTTATATTACTGATTTTATTATTATGTTCACAAAATGCACTCTCATATCGCTGCACACATGATTGTGCATTTCGATCTGGAGTAATACAAATGGGCCCATGTTCAATAAGCGCGATGCCATCGGCGTAAAAGGCATTTTTTTCTGTCTGCCTTCATTTCTTTAAGCGAAGCATTATGAAATTGAGGTGGCACACAATAAAGCCATAATACCGGTTTCCCAACTGCCGTGACGTTGAAGGTGGGACAATACTCCGCTCGCGATTTTCAGGGTTGAATTTAATTAAATGTGAGTTACCAAAAGCGTGTGCCTTAGATATTTTTGTTCTTACTTTACTTATTTGTCTTGCTACACAGGGCAGCTCTGGTGGAGATGGACCACCAGGACCACCTGGTGAGAGGGTAAGAACAGTCTGACACCACTTTATTCGAGAGAGGTAGCAATTTGCTACAAATCGCCTGTGTCGGCATTATCGTAGCTACGGAGACAAAGTGGGAAAGGGAATCCACACTTTCATTTTAAGTCAACAAAATTCTCTTTGTGCGCTCATAAGAATTTATTCTGAGCAAAACTCAATAACCATGTTCACTTTGCTGGCAGAAAGAATTAAAGTAAAAAAAAACCAGAGAACCAAGCAACATTGTGTGGCTCATGGACGTTTTTTGTGGAGGTTGTTTTATATCTGACACTAACCATTAATGTTGCTGTGAATGCTTGTTCAGTAAAAGATGGCAGATGGCCAGGCTTGCAATTGCTTGCTCACTCTATTGATGGAGCAAGGGCCTCGATTACAGAGAGTTCGAGAAAGCCCCTCTAATAAGAGGGAATTATTTGGACTAATATTTAACACTTAGATCAGTAACTGCATTCGTGAACACAAAGCAGACCTTCAACACGGTAGGACCAACGCCTCGGCCGTGGCAGATCACTGTTATAATTCAGTAGGCTCACATGACATTGACTTCTCCAAGACGGAGGTTCTTTGCAAGCCATCTGGCTACCATGAGAGATTCGTTCATGAGGCTATCCACATATATAAACACAGAGACAATTTCAACCGAGAAGATGGATTCTGGCTTATCAATCATTGGAAGGATTTGATAAACCATTTCGGGTCTTAATTGATTGTTCACGCTTACGGTGGCTTTCAGACAGCATACATTAATTTTTCGACTCCCCCCCTCCTCTTTTCCGAACATATATGGACTCGCCCATCTAAACAAACTGTCAAATCGCTATCCGTGGCGCTAACGTGTATAAATAAATAAATAGATGCGAACCGACACTTCTTTCAAATGTTCTTGCCGTTGGTTTTCACACCTGATGATGACTGCGTGTGTTGTAGTCGAAACGTCGTGAGAATTTTATTGTTTTATATATATTTTATTATTTTATTGTTTCCCTTCAACGTGACTTTACCGAAAGAACCAATAATATGTGTTACACGTGTTCATATTTAGCTCTTGATGACCATGAGGAAATAGTCACATGCAGCAGAGTAGGTAGAGAATACGTGGAGATATATATTTGAATTGCCGTGTAATTCATTTTCAGTGCAAATTATATTGTGTACATTGGCAGCGCTATTTGATTGGTGTGCATGCGAAGTTGTGGCATCTGCTTTGATGCAATCACAGGGGTTAGTCAAGATGCAACAGTGCTGAGGATTCGCATCTGGCTTCTTGTTTTGTGGTACATAAGTTGTGAAAAGTACATGCGGTTTTATATCTTTCACAACAACAAAGATAAATGAAGTCTGGTTAGCCGAGCCCCATGAATTTTCGCGATGGCACGGCGCTAAAAATAGTTGTTTCATAACTTTATAAAGCATATGAATATGAACGAGCAGATGACAAAACTCTCACAAGTTTTGTGGGACTTGATCTGGAATTAATGTTTGAATTAATGTCAGGCTTTGCCATTCGCAATGAAACATGCAATAGAAATGTTAAAACCATTTAAGTAGCATTTTGCGCTTGCAGTTGTAGAAGTGTTTTATTTCTGAATTTGTGACCCACGCTGCCGAGTCATTTACAATTCTGACACATTGCGACAGCGTCACCCTCTTGTGCCATTGCATTTGGGGCGTGAAATTTATATCAGTTCCGCTCTGACGAATTCTCGGGGTCTTATCGGACCCGAAAAATAGGCGGGAGCCCATTAAATCGAAATTTCTGTTTTTTTTTTATAAAATGGAGCAGGTAGAGTAGTATAAAAAATATAATAAAATCAAGATTCATTTCTGGAAGTTGAACTCCACCGAAGCAGCGAATGTTTTTGGCTGGCAGAATTTTCCATTTAGATAATAAAGTGGCACGCCAAAACATGATTAATATTTTGAGTTCTGGTTGACTTGATTCCAGAGCCCGGTTTAATTCGTCGAATCCCTTTATGTAAATCCAAACAGTGATTTGCACGTAGAAATATGCTTGGCAGACATGAGAAATAACAGGTGCACGAAATATTGATGAATTCCCACCCCACAGCCACGCTGGCTTTAGAATGTCAATACGCTCTTCGTTAACGTACGAAATGAATATCATTTTCCTCGTTCGTTTATGTGAGGACTATTCACGTAAAATATTTACGCACACATCGATTTGCTTTATTTTATTTGTTGTCTGTCGCATATATATAAAACATTCGTTGTGTATGTCCTCGTAACTTTATTTGTTCTTGCACGAACATCTCTTAAAATTGATTATTTCATTCACGGTCCTATCTACCAACTCGCTGTGCAATTAGGGTGCACCTCTTTATGCTTTATTAAAACTATTTTTTGACGACTTTTACAAAATATATATCTTGCATGAAGGAATATCTTGATAGCCGCCGGTGTGGATTTTTGATGTAGGATGATTATTTTTATGCCATTCAGGGTTTACAAGGAGCACAAGGACCTAATGGATTCCTTGGACCTAAAGGACCAGCCGTGAGTACCGTTTTCTCCTGGCATTGTGCACTCTCATTGGTACAAAAATGACAATTCAATTTCCACCAAATGAAAGCCTTCCAGAGAATCCCAAAGACTTTTTAAAAACAAAACAACACAAACCAAGTGCAGGCAACAAAACAAGCAAACCTTGGACAGAATCAGAGACAAAGAATCAAGGCTTCCACGACAGGTCAAGAAACTACAATATTACACAGACGTAGCCAATGTGCCCAGCTGCAACAGACTGGGATGGAGGGCGCCACTGGAAGGTGCTGGGGGAAGAGGAGAAGCCTGCAATCTAACCGGATATCGGACATCAAATGCCGGACGCGATGGAAGCCGTCGCGGTTATAAAACATTTTTTTTTATATATATACCGTGTAAAGCTCACTGAGCTCTTTCTTTAGAAGTGACCTGGCCACAAATGATAGCTCAACGAAGTGGCTTATCACGTGCAAATGTATAACAGCCAAATACTCTAAAAGCATGTTTGTAAATGTAAAGGGACAAACCGTAGGACCCGAATAAAAATCCACACCACCACGGGAAGAGAGAGAGAGACATGCAAACTCCAAATATACAGCAGGCATCAGGGTCGGGATCAAAACCATGGCCTCCTGCATACCAGGCGAGGGAGTTAACATCTCACCACCGTGGTGATGCACAGAGAGAAGTGGAAAGAGCGCCGTAAGGACAGATACTGGTGAAGGAAACGGCCCTGGCCAAAAAGGCCAAGGGACTAAGAAAAAGGGGTATATGTTGCCAGGAACCAAATCGCCATGAGTTGGCCCAATGATAGCAGATCTCGTGAACTGAGAAGGTTTGAGCCTGGTTAGTACTTGAATGGGTGACCACAAGGGCTTTCCAGGTATTGTAAGTGTGAGACCACGTGCTGTGGCCAGGAGATGGCTGCGTTGAGTGTTACCTCCACCTATCCACGAGTTTTCACCAGTTTCCTCCCATATTTAGCCAGTCACTCATTGATGGAATTGTTCCAACGTCTTAATGCAGAATAACAATACTTCCCATTGATCCTGAGCTTCCCTGCATTAATAATGGGCATTCAATGCGAAACCGGAAGCATGGAGCACATGTTGATTATTGTATGACAATTATTCCCCGTATAGCGTTTAACAGACGCATGGTTAGCTTACGTACACTGCGAAAGAAGTTCAACACACATACTTATGCTCATCAAGTAGTATTGGTTGCGTTGCTTAATAATATGTTGCTATGATTTGTTCAGGGTCCTTCTGGCAAAGACGGCTTGCCGGGACATCCTGGTCAAAGAGGAGAAACTGTGAGTATCAAGGGCAATGCCTAATTTGGTTATTGTCTAATGTCCCTACAAGGAGGCTCCCTCTGCCCATTGGTCACGTGAGCCAGAGTGGCCTTCCGAATCAGATTCAGAATATGTATTTATAGTGGAGGAATCCGATGAGCTATAAAGCTCTTTTTCACAAATGTCCAGTCGGGGCGGGTAAGAACGTTACAAGAAAAAAACAATGCAAAATATGAAAGGTAAACAAATCACCGAAACACGAACAAAATAAAACTGAACCATCCCAATCCTACCAGACAAAGCCGACTGAGGCATTAACTTGTTTTTCTAAAGCAACCTGGCCACAAATGATAGCTCAACAAAAGTGGCCTATCGTTTTGGCATTTATATCAGCAAAATCATCTAAATAGTCTAAACGCATGTTTCTAAATGTGGAGGGAAAACCCGGAGGACCCGGAGGAAAAACAAATCCACGCAGCTGAGATGATCGCAGGTGCAGGAGGTGTGTACAAATGCCACAGTAAAGCCTCATTCACATTGCTTTGTAATCCTGGTGTCAGCTCGCTCGGTTCTAACCCTAATACACCATGCACATTCGACACCTTTCTGCGCTTCAACCCCAGCTTCAGATTATGTACTCGCGTGCGGGGATTCTCCTCCAGATACTAATATCACACCTCACAGTGCGCATGCTATTTTGGGGTTCGAAGCCAAATACCAATGTGGGGTTTTACCTCCTATCCACCTGGAATAAAAATGCGTGGGGTTTAAAACATTATATATTCTGTACACACTTAAACAATTGGCCCAATCATATGTTTTTTAATGGAAGTGGGCTTATCTATGTCAGTGCTAAGAGTCTTGTGTTTAAGGTTGCGTCGTATATGGCTGTGGTTTCCTTCCGTTGCGGTTGCTCCACATATTCCACAGCTGAGCGTCGCGATTTTACGTCGACATTTTCAGAAATCCTGGCAGTTTCACCGACCCACACGATTGAAAGGAAACCTAATTATATACAGTGAGGGGAAAAAAGTATTTGATCCCCTGCTGATTTTGTACGTTTGCCCACTGACAAAGAAATGATCAGTCTATAATTTTAATGGTAGGTTGATTTGAACAGTGAGAGACAATAACAACAACAAAAATCCAGAAAAACGCATGTCAAAAATGTTATGAATTGATTTGCATTTTAATGAGGGAAATAAGTATTTGACCCCTCTGCAAAACATGACTTAGTACTTGGTGGCTAAACCCTTATTGGCAACCACAGAGGTCAGACGTTTCTTGTAGTTGGCCACCAGGTTTGTACACATCTCAGGAGGGATTTTGTCCCACTCCTCTTTGCAGATCTTCTCCAAGTCATTAAGGTTTCGAGGCTGACGTTTGGCAACTCGAACCTTCAGCTCCCTCCACATATTTTCTATGGAATTAAGGTCTGGAGACTGGCTAGGCCACTCCAGGACCTTAATGTGCTTCTTCTTGAGCCACTCCTTTGTTGCCTTGGCCGTGTGTTTTGGGTCATTGTCATGCTGGAATACCCATCCACGACCCATTTTCAATGCCCTGGCTGAGGGAAGGAGGTTCTCACCCAAGATTTGATGGTACATGGCCCCGTCCATCGTCCCTTTGATGCGGTGAAGTTGTTCTTTGTCAGTGGGCAAACATACAAAATCAGCAGGGGATCAAATACTTTTTTCCCTCACTGTATAAATGTCACATGAATAACCCCCGGCGCGTTTTACCGGACTTGCGCGCGTACCCCAATAAGAACATTATATATGTTTAAAAAAAAAAAACTATTGTCATACGACACATCACATGGTATATTTGGCCAGACGACGAAGTTGGTTGAGTGCTCGGGCTCAAGTTCAAACCCCAGTCAGGAGTCGACTCAGAACTTTGTCCCTCTGGGGGTCGATAAAACAAAAATGAGTACCGTTTGTTTGGCTGTGTCTTACGGCACAAATCCGGCCAGATTATTGCGTGGCCTGACCCCAAAAATTATTTATGAATCAAAACGAGTACCACTTTATAGGGGAAGTCAACAGAGGTTTGTCTATGGAAAACTCGTACACCTGCCTCCCCGCCAGAGGAATAGGGAATTTCCACCAATGGCTCAGGGCTTTGAATGTGAGATAAGTGCTGACCCATGCCCTTTTGAGTAGGAAGTCGCTTCGAATGTTTTTTTGTCGGATTATATCACACATGCCCCACCTTGCCAGCAGACAGCGGTGTAAATTGGACCTACGCTTAATTTGCATGTGCATCAGCGTGCATGCAAATTGCAGCGTCACGGAAGTCACGGCGCAACAATTATTCATGCGTGTGCCAGAGACGCGTTGCAGTCTATTCTGAAAAGAAAAAAAGAAAACCCAGCAGCTATGTTTCACTTTGGCGTAGCGTGTCCAACGATGTTAACTGGGAATAATCTACATTCGTAATCGGCATGTTTGGACGCGACACGCCATCGTGTCCACGTTGCACGTAAATCGGGTAATAAAAATTAAAACGGAGTTGCTCACGTCCACCCCGGCGTTGACGACGCCGGGGTGGACGTGACACGCGCCTTGTTGTGTCACGATCGCTTCGCGGCGTTCCAAAACAAAACGGTGACCATGACGAGGCTCGCGTTGGTGAGATCTCGTCGCACGCGCACGTGCACTTTGAAGCCGCCACCGCCGCTTGTTGTCGTTTACCACCCCCCCATTGCGCTTCCCTTCACAGGGCTTTCAAGGGAAGACCGGCCCTCCCGGGCCAGCCGGCGTTGTGGGACCTCAGGTTGGCTTTGCAGCACGACACTCGCTCGCTCACTCGCTCGCTTGCTGCCGTGGCAACGACAACACCGCTCGACGCCGCTCGCCGCCGCCGCCGCTGCTGCTGTTCCTGCAGCCGGCACACGACAGCTTGTGCCCTGATGCGCAGCCTTTAATCCGGTCCAGGCAGTCTCCAAAAATCCTGCCGCTGTGTTTTTTTGTTTGTTGCGAGAGAGCGAGCGAGAGAGCGAGCGAGCGAGCGCCCGTGATGAGTTTCCTATTTCGCTTTTCAGATGTCGGATTATTTTTTGGTTTGGCCCTTATTTTTACGTTTTTTGGTGGGTTTTTTGGGGATGTAGATGCTTTAAATGTGAACAGCTTTTGTTTCGTTTACGCACGAATATGAATCTTTTGATGATTGTAAATATTGCATTTTATATATCAGCAAGACTATTGTGAAAATTACATCAGGTGATGGATGGTTCTTATCATGGGAAAGCATTGAAATGACATCATGGGAGTGAAATCACTTTCTACAATTTCACATTTTCAGATTAAAATCCAAAACACGTTTATTTTCTTTTTCGGATGTTCCAAATTTAATTCCTCGACACAATCTTGCGATGTTTCTGATTAACCTAAAAATCGGGAACACATCCCCGTGTGTGTCTATGCGTGCCTGTGTGAATACGGGGAGCGGTAGTGCAGCCTTTAGCGCGCTGCACTCTGAATCCGGCGACCCAGGTTCGATTCCCGTTCACGTCCAACCCCAGTGACGATTATCTGAATCGGTCCTGATCCTCCCCACGGTCGACTCGGCGTCGCACGAGCACCCGGTGCGATGTGTAAACATCGCCACTGGGAAGACAAAGGCGGGGTCGGGCGTAGTCCTGACCTCCCAGCCCCTCGTGCGCCTTGCTGGCCTTCATAGGAGCACGCTAACAGCACTTGTCCCAACACTGTTAAAGGCTATATGGGGGACTTTGTCTTTGTACAACTGTGTTTACTGTAGCGCGCTCATCCTGAATGAGGACTCGGCTTTTGGGAGACAAAGGTTGTCCCTCCCCCCCACGAATCTAAGCGAGCTAATGACACTTGCCCCAACAGCGTGTATGAGCAAATGGGAGCTCATTGTCTTTGTCCGTGCACATGTGTGCGTGCATGTGTTTTGCGTGCGTTCGTGTGTGTGTGTGCGTGTCGTGGCCTGTGCCTCCTCCGTGGCTGTTCCCAAGCAGCTGTGAGCTCCCACAGCATCTGCTCTTGCTCTCTGCTTGTGAGAAGCTGCTTCTGCCAACGCGTGACTTGAAGGGCACAGGTCAAAGGCAGCAAAGGCAACGTGGAGTCACTGAGAATGTTTTACCCAATGAAGAATGAGTTTTATTTGTTTTAAACTAAAGTTTGCAACTTTGCAAGTCGGCAAATTATTTAATTGCATTTGGGTGTGTTTACTCTGAATGCGGTGGATAACGGACTGCACTACGAGCCCAAGACCCCCGGGTTCGATTCGCATGGACAATATCAGTGGAATATTCCTCAAACTGTCCTGGATCTCCCCTAAGCCAACGCAGCCTTAAATAAGTACCCAGCAGAGTGTGAACATACCAGCACTGGGAACTCTAAAGAGCAGCCTGGTGTGATGCTGCCCACCCCACCCGCTTGTGTGCAATACTGCCCTTCACAGGCGTTGGCTAAACGCACTTGCCCCAACAACGCGTGTAGGCTATGCGTAGGATCTGTATTATTGTGCCTTTGTTTATTTTGGGCTATTTACATGTCACAACTGATGTTTGTGTTTAGTTCGTTGTCCTTCCTCCGCAACTCCGATTTAGCACGGTTGGCTGTGTACAGTGCGAAGGAAGTTCAACATACATTACAATATATTGTAGGTGTAATCAGTGTTGGGTGGGAGATGTATGCAGGGCAGAGGGGTGTAGGTTACCGAGATTGGGATTGAAGCGGTACCCACCCTAGTTGACAACCACGGGGAAGCCCTCATGGCAGATGGTGGCATGAATCGAGAGCCGACCGTGGAAGTTCAGGTGCCAACCTCGCAGCAACTATGGGCCCTGGCGGCAGGGCAGAAGCAATGGTGGCATCAGTGGCACTGGGCGTCGTGACCTCACTCGACGGTCTAAAAAAACCCAACCCTCACTTTGACTCTTGAGCGTCGCGGCTTTTTAATCCTGACAGCAGCCATCCCGCATACGACAAAGTGAATAGGACGTGCATTCAATATGTTTGTGATGTTTTAGTGACCCCCCCCCCCCCCCTGTCTCTTTCACAGGGCCCCACGGGCGAGACGGGGCCCGTGGGGGAGCGAGGGCACCCAGGGTCTCCAGGACCACCCGGTGAACAGGGTTTGCCTGGGTCAGCCGGCAAAGAAGGAGCAAAGGTAAGGCCCTCTCTTTTTCGTCAGACACCGAGCCACCTCGTCTTTTAAGCTGGGTCCACACCTGAGCGATGAGTTGCGTAACTTGGTTGCGTGCGGCCGACTCTGTTTTGTTGTATGCGGACGACCCCGCAACCGCTTTTGAGCAGTTGTAGCAACCGGTTGTTGCTCACAATGGAGTCAAGGTATTTAATCGCGTGACACATTTGCGAACCACGATCGTTTCCCACGATCCTTTCCCACGATCCGGATCCGAAATGACGCGATGTTTCCTGTCCCTGTTGATCAACTGCTCGCTCAGATGTGGAACAAAGCAGTTGCAGGAGATTAGGTTGCGCGATATCAAGAACGATTTGGTGATGGGTGCGGACCCTTCCGCACATCGTTAACAGCAGTCCAGTTTACGCAAAATAGCTTCAGCCGTACCCACAGTACCACCAGCACAATGGCAGCAATGTGACGCAATTAAAGCAGAGCATGTGTATAATGAACAATGAATCCCTGGGATTCTTTCAGTTAATTCCATAATTCTCCATCACGAGGTTTAGCTGCAAGTGTGGCGGCTTTAAAGGGATCTGCACTAAACTATTAGGTTTCTATTATCCACCCATTCATGTTTAATTTTCAGAGCTTTACACAATGGCCACCAAGTTGTAGCATAAAGGACAGGTTTCCTAGGGTGAAAGACTTAAGGGGGATTTATTTTCAGAGAGTGCCCTGGGTGTCCGCGTAACCTCGCGTGAGTATTTCTGCGACAAGCGACGGGGGTTGATTTGTTTGATCGTCATTTGTATTTCGCGAGGCCTCTGTTTGACGTGAAGTCGCGCCACTGCGCTGCCTCACGCGCATCACAGCCTCGCGTCCGCTGTTGTGCGGAGTGAAGAGGCATTTCTATTGGTGGCAACAGCAACAACAAAAAGCAAATATCACGGAACTGCCGATGACACGGCCATTCAATCCTGGGTCTCGTCAAAGAAGCGATTCCTTCGTTCCTGGCTTAACTTTTGCACGCGATGCATCTGAGCGCTTTAAAATGAATACTTGAAATGAATTAATCGAAAAAATAACAACCGTGTAGTGAATGCATGCCCAATGCGGATGTTTGCGATGGAAATGTTGGCCACGTGCCAATTGATATGGATGCAATAATTGGAGCAAAGTTTTGTTGAACATTTTAATGAATGAAGACCACTTGTGTTGTGGCCGAAACTTCGTGATTTTTGTTATTTTATTTTTACCTACGTGACTTTACCGAATAGAACCAAAGAGTATTTTAATATTTGTTGTTGTTATGTTACACATATTAAGTTGTGGAGGGGGGTAGTGCTGGCACAATGGTTAACTCATGTCCTGCTGGACATCTGTGAAAAATGGCTTCATAGCTCGTCAGATTCCTCCAACATTAATGAAGATTCTGATTGATTCCCGGCCATGGCTAACATCACCGCCCCCCCCAAACCCTCACACTGTTACCAAACCACACTTGCCTACTTGGTGAAGTATGTTGGCACAACCCTTATGATCGACATGGGTTGGGGAGGCCTTCATCCAGCAGTGGATTCATAAAGGGCTATACATTATATATTATATACGTATGGTAGTTAAGGACAATATGAAAGTTCTCTCAAATACCAGGTTTCCAATTAATGTATTTATTTGAGTGATTGTTTATTCCAAAACAAGTACTTGAGAATCTTGATGGGATGGCTAAATTTGTTTACAGTCCTCCAAAAATTTGCATTCTACATGTAAGCACAAGGCAAATGCATACGTCCTTTTAGTTTTTGCAATACATTGATGTACGATACAGTGAATAACTTTTAATTTGAAATGAGCTACACATGACGGATTCCATCCATCAGAGATCGTTCTAATCAGGATGCTACCATAAACACAGCACATAAATCACCATGACATCAGTGGTAGCTGTTAGAGAAAGAACCGAATCCATATTGGAAAACAGTAATTTACTCAACTTGATAGAATACATTTTTGGTGGATGCTTTGAGGTCCTTGTAGAAAGTTGCTTAATAAAAGTATATTATTATAATTTTGCTTTGAAAACAATATTTTTCATATTTTTTTTACTAAACACCCAGTGACTGTTACAAACTTATCATACAAAATGTGGGTGCAATCAAGGCTGAATTTCAGCTGGTTCTGGCCGGGTGGGTGCCACGGTGGCGAGATGTATGCAAGAGGTCGTGAGTTCGATCCCGAACCTAATACTTGTATATTTGGAGTTTGCATGTTCTCACCGTGTTCGCATGGATTTTTCTGGGGTTCCTCTTGTTTCTACCTCCACATTTAGAATCAACATTCGTTTGGAATGTTTGACTGCTATACATTTCCACGTGATGATAAGCCGCTTCGTTGAGATAATTATTTGTGGGCAGGTGGCTTCTGAAAAATGGGCTACATAGCTCAGTCGACCTTACCTGGTAAAATTAAAAAATATATATTTGTGCCCAGCAAAACCACATCCAGTATATTTCTCGCTCCGGGCTATGGCTACTAGTCCCAGCGCCACCTGCTCCAGTCTACCAGTTGACGTGTAACAAATATTCAGTGACAAATTAAGCCCAGTTTATGCTGAGCTGGAGTAAAAAAAAACTCGCATTCAAATGCCATTCACGTCAAGTTGTGCTGTCTTTTTGTGGAACCTTAGGGAGACCCTGGACCTGCAGGCTCGGCGGGCAAAGATGGTCCTCCTGGTCTGCGTGGATTCCCCGGAGAGAGAGGCATGCCAGGACCAGCCGTAAGCCCACTATATGCACTTTAATTTCAAAGGATTCTCTTCACCGAATTATATTCTAATCACCGTCCATGTTCTCACTGTTAAAATCACCATCATCATCATCGTCATTGTCGCCAGCATCATGACCATTATCCACATTATCAACAATAACCATCATCATCATCAGATGCATTATTTTCACATATCTTCATCATAAGCTGCATCATTGTCATCGTTCACGTCGTCATTGTCAACAGAAGCATTATCGTCATCAACATATATCTGTAATGACAGTAGAGTCAACCTACGATGTGAGTGGACTTGTGGCCACGGAAGTCGTCATTACATATCCACCAATGAATAGTATACAGCGAGTCCTGCCGATGGTCAAGTCACCGTGAATGGGCCCAGACCTTCGAAGTTAAACAGAAGTGAACCTTGTTCGTACTTGATTGAGAGATTAACCGGGGGAAATAGTAGGTATTGTAGACTTGGGCTGCGAGGTTACCAGGAGATGGCAGTGCACGCATTGGATTCTTTACTCCATCGGTGCAGAGCTTTTAATTTGGTTCCCCAATCGTACCCTGCTCTTCTCACACACGAATCCAAACACTCTCTGATGGAATTCGCCAAACATCCCAAATGCAGGACCCTCCTTAGGAACGGACTTGGTGAAACACTTGGCTGGGTAAATGAAGGCCATTATTGTTCGTATCATTGTGGTTATATTCTTGCGTGTGATGGCAACGTGATTCATGAGCTTAAATGCCAATGTCGAGGACTGTCAGCCACGAGAGGACTTCAGGAGCAAGTTCGTGTGGTCTTGCTACTCCACCTCCATTTAAGTAGCACAGGCTAAAGTGGTTTACTACATAGTCCATATTAGTAATTATTATGATTAGTAATTATAAATAATAATTTCAGTAAGCTAATTTATTGCATAAGGAACATCATTATTATTATAGGTAATTCACATTAATATAAAAAAGCTAATTTTACGAAGTAAAGGACATTGTCACTATAATTAGCAATGCCCATTGTATAAGCTCATTGATGATACCAGTGCATCCCGTGAATGCTTGCGTTGTTGTGTGTTTGTTCTTTCAAAAGGGAGCAGCCGGCTTGAAAGGCAACGAAGGGCCGGCTGGTGTCCCTGGCCCAGCGGTGAGTAATGACTCACCGATCACACCTCTCCAAATGCAATTTCGCCAACGTGTCTTTCATGTGCGCCGGAGCGATTGCGAGTCCGCGAATGAACCGGCCGCTGTTCGCGCTCATTTTCGCGCAGGGTTCGCCAGGCGAGAGAGGAATCCAGGGGACGGCCGGTCCTGTCGGATTGCCTGGAAGACCGGGTCCACAAGGGCCCCCTGGCGCGGCTGGGGAAAAGGGTGCCCCTGTAAGTACCCTCGTGTTTTCCCGCTCACGTGCGTGCCCGTCGATGTGGCTGGTGGTGCTCATCGTCAGTTTACAAGCCTTAAGACAGTGGTGGGAATTCCTCGTTCCTGCGGTGGGGGCGAGGCTATTCAAACGGCAACAACTGTTGATGTCGTTGCATAGTTGGCGCTCACTTTAGCGGCCCCACAGAGATGATGGATTGAGTCAACCCACCCCAACGAGGATTTTAATCCGCGGACGTTCCGATTGCGAACCCCTTGCTCCGTCGCTGAGCCACCAGGCTGGGTAAAAAGAGATTAATTTCGTAAGTTATCCTGAAATGGAAATGTAATATGGTCACAGTTTTCAATTCATCAGAAATCTTTATTTCAAGAGGTGGAGATTTTTTTCAGATTGAGTTTCGATTCGGGTGTCTATACGTCACTGGTAGACTAAAATGTAGTGCTTATTTGCACCCGTACTCAGCTTTTTCTGGCGCCTCTTGCTGTCATGCTTTATTTGCACTTTTTTAATTCATTCGTTTGTGTTTCGTTTATGACCATCGAATACCTCGTTTGTTAGTTGTGCAAAAAATCCTAAAGGACTCTGCACTGGTTCCCTTGCAATGTTGTTATTGTTGTCTTTTGTTGTTGCTGTGCTCACGGATCCCGCCAGTAAAATACGCCAGGGTACATGCTGAACGGGATCGTCCGTGTAGCAAATCAGATGAACTCAAACGTCGCGTGGCACAACCCGAAAAAAACATCGGAGAAGTAAACATCCCTCTTTCAAGGGAAACCTGGGTGAAAAACCCAACATATATATGTGTGTGTGATTACGAGTTCAAAAGCAGCAGTATACAATTGGCGTAAATATTAACCCAGACAGAACGCCATTACATTGCGTATAATAAGCAATAAAAAAGCAATTATGGAGAATAAAGTTTAAACAGATGTGAAAATATCAAATAATTATTCATTTACATAGGAGGTAATTTCCGAAGCACCCGAGTCCATTTGAATGAGAGTGAATCGGTTTCAGACGTGGCAGATTTGCAATATTGTTAGACGTCCAAGGATTATCACAGGAGAAGGAACATCTTCAAGATTGAGTACTTACAAACTTAAGTTTCCACATGTTGTATTTACCAAATCTCGGCCACTGTTGGAGATCCAGTTTTTTTAAATTGTATTCTACCAAAACAGGATGCAGCAAGGTAGCACTTTGATTATCACTGCTGGAGAAGACGCACCGTTACTGAACAGTTTGAAACATCGGTATTAAATGGCACAGCGATGCTATCAGTTTTCACAAGTCCCACATCCGTTATGTGTCACACATTTTCTCCGTGCATTAAGCCGCAAAGGTCATCCGTCTGGAGAATTTGCATTTTTCTTCATTTCCCCCCCAACGCCTTGGCTGAGTCGTGCTTTTTTTTCCTCTGCGTGCACACGCGCGTGCGTGTGTGTGTTGTGCTTCGTGCGCCTAGGGCGAGAAAGGAGTGCAGGGTCCGTCGGGCCGAGATGGCATCCAAGGGCCCGTGGGATTACCTGGGCCAGGTGGGCCCCCAGGTGCTCCCGGAGAGGATGGTGACAAGGTACCCTGGGGTCGCTGCGTCGCGGCTTTTAGCCGACAGCGTTGTGTGCGAGATCGCCCTATGACCCCTCCTCAGTCACCCGGAATGTTCCAAATCTCGACAGGTGTCGGAAGCCAAGCGGGCATTTTGAAGTATGGGTAGTGATTTAAAGGGTGATCGTGACGGCCAGACAGGTTGTCACAGGACACTTGCGGGGCTGAATGCAGTACAGCGACAATGAATTTACTGTACTGTACTTCTATGCTCCCGTGTCTATACTTCCTGCCTTCATGAACACGCACTGACCAGAGTAGTAAATTATGGTCAAATAACCCCTAAAGCTCATGTGGCATAGGGATGCCCTCATTTAGCAGTGAATTGGCAAAAGGGCTGTAGATGAATGTGCAATTATCACACTTCAACACTCGCTTATTTCAAATGTTCTCGACACCAAACACACGGCCGTGTATCTTACATCAGCAGCTTGGTGCACTAGCAAATGTTAAGTGTTGTGTTATCAAATATCCTGCTTTTAACAAAATGTGCCAAGAACCAGACAACACGGCTTCGATTCCCACACATGGTTAAAATCTTTGGTGAGTGTTTTCTGAGCCTTTCCTGGGCCTCCTCTAGGTAAACTCAGACTTAAATGAGTACCCAGTGCAGTGTGTAAGGGGAAATGTGACCGGATGTGGTGCTGGCCTCACCATCCAATTGTGCGCCGTTCCGGCCTTATTTGGTGCTCCCTAACAGCACTTGTCCCAAACACCCACAATTATTTAGATGCCCTCGTGGAAGCATCTAACAGAAATCCAATAGTCCACTGGGAGGGCAAACACGTGATGTTAAATAATGTACAGGGCGTTTGTGCTGCTACCATCCATTATTAACGAGTTATAATTAGACAGCAGTTTGAACTGGTGCGGTTGAAATGTTGGCAACACATCGTTTGCGTAGCTACTCAAAGCTTGAGCGATCGTCCAACAACAGAAGCATTCGAGACAATCACGGCCGAGACGTTGGCGAACGAACGGCACTCTCTGGAATCTTGCTTCGACGTGTCGCCAATCGCCGCTGTGGACATGTCTGGTGGGGAGGGGGGGGGGTACCGTAGAGGTTAGCGCTACGCTGCCCTATAAAACCTGGCGACCCGAGTTCGATTCCCGCTCATGGCAAACACCAGTGACGATTATCTGAACCGGTCCTGGGCCTCCCCGAGGTCGACATTAGCCTCAATTGAGTACCTGGTGTGAAATGTGTAAACATCGCCAATGGGGAGAGACAAAGGCGGCCCGGCATGGTGCTGGCCACCCATTGCCATGCGTGCTGTTCCAACCTTCATAGGCGCTCGCTAATAGCACTTGCCCCAACAGTCTGCTAAGGTTATGTGGGGCATCTTTGTCTTTGCTGACATGTCAAGGCTTCGATGGATGAGACTTGTCAGATAAAATATTCATAGTGCGAGTGTTTGTGTGCACGCGTGATGCGTATATATTTTTGCTGATCGACATCGACGCCCCGTGTAATTTTAACTTCATTGGAGAGTTAAAAATTAATAATGCGTGTCCAGATATACAGATAAGTTAAAAGAGGTTTGCAAGCGTTCTGAGTCATGCAGTGCGTTTGCACTACAGCCCCTCCATAGCTGGCACGCATTCACCCCTTGCACTGTTAAACACTCAAAGTCACTGGTGTGTTATATGGACCTTACCCGGTCCAAACATTACAAATGCATCTCACCCTGGTGCCGATAAGGTGTTTTCATTCGGTGCGTATTTTGTGAAAATATGAACCGGTGTTTTTTTTTTTACGTTCTGTTTTGCTATCCACAGAGATGCAATGGGTGAATTACGCTATTAATTTTTAAATCGTTTTTATCTCTCCAAAGGGTGAAGGTGGCCTGCCTGGTCAGAAGGGCAGCAAAGGTGACAAGGGAGAACATGTAAGCAATTGATTTCCCCGTCTTGACATATGATGGCTATGCTGCTGAATGCGTAATTGCATTAATGTAGAATGAAGTGGCCACTGCCAGTATGTCCACATGCTGCTTTACATTACACTCTAAACTCCTGCTTTTTTTAATAAACGGCAAGTGCATCTTATGAATGTCTACCCTTCAAAGTGAAGATATTAAACTCTGATAATTTAATGGCAGTTATGTATAGAATCCTATCAATGTTTACTATATATAATAAAGCAAAACTCTGTTCTTTGTCTCAAAAGATAAATTTAAAATATATATATAGGTTGTAGTCCATTGGAATATTGGCTTTCCAGACCAATATTATCCAGCAGCATTATTTAAGCAATCAAACTCTGAACCAGTTTCGACCTTCTGGGTCTCATCAGCAGAGTTAGACTTGTGAAACAAATGCTGCTGCATTATCGGGCAAGAACACTCCCCGTTCAGCGCAATGGATTTGTGTCACATCTACATCTGTAAGGTCTCTGATTGAAGCTGTTTGCTTTTGTTTTTTCAGGGTCCATCAGGGCCCCCTGGACCACAGGGTCCCATCGGACAGCCAGGCCCTCCTGTGAGTACCCCAACCACCTCCGTTATGATGCCACACACAATGAGAGTGGACCAATTCATCAGCTTGTCTAGCAGTCACTAAGTATGTATGCATGTATGTATGTTGAACTTCTTTCACACCGTACGTAGTCAACTGTGTTAATCGGAGGTGCCGGTGAAGGACAACAAACTAATTTCAAAAGCAGTTCCAAATAAATTAGTTTTCAATTCAGATATCAAAGTGCACAGCTCGAGTGGTTTCCGAGTATCGGAGGGAAGAGCGTTCCAGACGGCCGCAGAAGTGCATCAAGAGAGCGCATGACGCGGTGACCATCCTTGTTCGACGGTTCGCCAAAAGGCGCCGCTGCGAGGATGACCGGAGTTCGCGTGATCGTTGATGCTCCGTGACGAGGTCAGCACGGTATTGTGGTTTATTTGTGGCAAGCACTAAAGCAATGCGTGGCTGTTGCCTCTGACAATTCATGCTGAGTGTGCCCCAACCTCATCATGTCTCAGTAAAAACCTAGTGGCGTGGAGCCTGCTTACTATTTGGATTGGGGACTGAGTGGGAATGCCAGGGGTTTGTAGGCTTCGTCTGTGAAAGTCGCTAGAAAGTGGCAGTGCTGCAGTGGATTGTTGAATCTATCTGGTGTGGAGATTGAGTGTTAACCGAGTGTATGCATGGGTTTACTTAAGATATTCCACTTTCCTTTCCTTCCACGACTCAGCGAGGCTTTCCAGGGCAAACAAGCTTAATAATAAAAATGATAATAATGAATTCCAAAAACTCAATAATGGCCAGACATCCCAATTTCTAGGGGCTCTATGAAAACGGAGGATTTAGACTAGATGCATTTTTTCCGCTAGATAAATAACAGGGCATTATGATTATTATTACTTAATGCAATGTGGTATGGCATAACCAAACTATGCTTGTACAAAATGAGAGGATGCTGCAGCCAATATTTTCTGTTTGTAAGCCAGTGGGCTTTAGTTTTAAAGACCTTGATCATTACCTGCTCAAAATAACAGAGCGCTTGCGATGTGTGTGCATTGAATTTGGTCGGGTAATTGCTTTTTAATTCATGGCTGTAATCCCATCTCCCGCTGGGCAGTATAAAAAACATTATTTCGCATTGCTGCATTGGCTTTCTTTAATAGCTGAAATAAAAACAACACAACAACTACAAGGGTATTTAAATAATGTTAGAAAGCGTAAAGACAGTAATCAAAATTTCAGCTGATGACATTTTGTCACGCTCGTCTGCTTCCGGATTTATTTATTCATTTATTACCAGGCCTCTTGAGCACAGGGCCCGAAGGCGCAGAAACGCCCAGGCGAAAGGCAAAAAAAACAGCGTGATTGAAAGTACAATAGATAACAAATAATACGTTTGTTCAAACTGAGCGACGTTGTACGAAATCGGTAAAATAAAAAAGGGACGATGGGAGAGAATTCCAAAGTGGAGCAGCGGGAAGGAAAAAAGCTGAAAGAGAAGCATTGTGCACTTCCAATTAGCACGGTTGGCTACGTACGGTGCGACACAAGGTCAACATACAAACATGTGCATACATACATACGTTGAACACAGTGCGGTGGTTGAACACAGCCTGGTAGACCGGGTCCTCAACACGGGTGGAGGAATCAGCGAGCTGAGTTCACGGGAAAGGTCGTAGCGATAGAAGAGTGATAGTGAGGCAATTGACCGCAGGTGAGCGAGTGACCAGAGTGAATCCGTGGTTTCTCGATCATCAATCATGGAGGCTGACCGCTTCACGTTGGATTCTATCAAGTGCAGGAGTAAAAGTAGGAAATGGGTTGCTGAACTCCAGACATGACAACGGTAATCGCAACAACATGCGCATATGTGCTCCGTATGGCGGTGGCGCTTGTTACCGAGCTAAAGACGGCTTTGGCTTGCCAAGGAAAGGCAAGCCTCTGCGACGCCACCCTTTTTCTTTTTGACAGATGAGCAACGTCGACATTCAACGACAGGGCCAGGTGGAAACCGCTGTTGACGGCGTCTCTCCGTTTTGTCCAGGGTGCCGATGGTGAGCCTGGGCCACGTGGGCAGCAGGGCATGTATGGACCCAAGGGCGACGATGGGACGCGCGGCTTCCCCGGATCCAGCGGCCCCATCGGCCTGCAGGTAACAATAATAAAAGCCTACGTGTTAAACTAACAATAATCATAACTCTTTCCCGTTCTGATGACATACGTGTACGTCGTGGCGTGTGTACATCATCGGACCAGAACTGGAAGAAAAACGAAAGTAAAATAACCGTTATCGGTACTGAGGCTCCCACAAGGCCATGCGGGAGGGTGTGTGGCACAGTTTGGCACCAGGTATCGTAGAGCGTGGTCGTGTCGCTGCAGTTCTCTTGCGGCGAGTACAATGTCTTTAAAAACACCGGCACTACGCCTCTCCAAATAAAGGTAACGCTGAACCTCTTGCGCGTTCCAATGTTCTGCAGTGAACGGGACCCACCCTGCAAATTGTGGTCGTCTCAGAACGGAAGAGGGATAATCATCATTTACATTTGTAAAGTGGCGTATTTTATCCATATATCTCAATGCACCACCATGTATAGAAAGCAGGAAACAGAACCTGCAGGTAACACGGCCAGAATCACGGGGTAAAGGCCAGTTTACGCACAACAGAATTCTGCAGGGGAGGCCCAGGATTTGGTCAGATAATCGTCACTGGTGTTGGTTGGCTGTGAGCGGGAATCGAACTCGCACCGCCGGGTTGGTAGCGCAGTGCGCTAATCGCTGCCCTTCCACTCCTCACGCACATTATATAATGATACTGTTTGGTACGACGCAATTATTATCAGGCCAAGCAAACACACCGTGAGGGTATGGCTGCTGCAATTATGACGATTAATCACGCGATGGGTTGACATGCGAACCGGACCTTTGCGCCTCCGCTGATTGAGACGCATGTGGTCGTTGTTTGCAGGGTCTGCCCGGCACTCCTGGAGAGAAAGGTGAAACGGGAGATGGTGGCCCCATGGTAAGCACAGCCGTCACACCTGCACACCCGCCCTTGCTTCGTAGTTGTCCTTGTGTGAAGGCGTTCCGGCCCGGGTAACTCCTCATTACGTCCTCCGCGCAGCACGTCACGCGAAAGGCTCGCCACCGAACGAAGACGGCCAACAACGGTGGTCACCGTGTCGCGCTTTTTCAGGCGCGCGCATCTGCGGCCGTCTGGAATTGCTCTCCCTTCCGATATATCGGAAGCCACTGGAGCTATACACTTTTAAATCTCGATGGAAAACTCATTTTCTTTAGAACTGCTTTTTTGTGTTTAGTTTGTTGTCCTTGCCCCCGCACCTCTGATTAACACTGTTGGTTATGTACGGCGTTCAACATACAAACACACATACATAGAAGGGGATTACTCCGACCAGACACCACCCCTCACCCCTTTTTTCTGCTCCTTGTATCCTCTTCTTCGTCCGTTCTGGAAATTTCCCCCGACTCTCCACCAATCCCCGTCATTTCCATTTTAATTTGGCTCTTTAAAATTGCCCTGATGACCAATCTGAAGATGCTCGATCCCGTCATATCTCAATGTAACACCGTGCTTGCTCGGTGCACTATTACATCGCATTATCGGAATGGACGGAGACGGCTTGGAGTGGCCTTCATCCAGCAGTGGAATGATCACGGCCAGTGTTGATGCTGATGATACTGTCTATGCCCCAGGTCTTCACCAACCCACACTGACCTGTGTGGAGAGTATAGTCAAACAACCTCCACCCCCTCCTATGGCCCGTACGGCATTGGGAGACCCTCATCTGGCTGCTGATTGACAAGGGCTGCACCCGTACGTGTTCGTAGTACAGACAATAGCAGCGGCTCAATTACCATAAAACATTGAAGCAGGCAGGAGATTGAAAAAAAAGCGAAAAGACATACAAGCTCGGTGTGAGCGCATACCACGACGAGACCATGAGCAGGTCAGCTCGGGCGGCCGGGTTGGAGGTCTCCCCCCACCCACCCCCCAGAGAGTCATCAGTCACCAGACCCGGCACGCTCGGGGACAACGGAGGGCTCTTGCGTGTCACGTTAACCACCGTACGGTCCCCGCGTAAAGAGACCGCCACCCCGTGTGGTGTCAATAGACCGTGTCTCTATCACCGGGCCGGCTCTGCCGAGCGGGAGACACTTTAGGGCGGAGGATGGATGGACGCGATTGCGCCTGCAGCTGAGCCGGCTGATTGCAGAGTTCATTCTCGAGCAACGCTCGTTCATGCGCGCGCGTGCACACGGGGCGCGCGGCCCTCCACGCGCCCCGTCCGCGCCTGCAGACAAACTGCCGGCCGTCTTCTCGTTAGCCCCGTGAAATATAACGCCCCCCCCCCCCCCCCCCGGCACGCTCGAGGGACGCGGCGAGGAGGGATGACGCGCGCCCCGCGGCTCGTGGCGCTCCTCGAGAGCTGCGATTTTTGAGTGCTCGCGCGAGCGTTACAAGGAAGGGAGCTTCCGATTGGCTAGAGTTGTGTATAAATTGAGGCTGTTGAAAATGCGAGCGGTTTCGGAAGAGCCCTTGACACGATTTGGAATTTTGGCATTGCGGCCAGCTGTGATTGGGCCAACTCACGGCGATTTGGTTCCTGGTGACATATACCCTTTTTTTCTTAGTCCCTTGGCCAAAAGAGAGACGGAGCCACCACAGAATCTGTCCTTGCGGCGCTCTTTCCACTTCTCTCTGCGCATCACCACGGTGGCGAGATGTTTACTCCCTCGCCTTGGTATGCAGGAGGCCATGGTTTTGATCCCGACCCTGACGCCTGTTTATTTTGAGTTTGCATGTCTCTCTTCTCGTGGTCACGTGGATTTTTCCCCGGGTCCTCCGGTTTTTCCTTTTACATTTACAAACACGCGTTTAGAGTATTTGGCTACTGCTTTCAATTTCCACATGGTAATCCACTTCGTTGAGCTATCATTTGTGGCTAGGTCACTTCTGAAAAAAGCTAAATAGCTCAGTGGGCCTTAGCTGGCGAAATAAAATACAAATGTTTCGTTTATAAAACTTCTTACGTGAAAGGAAAAATATCCCTTTATCGACACTGATTTTAGTCGGAGCTAGGGGAATTGTGTGCTTGCGTCGCCGTACGTAACTGATCCCCTGAGCTGGATCCCAAGAACACGTTGGGCTTCATTCGGAAACTCTCCCACCGGCTTGGGAGACTGACGACGAGCTTCTGACTGCTCCTGGGAGCTGCCTTTAATCATGCTGTGTATGCCATGGCAAGTGCTCCTTACTGACATATGCGAGTGGCCATTGTAGCACAACAGCTTCACAGACCCGAGTTGACAGAGTGCTTCCCAAAGGGTAAAACGTGCATAAGTGTGAGCTAGATGTGAGTTGAAGATCAGTCGGCGACTTCTTCTCTATCGTCCCCAGAGTCTTGAACTATCTCTCCACCACCCAGCCATCCATGCTGCCGACTCCCCTGCCCTGTTAAAGTACAGGTTAAAAGACATTCCTGTTATCTCATTTCTTTAAGAAGCCCCCAAATCTCGCACTCGTGCAAACGACCATTTAGCAATATAATTTAATAAAAACATATATATATACACCCCCGCCCTAGTACAATTAACAAAGGCAGATTATGGTCAGAATTATAGCGTAAAAAAGGTGAGAAAACGCAGGATGGGGGTGTCTTTGGGGAGAACAATTATAATGCAAAGCAATCTACCTTACCAATGTGCCAATAAGGGTGTTCAACCCGCTATGACATACTGACCAGATACGTGGACGGTGACAAAAGAAAGGTGAAAAGGGCTGAATGGTTGCGCAGAGAAAGCATGGAGAGATGCGTGGTTGGGAATTCCACTGAGAAACAGATTACGGAACGCATGGATGAGTGAACAGCTGCCTAAATTCGACATCGTATCGGCGGTTAAGGAAAATGATCGGGCTTGTGGGCAGGACAACATCACGAGAAGGGATGATAGCCGGTGGTTGAGACTAGTGTAAGAATGGCAGCCAAAGGAGGGAACTTGCTCGTGTGCAGGAGTTGGGTGGAATCTTGCACCGTGAGACCATAAAAAAAATGGCTAAGGCTTTTGAAGGCCTTCATCCTGCAATGAATAGACCATAGCTGCTGCTGCTGATGATGATGATGATGATGTTGCTAATTATGATTTTCCACGTCATGGTTGTTTTCTGTCTCAGGGTCCACCAGGTCCTCCAGGGCCCAGAGGTCCTCCTGGCGCAAGCGGCGCCGATGTAAGTACCCCAGCGAATGATACATCCTGTGTCACATTGGAGGACATGCCGTCTTCGCTGCAATGGTTTTTTTTTATTGAATTAAAGAAAGAAAGAAAGAAAATCTATATACACGCATATTAGCATTGTATGGAGCTCGCTCGCTCGCTTCCTAGCGATTTAAGTATTCAAAAGAGATGTTGTGGTTGGGTCTGCCGGCGTGTTTGTTTTGTTATTTTAAGAAACGTGGGCTTGTGTGTCTTGACGCAGGGCCCACAAGGTTCTCCTGGATCGATCGGCTCGCTTGGCGCGGTCGGAGAAAAGGTCAGCATCAGCCGTCACCTGACGTGAATCTCAAGTGGTCTTGGATCAGTCTGAAATACTGTCCACTCCTTAAATGTCATATTGGGCCCGTATTATTATTATTGGACATGATGGTAAACCCTGTAGCGTGACCTTGTTTAAAGGCGGCGAGGGGGGGGGGGGGGTCACGTACAAGAACTCAGTGGGGACACGACACAGTAAATGTTAAGTGAACTTAAGACAAATGTTAAATGCTTCACAGTGTGAGTAACGATACGATCTGATATTGTCTGTCGTGCGTTCTGCTCCCTCTCTCTCTTCCTTTGTGAATACGAGGAACGGCTGCAGTGTCTATCGCATAATTATACTAATTTGTCAGTGTTTTTGTTTGTTCAAGGCCACAATGCCACCCCTCCAACTATTGCAGACAGTTCGTCTGTCAAATTAAAGCTTGCAAGTTAAAAGGAAACCGCAGCAGATTTGGGAAACTTTGAAGAAATCCCACGGACTGGTTTTAAATATTGTAGCAGCATTGTCCCACTTGGACTCGATGGGAATTTAGAAGCAGGTGCTGAGGCTACAGCAGCGTTAAAGGGCTAGGGGAGGGCTTATGCCCCCCTCTGCAAGCCCACAGAAAATCTACAGGGGCCGATGATTGTTCAGCTGAAGTGGAGGAGTACACAAAAAAAGCCCAACTGACATTTGACGATAGTTTTACTTGGTCAATCGTGAAAACAATATAAAAAATCAACAAAGCAAAAGCCATAAACTCTGAAAATGAGCACAACAATATTGACGTGAAATAAAATCACCGTACACGAGGACTGCTCCTGTCTGCCGTGATGTATTGGGATGAGCATCATGGATCCTATTGTCTGGGGGGTTATCCGTGAACTTACCCACGCTCGTCAGAAGGCAAACACGCTCAATCGTGGCTAATAGGACGAACTTCCCACGCAATTCCTCTTTATTTGTGAAGCAAAATTCTGAAAAGTCGGCATCCATTCCGCAAATGCTGAGCGGGCAAAAGCCGCGGAAAATCGCAAAACGAATATAAACAATAGGGCCGTACATCTCCCGTGCATATAATAAGGAGCCATGGGGTCATAGGTGCCATGGCAGATGAGAGGAATTATCTTGTAACCTCGCTGCCCGGTTGCACCGCGCACCCTGCTCAAGCCATCTGGGGGAGGCTTGACGTAGCTTGAAATTAATTTCCAAAGGGCCCACTCGTGCCGGGGGAAGGAACAATTAAGGTGGCCACGGCACTGTGCACCAAAAGGCAAGCAGCAGCTGCCCCCCGTCGGCCCTCAAGGCCATCAATAATGATTCCGTTGTTTTGCTTTGCGTTTTTTTTATATCTAGGGCGACTCTGGAGAGGCAGGCGACCCTGGGTTTCCCGGAGAGCCAGGCCCTGGGGTGAGCAACGTGGGAAGAGTGGCTGAGCTGTGGATAGGGACGTTGAGTTAATGTTGTACCAGCCAGAGTGTTTGCTGAGATGTGGATGGGAACGTTGAGTTAATGGTGTACCGGCCAGAGTGTTTGCTGAGCTGTGCTGCACGAATTGGGCGTACACTGTGCAGAGGTCGCGTGCACAGGGCGACACTATGACAAGTTTAATTGACTCGAGGATCCGCTCGAATTCAACTGCACATTCTGTAAAACCGCTGCATTAAAGAACGTTTCTGTGGCTGTTGTTTTTGTTATGTTTAATCGACCTGGGTTTTTTGATATCACGACAATAGTGTGAATTGACAATTGGTTTGTAAAACTTGTTTTTAATTTAAAATGCGGAGTTTAAACATGCACACCCTTTGTCTTGTACAATGTTTCGTGATGTTTATGCAATGCGGAGGGCGATCCATAGAGTGATACCCTCACTAAAATAATATGGGGACATATCCTTAGCTCTTTCGGTAAAGTCACGTTGAAGGGAAACAATAAAATAATAAAATATATATAAAACAATAAAAATTATCACAACGTTTCGACCATAACACAAACGGTCATCATCCGTCACGAAAGCTTTAAATCAAAATATGGGGACATGATAGGGGAAAATAAACATTTTATTTCAAAGCCTCTACATGTCTCCCACCCATCTCAATCATTTGACTGTCTCTTCTGTAAGTTGTGGTGACATCACTTTCACAATATTCAGTCACCAGTTGAGAAATAAGAGGGTCATTACAAATCAGTGTCGTGCCTATAAATGGATCACCCTGTAAATATCCAAAATTATGGTTATTTAAACAATGCAGAGTGTGGGAAGAGTAACGCAAATAATCCAGAGGGCATTTAAAGTGACTACGAATGAAAACTAAGCCCAATAAAATATGTCTGGTAAGACTTGTTGTCTGTGCTCAGAGGTCTGACGGCCACATTGTTTTAAATCACAGTTGCCGAGCACAGGCCCAAAATTCCGAACGGCCAGCCACGACCAGCACCTTTGCATGCGTAAGACAGCACGAGTGAATACGTGTCTTTAAATCGAGCAAAGGTCAAGCAGAGGTTAAGCCAGTGTGTTGAGCCGTGTTCCGTTTTAATCTTCGTTAAATTGAAACAGGGCCCGAAAGGAGAGCACGGGGAGAAGGGAGAGTCGGGGCCTCCAGGAACGGCCGGCCCTGCCGGTGCCAAGGGACCCGTGGGAGAAGATGGACCAAAGGGAAACCCTGTGAGTTATTTAGTTATGTTGTTCGATTAAACGTACAGTGGCGTGAGAAGAGCGACAACAAACAGCAATCTGGCAAAAGCAAATGTGACAATAGTGGAAGGCGACAGAGAGAGGCAGGATGAGTGAGGAAAAGATGGGCCGATGGAGTTGAGGAGGAGGAAGTACTTTAGCAGGGAGGAGTAATGCAGAAATTTCAGCGACAAATGACGGTGATGGTGCCGATAATACCAACTTTGGAGGGCTGCTGCTGATGGTAGTTCATGAACTAGGGTTGCGAACTGTTCCACAGATCAAACCCGGACATATTTCCCATTCAGCTTTTGTCTGTCAAAACTGTGCCGTGTACCTAAATAAAGTTCAACTCAATACCGCCAGATTTTGGTGCAGATTAATACCTGCCTGTCGAATTCTGATGCCAGTTCCCAGACTGTCCGGGTCAAACCCAGACAGGTAGCAATCGAAAAAGTGAACCCAGTAGCCTGTATGGGAAAATAGATGTTTAATGTTTGTAATTAGTTCACATTTTCTCACTTCTTGCAACTTCGCGATATAGGGATTAAGCTCTCCTCCCGGATGAAGCCGGTGGTTATTTTGTACAATGTGTGTATTTTTTTAATAAGATGGTCCTTTCAATAAATTGCTTTTTAGGTTTTATATTTTTCCATTGCCAAAGGTGTTATCCTTTGTCTTCAGTATAATATATCAGTGAATTAGCTGTTTTGCAAAATTAAAATAGACTAAAAGTTTCTTGGTCAATTTTTATGGGAGAGAAATCCGTTTACATTCAATTTACGTTCGGAATGGCTAATATATTCCCCATAGAATATTCCCAAAAATAAAAATTCAGCAGATTCAATAAAATCTAAAACGTATGTAAAGTATGTAAATTTCCCTTGCCTTACGGGTCTCATGTCTTTGACCGATACAATTATTGGATAAACACTCGAAATGGAAACAAAACGGTCATTATCAGCACTGAACATTTATAGCTGTAGTAACAGCAGATGATTATGGATGGGAATTTGCATTCATAGGGGGCTTAGATGCTGCAGTACCTCAAAGCGCCTTACAATCACATCTCAACTCAACCATTCTAAATGCCCTGCGAATGGCATATTGGCAATGATGGTGTTTATGATTTCACCAAAAAGCACCTTCTTCAGGAATGGTAATACGACATATATACAAAGAGAAATGCCCCCCATGTAGCCTTAACAGGCTGTTGGGACATGTGCTGTTAGCAAGTACCTATGAAGGCCGGCATGGCACATGTGGGGGTGGGTGGCCAGCACTACGCCCGGCCGCCTTTGTCTCCCCCAGTGGCGATGTTTTCACATTGCACCAGGTACTCATTTAAGGCTGAGTTAACATAGGGAAGGCCCAGGACCAGTTCAGACAGTCGTCACTGGTGTTGGCCATGAGCGGGAATCGAACTTGTCACGCAGGGTTCGTAGTGCAGTGCGCTAACTGCTGCGCCACCGCTCCCCCCTATAGCACACAAACACACATTCCACTTACCCAGTGCTTCGCTGACATGTTTTGTAATGGCTTGCATATATAGCACGTGTGTGTTTATAAATGTTCGCTCTTAGTGGTGGATTTCTTTTTCACACACGTGTGCTGTGAACTCGGGGTGCAGGTGTTCAAAAATTATATCCCCCCCCCCCCTGGTGATCGTGAGCACGTAATAAAACATGACGGACTAGAGGTATTGGAAAATCCGTTTGAAAATTGTGAACTCCTAGCTGCAGGTGCTGATGGATTAATAATAAGATGAATGCGATGGGCTGAGGTCATGAATTACGCAATTTCAGTTGTTTGTTTTTTTCTTCCAGCGACTAACTTGCTGTTTAACTTTTTCGTGCCCAGGTTTCTTAAGGAAATGTGTCAATGACACTGCCTTGAAAGGAAAGAAAAAACATGAAAATTGGCGACTTTTTGGGCCAAAGGCGCCTTCTTCGTATCTGTGCGCCACTGCCAACGCAGCGTCGCCAAATATTTGGGTTTCATTTGTAAGGAACTTTCTTTTGTTTCCTGCAGGGCCCTGTTGGATTTCCTGGTGACCCAGGACCTCCCGGCGAGGCTGGTCCATCCGTAAGTATTTTCCTGACTTTTGCGATTTTAGTTCACTTCAACGGTGAAGAGGTAAAGATGCAGCCCTGCAATTTCTTGATCACACCACTATCAGCAGATGGACTTCCAACGGAGATAACTGTAGCGAACCCTGTCTAGAGGGTATTTGGCCTTCTATGCTGGCCAGACCTCTTGGAAGAGGTAGGAGTATACCCACATTTAACCTCACCACAGGCAACCTGCCTGCCTCTGAGTTGACAACCTGCCTCCCGCGGCAAGAGATGGAATCAATCCGGCGACCTCTGGACTGCAAGTCCAGCGTGCAAACCATTTCTCGCCTCCGATTAGCACGGTTGGCTATGGTACGAAAGAAGTTTAACATACATACACACACATACACCACGCAAAAACATCTTCCCTGCCTCCACAACCCCCTTCAGAATGGTCCGACGCCCTCGCATTGAGCCGAGGACCCTCAACCACTGCTTGTGTTTGTTCCAGGGCCAGGACGGATCTCCCGGTGACAAAGGTGAAGATGGGGAAGCTGGAACAGCTGTGAGTTCTCAACGTCGATGACGCATGCCCCGTCCACACTATTCAACTCTTAGGAATGAATTACGAGTGTCTGTGTACTTGTGTGTGTAGGGAGCGGTAGTGTAGCGGTTAGCGCGCTGCGCTACAAACCTGGCGACCCCAGTTAGACCCCCGCTCATGGCACAACACCAGTCACAAATATCTGAACCGGTCCTGGGCTCCCCCCTGGTCGACTCAGCCTCGAATGAGTACGGTGCGGTGTGTAAACATCGCCACGAGAGAGACAAAGGCGGCCGGGCGTGGTGCTGGCCACCCACCCCCTCGTGTATTGTTCCGGCCTTCATAGGTACTCGCTAACGGCACTTGCCCCAACAGTCTGTTCAAGGCTATGCGGGGGATCTCTGTCTTTGTCTTTGTGTGTGTGCGTACGTTTGTCAACTGAGTGATGTATTTGGCCAGGGATCGCCTGGACCAGTTGGTGAAGTTGGACCCCCAGGACCACCAGGAAAGAGGGTAAGTGCCAATCATCATCATCCTCGTCATCATATCTTACGAGATACCTCGCACAAGGATAACACAGCTCCCAATGGCACCCATCTCAATATTTCACGCATAATATGTTCATCTTCACAGAAAATATTGAAACTGCATTCTGAGATGCGCTGTTACATAATGGGCGCTGTATATGGTATAATTATTAGTATCTGGTGGATTAAATATGACACGTTTGGGATTCACGATGCGTCTAAGGTATAGTTCAATCTCAAGGCAATGCGCAATAGGGTCAGCACGTCAGTGTGTGGTAGGGGAGTGAGTGGTGATTAGGAAAGGAAAATATATAGCAGCGTTGTAATGCTGCGTGATATAAATCGGACAGATTATGCTGTTTTACGATTTTTTTACGTTTTTGCATTTTATGACACCACTACATGTTTAAGGCTGTGTTTAAGTATCATGCATGTTTATTACCGAACCTCCGGTAAGTAAGACCCTAACTGCATATTGTCAGGGGAATATGATAATTGAATATGCATATATTTTTAACAGTGGAACGTTGGAACGTCGGAATATGTCTTACTGACGTCGGAGGGCATGGTGGGAACCTAAATCCCTAAAGCTGCACGCGTGCAGAGGGGACATTTAATAATGCCCCAATTTACACCGCCAAGATCCACATAAAGCCCACCAGTTGCCACTGGGAGTACCGCTTTCTCTGCAGCCTTAGCTTTTTTCTCGCCATACGATACTTGTTCATTAGCATTCAACAACGGGCGAATCGCCCGGCGGTCAGCGTGCCGCACCACACAGAGCCAGTCTGAATGGGGCTGGCACTTTTGAGCACTGCAGCTGCCAAAAAAACTGCGCCGCGATCCACCTTTGTGGGGCATCGTTTTTTTTTGTTTTACGAAGCAGGGCCCATCGCATGCTGGCATCAGAGAAACAATTCCACAGTTGTAAGTTAAATGACAACGGTTTGCGCCCTTTGTCGATCCATTGCCGAATGAAGACCCTGCCCCCACCCCCCCCCCCCCACCCCCAGTGTGGCTTGGTAAGGCGATGGTGGTGAAGGCGAGGGATAGTACCAGTTTGGATGTCACTTACCACTGATGTCATGATGTTCTTAACGTTAGTCACGGGCGGGAAATGAACTCAGGTCACTGGGTTCATAGCACGGGACATAGCACGAGGGGAGAACTGCACGCACATGCATCGCCTTGAGTGGTGTATCAACATTATTACGCAACTGACAAAAACTGAGACTTTTAACGTTCTCGGAAAATTGACGTTTCCCAGGAAAGCATAATCAAAATAAGGGTGATCTTGATTAAATCACGACAGATGGCAATTCTACAATGCAACCAGCCACAGTGCCACCACAACCTCCATGTATAATTTTAAACAACATTATATAACGTTACAATGTGAAATACCATAAAAAAGATCCCTTTGTCGCACGAACATATTTGTTTCTCTCGCATTAGCATATTACATCTCATCATTGTTTAACCTTGCCCATCATTGTTTGACCTTGCCCAATAAAAGCATTCCAACGAAACACAAATGTAGTGAAATACACAGTTGCAGAATTCTGTTTGTTGACCTGTGATCAAACCGACTCGTCTTTCCGTGGCTGTTGTATAACCCATGTCACGTTGTATAACGTCGATGTCACTTGATCGCGTCAGGGGCAAGCTGGACAACGAGGACCGGAAGGAAGACAAGGAGAGAAGGGAGCAAAGGTAATGACCCGCCTTCACTCCGTGATGGAGGAGATTAAGCCATTTTCATCTCAAATTGTATGCCATATTATGTGAAGACCAAACGGATTTATTTATTTTCATTAATTTGTGATGATAATTTTCGTGTTGTGTATTTTTTTCTTGTTATTTATGTATCAATTTATATGGTTTTTGATTTGTTACGTAGTGCGGTCACCTTGTCCATGGGTCAATGTGCATTGCATTCCGACTCCATATTCACACGCATTGTTGTTGTTGTCCTGGCCAAGCCCATTCGCTGCTTTTAAAGTCGATATCTCTGATTTGTGTTTTGTTTCCTCATCCACGCGCTCCTCCTTCCGTCTCTCATTGTAAATTCCGAGCAGCTGTTTTGTTCACATTCGTCACCGGGTTCGCATTTCCGATCCATACGTCCTGTCTGGCAATGTGAACGTAACCTCTTCGGGCACATTGGCACACCGCTTGTCATTGATAAAATCGGCTTTCCGAAAGCACTCTGTCCTGCTGTCATCCGCATCTTTATTCAATCGTCATTTTCACCCCAATGGGCCGCCTCCACGTTTTATATTTTAGGCTGGGTTCACATGGGGTCCCTTAAACCGTGTGCAACGATACATGATGGCCGACTTTCAGACCCAATTAAGTGATGACATAGGAGGTGCAACATCAGCGTGATTAAATGCCGCTGGTGGACAGTGGTAAGTGATTATTGAGCAAAGTGAGGTCATTTCCTTGGCTATACCACGAAACAAGGCCTGATGTCAGGGACATAAGATGGAAAAATAAATTCCTGAGGGATTACCTGTGTCAAAATGTCAAATCTGAAGTTCGTTTCAAATGTGTTCTTTGGGTCTGGGGTGGGTGAGATTAGCTGGAGTCTGAAGCCTGGGCCTGGTAAGTTTATTATAATAATGCATTTTTTCCAGTGAAATTTCTAAAATGTGAGTGATAACTATGCATTTAAAAGTAATTTGTAATGATAGCTTGGCCCTATCGTACGTACTTATATTTTGTTGTGGCTGTATAAATGTTTGTGTCACGCAGACTGCATGTGTCGCTGAAACTGTCGCCTTAATAAAGGCCTAAACTATGCCCAAATTATCACTAACATCTAAAAATCCTCTGAACACAGCCTAATGGTGCAACAATCTGTGAAATGTTATCCACTTGGTCCGTGCGATGTCACTGACAAATCAGGCAACCCAATGCCTCCCACTTGTCACATGGTCTCGCGCTATCAGTAACACCTGTAGATTGCTACATCTTACTGCACTGTTTTGGTTACAGCTCATCAACGGCCATTCTCATCTCCATTTACCACTTCCTGGGACCCACACGAGCACTTGCTGCACCCTTTTCTCACCGATGCGGTGAATGCACGTGGCCCAGCCAGCTGAAGGTGGTCTTCTTTGATGGATGATAAAATGAACGGCCGGTTTGTCCGTTGACATACCTCCTCATATGTCATCACGTCCTTCAGGGGTATATACGTCAGTGTTTTGTGAAATGCGATCGTGTTAATAAAGCCGAGGCTCCTACCATACTCAATGGTTGCATTCATTAGGCCCAATCTCAGCAGTGGAGCATCTGAGCTATTGGCGCGTTGTTTACGTGACAAACCTTACTGGCTGTCGTATGGTGGAGGGTTACGACACATTTATACTTACGAGACCTCACCGAAAAACCTTGATTGTGAAAAAGATTTAATATATTAAAAAAATAAAGCCGCGTCTTGGTGAATGCCATCTCCCTCTTTTAAGGGCGACCACGGGATGGAAGGGCCAGCCGGAAAAACAGGCCCAGTCGGTGCCCAAGGGCTTCCGGGAAAACCTGGATCGGAGGGACTGCGCGGCATCCCAGGGTCTGTGGTGAGTGCCCACCGCGCTTGTGCTGACTATATGGGCCCTACTAGGGTTGCCACCTTAAAAAAATGTACACTGTATGGACAGCGACTGTATTATATGGCGACCATGTTATGAAAAAAAAGATATGGACAACACAAAAGCGTCAAAATGATGTTCCTGGCCAAACAGCTGTTTACAATAACGGAGTCAAAAAAGTTACAAGTGATGTTTCGGATGGAAACTCAAAGCAAGGCAAGCACAATGTCAAGTTGCATCGCACTCATGCGCTGTTGGAGTAAAAATAATTCCAATTACCCAGGGAGAGCCTCGCCGAGTCTCAAGACTCCTGTCAGGAGGGGTCCCTGCTGCATTGGGTTGTTTGGCCAGTGCCGTTAATGAGCCTTTGGCTTCATGTGGGAAGTAGCCGGGACTACCCAGAGGAAAATCCCCTACACATTCAAGGGGGTTAACACTCAAAGCGTAACACATATTCAAGAATACATTGCTGTTCCATCACCTCCTGGCCATCACGCAGCCCAAACCTACAGCACCTCGTATTCCCAGGAAGTCTCCGATCAAAGTGTAAACCAGGCATAAATCTGCTTGGCTTCCGAGGTCTGATGCATCTCCGATTAGCATGGTTGGCTACGTATGGCGCAAAAGAAGTTCAACATACGTACAAACAAAAATGATGCATTCATTTGACACGAGCAATATAAACGTTTATATTGGCGTGTCTCTTACCACTCTGGTATAAGTAAATTATTCCAAGGTTTTCCATCAAACAAACACAAATCCCCATTCTCCGGTTATTAATATTTGCTTCTCTGCTTATCCCCCCCCCTTCCGTAGGACAATAGAGCACTTTCGCTGGCAGCAGAGGGCATGTGTAATGTTTGCACACACAGGGCATCGATCCCCTTGGAACCGATGCTCTTGAATCCAGAGATTGCACGTGCAGCATTTACATGCGGCCGATATCGAGCTAAAAGGAACAAATCAGGTTTACATGGAAAGGGTGGGAAATTGATTCTTTGGAATCCGATTAGGGCCCCTTAGACTATGCACGCGTGCGCCCATTTGGCAAAGGGTCACAGGTCCCATCCATGGATCCTCAGGGCAGCTTTCCCAGTGCAAACGCTGCAGCTCAACCCGAAGTGGAATGCAGCCCCACGTCTGTTTCCACGCTAAATTCAATTGAGTTAATCGATGATCTGGAATATCTGTTAGGCAACCCCCCTTCCCCCCTCCCCCCCATCGATGCCATATTCACAGGTACTGTTCAGCCCTTTCATTTATCCACTGCTGGATGAAAAGGCCTCCCCATGTCGGGTTATATGATCCATACTTTATCTGGATTGTAAACGCGAGTTTGGTAAAGGTTGGGACCATAGACGTTGGATCATGGTACAGTACAACGACGTATTTTTCTGCGCTAGTTGCTATATTCGAGGGTAGAATATCTTCACCCCACTACGAGTGCTGCATTTCAGAGTGAGCAAACGATCGCTCAGGTTTTGATGTCAAATCAAATTAGACACTCCATCTAAATTTACACTGACAATGTACAGTTATTGTATGCGAAGCACAAGGCTGTCTTGTTGCTAGGTTTTACAATAATACACAGGATGAATAACGTAGCTTGATGAACACCTTCATTCATGGACGTTGAGTGAGATATACATTGGTTTGTATCTGTCCTACATTCGTTTGATTTTTAAAATAACCAATTGGAAACCCAGTCAGCGGGACAAATGCGCACAAAAGTGAAATAGACAACAGTGCCCAAGGTTCTTCCATTCAAAAACTGAGAGAATTGCAGTAATGACAAGAGTTTACAAGGACCAAAAACAGACAGTGCAACGTCACCTAGACTTGTTACCGAGGTATAGGCAGTTACGCAGAAAGATCAGATACATGAACAAAAATTTTAAAAAGCAGAGAATTTAAACGAACATAAAGCAGTGAAAAAAAAACTGAGAATAGGTTTTCCCCTTTTTTCTGGCAACAAAACAGCTGTGTTAAGATTTTAAACACCAAACTGAAACCGTTTACAAGGAATCATGTCTGCATTAACAACAATACTTGTGGTCAGAATGCAAACAAAAAACATACTCTGATAGTATACGCATTTGCTTTGAAACTGATTGGTCCACACCAGAGACAGCTTTCTTTAGTCTCAAAATGGTGTTGGCGTCCTCTGGTCTAACACCGTTTTGAGACTAAAGAAAGCTGTATCTTGTGTGGGCCAATCAGTTTCAAGGACAATGCACACATTATCAGAGTATGTTTTTTTGTTTGCATTCTGACCACAAGTATTGTGGTTAATGCAGATATGATTCCTTGTAAAAGGTTTCAGTTTGGTGTTTTAACGTCTTAACACCTATTTTGTTGCCAAAAAATAGGGGAAAACCTATGATCATATCTTGGTACTGGCAAAGGAGGTCCCATGAAGTACAAAAAACTGTGAACAATCAGAATATTTAGACAGGAAGAGGCATCCGATGAGCTGTGAAGCTCTTTTTTCACAGATGTCCAGTAGGGGCGGGGCAGCAAGTTACAACAGCAAATAATACGAAAAAAAATATGTAAGAACAAGATAGAGAAAAGGCAAGCAAGTCGTTAACAAAAAATCTAAAATATAAATTAAGTATCCAAGTACACATTTCTCAAGTACTTAATTCCTGCCGATTTGTCAACACCAAATGCAAGCTTGGGCAAGGCAGCAAAACAACAACACCAGTCCCAGACCACACCAAGACAACACAGTCCCTTGATGACATTGCACATTAAAATTGAACAATTGATACATGAATTTAGATTTAAAGCTTTCGTGACTGTAGGGATTCATATTCTTGGTTCTTTCGGTAAAGTCACGTAGAAGGGAAACAATAAAATAATAAAAATATAAAACACTAAAATTCTCACGGCGTTTCGACTGTAACATAAGCAATCATCATCAGGTGTGAAAACCACAGCAAAAAGATTTGAAAAAAGTGGCGGTTATTTTTAACGTTAGCACCACAGATAGCGATTTGACAGTTTGTTCAGATGGACGAGTCCATCTATGTTCGGAAAAGAGGAGGGGGGAGACGAAAATAATGGATGCGGTCTGAAAGCCACCGTAAGTGTGAACAATCAATTAAGACCCGAAATGGTTTATCAAATCCTTCCAATGATTGCTAAGCCAGAATCCATCTTCTCGGTTGAAATTGTCTCTGTGTTGGTATATGTGGATAACCTCATGAACGAATCTCTCATGGTAGCCAGATGGCTTGCAAATAACCTCTGTCTTGGAGAAGTCAATGTCATGTAAGCCTACTGAATTATAACAGTGATCTGCCATGGCCGAGGTGTTGGTCCTACCATGTTTTAGGTCTGCTTTGTGTTCACGAATGCAGTCCGAGACATGTCGATAGGTTTCTACAATGTAACTACTACCACAGAGGCAACTTAGTTTGTAGACGCCAGGGTACTGTATGTCCAGAATCACATCTTTTACAGACGGAACCAGATCACAGATTTTATGTAATGTGTTGAATCGGACCTGGATCTTGTGTTTATTAAAGATTTTGGAGATCTTTTTTGTAATTCCCGCAATGTAGGGTAAAGTGATGGTTTTGAAAGGCTCCTCAAGATGGTCTTTCTTCACGGTTGGAGTGATAGCTTTGCGGATTGTGTAGTCGGAGTAACCATTAGCCTTAAGAGCTTGGTGTACGTGCTTGAGTTCACTGGCTATGTGTTTCTGGTCGGATATGCATTGGGCTCTATGGTGCAGAGTCTTGATGAGGGAATTCTTCTGGGACGGATGGTGGTGGGAATCCGGTTTCAGGTCAGCATCCATATGGGTAGCTTTCCTGTAGACAGAGTGGCTCATTGAACCATCAGGTCCCTTTGTTATTAGGACATCCAAAAAAAGGTAGCTTGCCATCTTTTTCGACTTCCATGGCAAATCTAATGGCTGGGTGTATGGAATTGATGTGGTCGAAGAATTGGTCTAGAGCAGGCCGGCCATGTGGCCAGATGAGAAAAGTGTCATCCACGTACCTCTTTCATAAGGTTGGGCGTAGAGTGGCAGTCTGGATGGCGTCAGTCTCAAATTTCTCCATGAAAATGTTGGCTACAACCGGAGACAGGGGGGAGCCCATTGGGGTGCCCTCAGTTTGTTTGTAGAAAGTTCCATTCCAAGTGAAGTATGTATTGGTTAAGCTGTGTATCACCAGGGGGGGGGTACCTCAGTGTTTAGTCCTTGATGAACCAAGTCTTCAATGATTGCGATGGTGTCAGGTACAGGAACTTTGGTGAATAAGGAAACTACATCAAAACTGACAAGCAGGTCGTCTGGGGACAGGGAAATACCCTTCATTGTCGATACCATGGTGAGTAGAATTTTGTACCGCAGAGGTGTTTTTTCCAGTGAAAGGCCGCAGGATTTCAGACAGTAAACGAGCCAGTTTGTAGGGGGGGGAGGGGGGGAGTTGATAGTAGAGACTATGGGACAAAGGGGTGTATCTACTTTATGTATTTTTGGTAAGCCGTATAATCTTTGTGGCCTGGCAGCAGAAGGTTTCAACGAAAACTGTTTGGTTTGATCAATTAATGCGGTTGAATCAGAAATGATTTTGTTGGTTTGTATGACGAGGCTGTTGGCGGGATCTCTTTATTTTTGTATAGCTGCCATCGTTGAGTAATTCTTGGATTTTGTTGTTATATTCTATTTTATCCATGATGACAGTGGCATTGCCCTTGTCAGCCGAGAGGATTACAATGTCATCCCTCTTTTTTAATTTATATAATTCAAAACGCTCATCTTTTCTGAGCTTGCTAGCTGGCATCTTAGCGTTTTTTAGGGTTGCAGCGATTTCAGATGTTGCTATGTCTGCGGCGATGTGACCCAGGCCCTTGAGAGCCACGTTTACTTGGGCAATTATATCATTAACTGGGTTGTGTTTAGGTGTGACTGCAAAGTTTAACCCTTTAGCTAAAACGGTTTTCAGACCATCAGAAATAGAACTGTTACTGCGATTAATTACGACTTTGTAACGTCTAGCTTTTTGGTGTGTGGGTCCGTTTTTGTTGTTGTTTATTATTTAAAAAAGAGGGATGACATTGTCATCCTCTTAGCTGACAAGCGCAATGCCACTGTCACCATGGATAAAATAGAATATAACAACGAAATTCAACAATTATTCAATGATGGCAGCTATACAAAAATAAAAAGAGATCCCACCAACAGCCTCGTCACACAACACAACAAAATCATTTCCGATTCAACCGCATTAATTGATCAAACCAAACAGTTTTCGTTGAAACCTTCTGCTGCCAGGCCACCAAGATCATACGGCTTACCAAAAATACATAGATACACCCCTTCGTCCCATCGTCTCTACTATCAATTCCCCCACCTACAAACTGACTCGTTTTCTGTCTGAAATCCTGCGGCCTTTCACTGGAAAAACCACCTCTGCGGTACAAAATTCTACTCACCTGGTATCGACAATCAAGGGTATTTCCCTGTCCCCAGACGACCTGCTTGTCAGTTTTGGTGTAGTTTCCTTATTCACCAAAGTTCCTGTACCTGACACCATCGCAATCATTGAAGACTTGGTTCATCAAGGACTAAACACCGAGGTACCCCCCTGGTGATACACTGCTTAACTAATACATACTTCACTTGGAATGGAACTTTCTACAAACAAACTGAGGGCACTCCAATGGGCTCCCCCCTATCTCCGGTTGTAGCCAACATTTTCATGGAGAAATTTGAGACTGACGCCATCCAGACTGCCACTCTACATCCAACCTTATGGAAGAGGTACGTGGATGACACTTTTGTCATCTGGCCACATGGTCGGCCTGCTCTAGACCAATTCTTCGACCACATCAATTCCATACACCCAGCCATCAGATTTACCATGGAAGTTGAAAAAGATGGCAAGCTACCTTTTTTGGATGTCCTAATAACAAAGAGACTTGATGGTTCAATGAGCCACTCTGTGTACAGGAAAGCTACCCATACGGATGCTTACCTGAAACCGGATTCCTACCACCATCCATCCCAGAAGAATTCCCTCATCAAGACTCTGCACCATAGAGCCCAATGCATATCCGACCAGAAACACATAGCCAGTGAACTCAAGCACGTACACCAAGCTCTTAAGGCTAATGGTTACTCCGACTACACAATCCGCAAAGCTATCACTCTAACCGTGAAGAAGGACCATCTTGAGTAGCATTTCAAAACCATCACTTTACCCTACATTGCGGGGATTACAAAAAAGATCTCCAAAATCTTTAATAAACACAAGATCCAGGTCCGATTCAACACATTACATAAAGTCCGTGATCTGGTTCCGTCTCTAAAAGATGTGATTCCGGACATACAGTACCCTGGCGTCTACAAACTAAGTTGCCTCTGTGGTAGTAGTTACAATGGAGAAACCAAACGACATGTCTCGGACCGCATTCGTGAACACAAAGCAGACCTAAAACATGGTAGGACCAACACCTCGGCCGTGGTAGATCACTGTTCTAATTCAGTAGGCTCACATAACATTGACTTCTACAAGACAGAGGTTCTTTGCAAGCCATCTGACTACCATGAGAGATTCGTTCATGAGGCTATCCACATATACCAACACAGAGACAATTTCAACCGAGAAGATGGATTATGGCTTAGCAATCATTGGAAGGATTTGATAAACCATTTCGGGTCTTAATTGATTGTTCACGCTTACGGTGGCTTTCAGACCGCATCCATTATTTTCGTCTCCCCCCTCCTCTTTTCCGAACATAGATGGACTCGTCCATCTGAACAAACTGTCAAATTGCTCTCCGTGGTGCTAACGTTAAAAATAACCGCCACTTTTTTCAAATCTTCTTGCTGTGGTTTTCACACCTGATCATGATTGCTTGTGTTGCAGTCGAAACGTCGTGAGAATTTTATTGTTTTATATTTTTATTGTTTTGTTGCTTCCCTTCCACGTGACTTTACCGAAAGAACCAAGGATATGATTGATACATGGGTAAGGTTCATCGTTACGGATCAGATTTGAAAATGTGGTTGCCGTATCCGGCACACGTCTGCTACTGAAGGATATTTTTCCAAGGGAGACTTACAAGGTTAAGGGAGGAAACAAGGTCGCTCCAAAATGTTGGTGCTGCAACGGGCACAAGGCTCTGTCACGTTTTCCAATTCTTGTTCTCAGGATAGTTGAAATGAACCCGTGAATGTGTTTCTATCTCACCCCCAGGGTGATCAAGGTATGCCAGGATCTCCTGGGGAGGTTGGCCCTCCTGGACCCATGGTAAGTCCACTAGTTAATTTCACTGGGACTAATTATGACCAACTTTGCCTTGGCGATATTTTTTATATATACACTTTGTATAAGGTTAGACTGTAAGGGCAATGACATAAATGTTTAAAGATGTATATTTTGTCATATAAATGTGCATGCACTCTGAAAGATACTTCAAACTAATACCAACACACCTGTTTTGGAAGTATATAAAACAACCCAGTATAACAATATATTAAATGTATTTTTATTATATATACACATGTGTGCGGTTTCTTAAGAACAACACTGTGGATTAAATGGCAGCATTCAGTGATACCTGAGACGTGGTCGTGTATAATTGTTAAATTTAAAATGTGTGATTATTACGAACGACGGCTATTATGCAAATTAATTTGTGAAACTAAAATATTAAGCTAATCTGTTTCTCGCTTTAGGGACCTCCAGGTTTACCTGGGTTGAAGGGAGATCCTGGTCCGAAAGGAGACAAGGTGGGCCTCATCTGAAATACACAACTATTACTCATTGAAAAAAAATATGTATTTTTTTTCAGATTTTCCAAAACGTTGATTATATCTAATTTTCATAATGGTAGAGGCCAGGTGATTCAGAAGATCAATTCGGTCATCAAAGTAACTGTAGAGTACGCAAATGTACTGGCGTTGAAGCCATCTCAGTGCATTAAATTCCCAACATCAAATATCCAATGAGGACACGGAAAGCACCGCAGGGCTGCGGGGTGAAATGCGAGCGCTCGCGAGTTTCCGAGTCTCCAGCAAGCATGCAATCTGGACCCATCTTTTATCAAACTCACCCATTTATCTAATTAATAAAATATACACACAATAAACCAATTAAAGCTCAGACTCATCGCTATCCACATCCTGGAGCCCTGCACGACCACATGTTCCGTGGGTGAGCTCTGCCAACGCAGGAGGAGGAGGGGGGAGGGGGGCAGAAGTTGTAGGGGTTGATTGGTTGGCTTGTTTAACCACCTGCCACATTTGGCTTTCCTTTGCCCTTGTGCGCCATTTTTCTGAGTTGGCGCGCGCGCGCACAGACAAACGCGACGTTGCGTCTGAAGGGGTGGCCTCTCGCCGGTGAATTGGATTTCAGGTCAATGTTGCCGTTCCATTAACTGCTACGAGACATTTTGGGGACACTTTTGGGCGCTTTCTGCAGCGTGAGATGACGGTAACAGTGCAGCCCTGCACTTTTTTGCTGCACAGGTGCTGGCGGAAAGGCCCAGGGAGCCCTAGGGCGCCCCTCTAAGAGGGCATTTTGGCCTACTCTTTCACACTGGTCGGATGTTTTTGGTAGAGGTGGGAGTATCCAAACTTAGAATCCCATCACATGCGACCTCCTGGTTGACCAACTGTGGTGAGTGGACAGGGTGGGAGCATTTAAACCCACACGTTGACCTCAAAGGCAGTGCTGCCACCTCAAATACCAACTCTCAAGATTCTGGGTTCGAATCCAGGCAATCACCTGTGAGTCAACGAGGTCGTTGAGTATAGTTAGTTCAGAATCAGAATCTATATTTTTCCTCGAGGAATCAGATGAGTTATGAAGCTCTTTTTTTCACAGATGTCCAGTCGGGGCGGGTCAGCAAATTGTCGGTCTCTGTCTGGCCACCAATGACTGCTGTGAAGAAAAAAAAAACCCATCAGATTAAATGTTCGGATAAACAGCAGCTTTGGGTTATTAGAAAGAAAGAAAAACCCGTTTGACTATGATGTCAAGAGAAATGTTCTCGTATGCAGAACAGGTGGGAAAGTGCCGCCCCCTACCGTGTGGAACAGATGTGACTGGAAGGGATCTCCATATCCACGGAGCCCATTCACTTACGCAGAAGGGTTACACCGGTGTGCACGATTTCTGAATGGATTTGTCATCCCATGACGTGACGTGACAAATTTCGGGTGAAAATTACAAAAATGCACAAACATATATTGTATATGAACGAACGTCAAGGGCACGGTGCTCACTCGCACTTTGCTCTAGCTGCGGCGTAGCGGTGTAACAGTCGTGTCAATTTTAAAGCCACCGAATGCTTAATTTGTCACTTCGGCATTCTGGTTGCACTTCTCGGAAATTTATTGTTTTGTATTATGCTTAAATACAAGGGTTTTATTTTACCGTCGTAACGGCAGAACGTATTTCCGCTAAATCCTCAGAAATTAAATATAACGCCGCGTAATCCTGAGAAATGTAACACTTTTTTTTGTTCGAGGTGTTAGTCGTGTTAATCTCTAGGAAGCTACCGATTTCCCACTGCAATTCAAATCCACGGGAGAATTTTTTTTCATCACCCCTCAAATATGGTTAAAGGTGCAGCCCTGCAATTGCTTGCTCACACCACTGCTGGCAGAAGCGACCTCCACACGAGGGAACTCTAGAGAGCCCCATCCAGAGGGCATTTTGGTCTCCTCTATAACACAGGACTCTCAAGCTAAACATTTATGAAGGATTACCCACACTTTACCACACCACACGCAACATGCCGATCGACTAAATGTGGTACTCATATCGTATTTACGCTGCTCGGCGGACAGAAGAGAGCGGAATGGGGGGGGGGGGGGTGAAGAAATGTGGACCTTTGGTTCAACTGATGCTTAGATTTAATCTATACTTGTGAATGTAGTTTTATATGTATGTGTTAGCGCTCTGAAATACTTCAACATGAAAGGCCTATCGTCAAATAGAGGTTATTATTATTGCTGCGCCGGGAGATGGACCCGAACTGGCAACCTCTGAAATTGCAAGTCCTTGCAAATATAAATAAAACATCTGTGCAAATGTACTTGTTTGCATTAATTAAATACACTATGTAACATAAACTGATTGATGTAAAGACTATATATATGCATTTATAAAATGAATAACTTTCATGTGTAAATACACATGGACTGCTTTCATATGGAAATAAATGGAAATCATATTTTTTTTTTTATCGTGGGCATTGTGATATCGCTGTGGCTGTTCCATCTGTCTCTAGGGCCACCCGGGCCTCATTGGCCTGATCGGGCCTCCTGGAGAGCAGGGAGAAAAGGGGGACCGTGGCCTCCCAGGCCCCCCGGGATCCTTCGGGCCAAAGGGTGACCAAGTACGGTTTCTCACAATATATTTTAATTCATTACCTATATTTACGCAATGCTTCTGTCTCAACTCCATGTGGCCATGCTGTCTTGTGCGTTGATTCTAGCTGTGCGGAAGTTTGGGTGTTAGTTTCTCATATTGCGTGTATTTTTTCTGGGCACTCGAGGTTTCCCCATCCCCGAGAAGTGAATCACTTATTCATGGCATTAGCTTTTGAGGATTTACGATTATCATTAACACGGTGCTTCAGTGGCTCATCAGCAGCCCAGTGTGCCTAGCACCACATCTCACCTCAACTATTCCGCTCCTCCTGCTGCAGTCTAATCCAAGAGAACCCCCAGTTGCAGCTGTCCCTGTGTGGCAAAGACGAACGAAGCAGTGGCCTGCAACTGAGTGTTAGCCTGCAGTAGGTGGCATTTCTTCACCCCCCCCCCCCCTCCCACCACCTCCCCGGGTCAAATAATTTGCGAGCGATTAATCGAATTTGACTAAGTTGGACCGTCATGCCGGCAGACGTAGCCATCTTTCTTTCAGATTACATCACAGGGTCTTGAATAAGGCACTGTGAAGCCGAGGGTGTGTATCTATTTAACGTGCACTGAGTATAAAGTAAAAATAAAGTTCCACTTTGTGAGGAGGTCAATGGATAACAGTGGTTTTCTATTTGACATCTGTGAAACTACTGGACGTCTGTGAAAATGAGCTGTATGGCTCATCGGATTCCTCCGGTATAAATAAATCTCCTGATTCTTATCATCTAAACCCCTGCCATAGTAATGTAGATTTGTCTTTGCCACTGGCTCTGCAGGGCTATAAACAAGAGATGAGCATCGATGCCTCAATGCTCATTACAGCAGGGACTCACTTTGACTTTGTATTTAAGGCCTTCTAACAATATAACCTGGGTAACAAATCTTACTCATCAGTGGGTGGTTTTGGATACGATTGGTTTTGAGAAGACACAAGTGATTTTTTTTTTTAAATCACGCAGTTATGAGACACCAGACTTTAAAATATGACGAATTTAATTGCGCATGATCCTATTTTTTTCTTAGAAATAATACCAAGATAAAGAATATATATTAAGTGGTGTCTTGACTTAATAACGTGTCTTATTAACTTTTACAATGAGTGCCGCCTTGTGTGATTTGCAAATTAATTTTCCCAAAAGCCCATTACTGCAATTAGAGTACTTGGAGACATTTCGGGTTTGAAGGCATTATCTTCCGCACGGTGCGGGGAGGACCTCACTCCAATGTCGACTCGCTGTCGCAAATTACCCAAAATAACTGCAGTATTAAATATCTACATTGCGTCAGTTTTGTGCAAATCTGAAGCCTTTTCTCCGGGGGAAACGATTTGTTCGTGGCAAAAATTTAGTGAAAATGTTTTCATTTTATGTGTACGTATGTTGAATTTCTTTCATACCGTACACAGCCCACCATGCTAAATGGAGGTGCGGGGGAAGGACAAAAAAACTAAACACAAAAAAAGTTCTAATGGAATTAGTTTTCAACCTAGATTTTAAATTGCATAGCTTCGGTGGCATCCTAATATCGGGAGGAAGAGCATGCCAGACGATGGCAGAAGCGCATCTGAAAGCGCGCGATGCGGTGACCGTCCTTGTTCGATGGCCTGCCACAATCTGCTGCGAGGATGACCGGAGTTTGCATGATTGTTTATGCTCAATGACGAAGGCACCCGGAATGTTCTCCATCTTGTTGGACCTCAGGAAGTAAGCAGGCTCTCGAGTCTGGTTCGTGCCAGCATAGTGCTTGGATGGGTGTCCACCGTGCACATAAGGCCGGTGTAGTAGGCTTTCTCTCTCGGCATTAAGAGGGTAACTCAGCAAAGTCCATACTCACCCATCCCCCCCCCCCCACCCATATTCATTAACCGACCAGCGTGGTGAATTCTAGTCAAATTCACCTGACTGCATGTACGGCCTGGGGCGGCCACTCATCCAGCAGCGGAGCGACGAATGGGCCGTGCGTGTGCGTGCTCGCATTTTACGTGACAGTCTGAAATGCGATAGTGATGGCGGAGCACTTAGCGCAACTGCACTGCCAACCCAGTCGCCCTCGAGTTTGAATTGCCGGCCTCAAGCTGAACGTCAGCGGAGAGTGATATCTGAACCAGTCTTCCCCCCCCCCCCCAGCACCACCCTCGTTCACCAACCAGCTCTAACCGGCACGGTAAAGTATCGTTGTTGACAAAGTGCTGTTAAATTAAAAAATAAAAAGAAGATGTGATCGGAATTGGGTCACTGAGCGTTAAAGTTAATGTTGTATCAAGTGTGGCAATGGCAGGAGATAAGATCTGTATCGCATTAACGTCAGTAATTGCATATTGCCTTTTTAAATGTTATTTATGCTGATGGGCATAAAGGACCCCCCACTCACTCTGATAAATTGTCCAGCAGAGACCTTAATTACATTTCCCAGGTTCTCTCTTCCCAGCACATTATTAAATGTCACTGTTAGTTAAGGGAATTCTGCTGTGTACCAGTTTGAAGGGCAAAAGATAAACACGGCACTTTGCACGACTGAATTTGGAATAAAATAAAAACGTTATTGGGTGATGCCGCATTGGACACATGGTACATAAGTAGACACAACAACAACAACAAAACGCAACACATTCTTCAGTAACAATGCGGCTTTAAGAAGAAAACAATTGTATAAAAGGCAACATTTCTGGCAATGACCCTTGTTCAGAACACATAAAATATATGTTTTAAATGTGTTGAGTTATATTTAATATTGAATAGTTACTCTTCGTTGGCCATATGAAAACATAGTGATCAGCATCATAATAACAGGAACACAAATATCTAAGAGCACTTTATATAGTTTCCATAAGGCTTTGTCCTCCATGCTCACGTACCACCTCCACTCCTGCTTAACGTTGTGTTTTTATTGTGAAAGATCAAGTAGGGGATGGCCAAGCGTAAAAGGTGAAGGTGTGGCCCTACAATTGCTTCCTCGTGCCACCAACTAGCACAGTGGGTCAGGTAAGGCCCACTGTGCTTGTTATCTCTTTTTCAGAAGCGACCTAGCCACAAATGATAGCTCAACGAAGTGGCTTATCACGTGGAAATTCAAAGCAGCCAAATACTCTGAACGCACGTTCCTAATTGTGGAGGGAAAAACTGAAGGACACAGAGAAAAATCAACGCGACTACGGGGAGAACACGCAAACTCCAAATATACAGCAGCCGGCGTCAGGGTCAGGATCGAACCCACAACCTCCTGTATACCAGGCGAGGTAGTTAACATCTCGCCACTGTGGCGCCCCCAAATCTTGTATTGAGGGACCAGACCGTGACCTGCCGATCAACTAACTGCTGGGTAGACAGAGTCAGTATGTGGGCGGGGGGGGGGTGCGGAGTGACATAAGAATATTGTACCATTGTTTCCACTGCCATGCCTGGAGATCGAACAAAGCCAACTGGCAGCCTCCAGGTTGCAAGTCTGGTGTGCTATCTAGGCAACGTCTCTGGCAGGTGTAAAAAAAAAAAAACTATCAATAACGTTCGTTCTTTGTTTTCCAACAGGGCATCAATGGGCCGTCTGGCCCTTATGGACCAGCTGGTCCTCCTGGTCTCCCAGTGAGTTGCAGAGCCTTTAATTGCTTCATTTAGTGTTTTTTTTATCTTGTTAAAATAATAATCATATTAAGAGCTAAATCACTGCACATTTAAAACGTTAACGTTTCCACCTGCGTAAATAACTGAAATGACCTCGCTTGCATTTTAAAACGTCCTCATATCTAATTGCCAGCTCATCAGACAATCTGGGATTATGGTTACGTAATGTTTAATTGCAGAGTTTTGTAAAAAAATGTTTCGTGAACGTGCATGACAAGCGGCAATAAAGCATGTAATTTAATATGGACAACATTTATATGAACGCCTTGTTTGTATATTAATTACGTGTTCATAATTTTTTGTTTGACACCAAAGTCAGGCTTTGATACAACGTTATTATAAATCTTTAAAAAAAAATTGTTACATTTAATCCCAAAGTATGACATCACGGCAAATGATGCCATACTATGTCACATCCGTGTGTTTTTTTTCCACCAAAGGTGGTGTCACATTGCATTGGTTAAGGTCACTTTTATTAGCATTACATCACAGAAATGATCCAAAAATCTGAAACAAAGTCCGAAAGTGTCCTTAAAAATCTTACAATTCAAAAATCAAATGATTGTTAAATAAGTTCACCTACAATAATTATAATATATTCAGATGTATTATGCATATTTCTCGCCTTACAATTTACATATTGAGTCGTGGATGATGCTAAGACAATACTCACAGAAATGTGCATTAAGTGTTGAGCAAAGTGTGCGTGTTGCACAGTGTGAGTGATAAAATGTGATGGCAAGCGCTAACCACCGCTCGACTACTTCTCCACACAGGGTCCCCAAGGCCCCAAGGGATCAAAAGGTTCCATGGTAATTGCTCATTTTGCCAATAAAGCACTGCAATTGACGGGCTTGTTTTTATTTACACAAGCCTGCTGCTGCCGGTTGGAAAGCTTGACTTGCGTTAATGACATTTCTTTCTTATTGGCGATGCCCCTCGTGAGATTGTGTGTGCGTGTGTGTGCATCTCTGTGTGTGTGTGTGTCTGTCATGACAGGGCCCTGGAGGACCCAAGGGAGATATGGGACCCCCAGGCACCCCTGGCCCTCCTGTAAGTGCACTGTACCCAGCCACCCACCCACCAAGCCACCCAGCCACCCACCCAGCTAGCCACCCACCCAGCCAGCCACTCACCCACCCAGCCATCAACCCACCCATGCACCCCAAATTCTATAAAAAAAAAAATCACATCCCTATCACAAGTGGTGCATTTATCCGAATCAAATCTGGGAAGTCAGAGTTGAAACAATTATAATTGGCGAATTTATTTTTTTTTATACATGACACCTTAATGTTGTTAGCTCTATTGGGTGGTGGAGGGAACTTACAACAGAAATATGGCCAGAGCATTACGTGGCCTCACCCGAAATTTTTATTTCAGTACAAGTAGGACGCCAGACAAATAATACCGTTTCATTTTGCCTGCATCTCTGTGATAGAATAACAATCTATCACAGAGCTCTTTCTCACCTGGTTATAAGAAGGGCGATACAAGGAGCTGAACTCCGTTGGGAACACGACTGCCATGCAATAGATGCCCTCACTCATGCCCTGTCTCCTTAATGTCCACCAATCACCATATATATAGAGAGAACGAGAGACGGGAAAAGGAGAGGTGAAGGGTGTAAGACATATTGTATACAAGGTGATATTGCACAGAAGCTATTAAAATTTAAACAAATTCAAACAACTTTATTGTAGATAAGCAATTCGTACAAAACTTAGACTTAAACATTTAGAGTGGGAATTAATATGTTGAGCAGCTTATTTTTCCCACTGCATTATTAATCGGAGGGGACACTTTCAATAAAATTAGTATTTTTGTTGTTGTTGAACGTTTAAGATGTATCACTGATAGAGAAATTATGGTACCACCTTTTCTAACTTGTCCACAGCTCTTGGCATTGTCATACCTAGACAATGATGCTGACAGTTTGGTTGGATTGCCATTGTCTCTGTGCATCTGTGGCTACAGTTTGGATGTGCGCCTGTGAAATTTTTCCATTTACATTTCACAATCATAGCTTGGACGGAGTAGTGACACCGCGGTTAGCGTATCGCACTGTGAACCCAGCAAACCCGTGTTTGATTCCTGGCCACAACTCACATCAGCGGTGAGAGATATCTACATCAATCCTGGCTGGGTCTCGACTCACCCTTTCACTAACCTGCTATGACCAGCATGGTGAAATGTGGTCAAATAACCGACCATGACCATCCAGCACAACTGGTATTCAATATATCAACAAATGTAGTGATCATGATCGGATATAAGCAATACGTACAAAACAGAAGCATATAGAGTGGTAATTTGTATGTATAATTTATATATTTTAACTGCTGACCAATCAGTAGCGGCTTGATAAAGGGCTGTAATTTCTCTCATGTGGCCACATAGCCTCGTGATTAACACACTCACTTGCAGGGAGAACTATTATATATCTATTACTTGCTGGTGAAAATTACGGGGCTTTTAGAATATTTTACATATATAACGTGAAGTTAACTTTAAATATTGAAAGACTCTGGAGTATCACCAATTTTCAAAAAGGAAGGCCGGGGTGTACCGGGGTTCATGGCTCATTTACTAAATCAAACATTTCCGGGCGGCAAGATTATTTAAAAATAATAAAATGGCCCTTCCTTTTGTATGGATAATTAGGTCTCTCTAGCTTTAAAAGTTAACCTCCCTCCTCCATCTAAATAATAAATGGAATTATGCATAGTTCATTAAGCTGATAAAGCTTTCATTTCCCAACTTTGAGCTTTGTGAATAAAAAATATTGCTCAAATTGTCAAATAAATGAAGCATAAATATCACCAATATTATGTGGAAGCATGTAAAACATACACGTGCAAATAGAGGCCCATTCCATCGGATAATATGAGAATTAGCATCAGTTGACTTTTTTTCTCCATATATTTAGCACTATGCTGCTCCAGGTCATTTTCGCAGTTCAGCCACAGATGTGGAAATTCTATAATGCATGGATATGCACCACACAAATGGAGTGTCTGGCCAGAGCAAATAAAATGCACGAGGATGGATTTTTTTTAATTTCGCTTCGCTTTTAGCCAAACTGATAAATGTCGAAAAGTTGAAAACTTTTTTTCTATATTTGTTTTAAACCAAAGCAATCACGTTTACAGTGCACATTTCACCCCATGCATTGATGCTCCCACCTCCTAACTGGGCCAATGGAGTCGGCTCTCTGTAATCTGGCAGCATCGATACACTCCATCCACATAATTTGAAAGGAATATATTTTACGCTGCAGCGTTGGGGCTGGCACATAATGTACTACTTTTGCAAGATGTATATATTATGGATGTTGAATATCCACGTCGTAGTCGATACAATAAGTGGTAAAAGTGCAGCGCTGCAATGTCTTTGTTTTGTCACTGCTGGCGAAAGGACCTCCACTAGCGGGAGTTGTAGAGAGGCCCTCTGAACAGTGTTTGGCCTACGCTTCCATGGTGGCCAGACATCTTGGAAGAGGTGGGAGTACCAACACTTTACCCCACCGTACGCCACCCATTGATCGACTATGGTGGATCCATTTATGCTGTGGGAAGGACAGACGGGGAGCAGTTTCAGCTTCCATGCCAGGAGATCAAATCGAACTGGCGATTTCTGATTGCAAGCCTAGTGTGCTAACCATTACACCGTGGCAGCGTACATAGTAGATAATGGCGCTCTGGTAATAACCCAAGGATGTTATCAGACTACCGTGAGGTTTGAACCTTGGAATCCATATAATAAAAAATGGCTCAATGGCAATCACGTTGGCCGCTGAGATATCCAGCCACCACCGATTTTACTGGCTCGATGCAACCCATGGCCAACAGGGCCCCAGGTGTGCGCATCTTGATGGCATTACCCTACGTGCACACGCTTAGCCCAGATAGCCATTTCACTGGGGCGGGGAATAGAAAAAACACAGCCAACACAAAACAAATTTGGCCCAGGCTTATTAAGTCAAATGTAAACATCAACACTGTCAGGAGGAACCCCCCCCCCACCCCCAACAAAAAAATGTAAATGACGTAATTAAAACTGACGGCAGTGGCGTTTTAGAAATCCCTTTGGCCTTTCGCCACAAACACACGACGCGTGATGCTAATCGCGGGGAAATGGTACGTAATTGACATTTCTGCCAATCGGCCTTCATAACTCAAAAAAATGTCCGCAGGCAATTGCATTTCTGTGTCACAGCTGAGGGTGTGCTTTTCTTTATTCCTCCTCTGATGAGCAACAAATCGATATTCCCAAGGCCACGGGGAATGTCGGGGCCACCGGGAGGGCCTTGCATTTCTCCCCCAGTAGGCGCTCCACCTAAACAAAAGTGTAATCCCCAATTCTCGCTCGGCTTGGGGGAATTCTGCAAGCGCCTTTTCTTTAACCCAGTAGAACCAGCGCTGCGCGTGAATTCGACGCGACGCAAATTTGCGTGGGGCGCAAGACATCGCGATAGAGTGCACTTTATTTGCGCTGCTAAACGAGTCCCATTAATTCGAATGATGGTGCTCTGCGGTACATTTTTTAGCCTCCGTAGAGTAAAAAAAAAGCATGGCATTGCCTCTTAGTATCGTTTGTTTTGGCCCTCACCACCGCAGCAATGACATTCAAGGGGTTGGCTTCATCCTTCCGAGAGATGATGAATGTTTGCATCCCATCGCAATTCAGTTCAACTTTCCGTGCCAAGCGGGGTGAAAAAGCTCGTGTTGCATTGGCACGATGAGTACGATGGTAACAGAGGTGATGGTGCAACCCCTGTAATTGCCCGCTCACGCCACTGCTAGCGGAAGGGGCCTTCCGTAAGAGGGAGCTCCAGCGAGCATCTCTGCAGATTACTTGGTAAATCTGTTAAATGCAACAGCACGTGTGTCACACACAGAAATCCTCAACCGAGTCGCCATTAACCACGTGACTGGTGTACAAGTCCGGTTAATCAATACACACTTCTATACTGTCCAGGTATCTCGAATAAGGTGGGGGAGGGTACCCACACTTCATCCCGCCAACCGCACGTGACCCGCCAATCCACTAACAATGCCGTAGCAGTGGGGGGGGGGGGAAGGTTAAAGACAAAGCGGTGAAACCTGAAAGCGAATAGGATGGCACAATCCATGCCTGTACATGGGACACGGACGGCATCGCAGCTGCAGCGACGACTGAACCCACGCCTGCCGTCTCACATCCCACATCCTCCCTCTTGATGCGCGGTGCTGCTGCCTCTCTTGCACTTTGCACTTCTACCGCGTCTTAGTACTGTTTGTTGTTGTAACGTTCTTACCCGGCCCTACTGGACATCTGTGAAAAAGAGCTTTACGGCTCATCGGATTCCTCCGGTATGAATACGAAACAGTTCTGATTCTGAAGGAGATTAAAAATGTTATTCCTGTGTGCTGTCCGCCCCTTGGGCCACGAGTGCCCTTCCAGCTGCCGACTCTGCCAGGGCAGGGAACAGCATCGCGCGTGTGCACTCAGCTCCTTATTTTCACGTCGATCGAGACGAGGAAGGAGGCTCGACCAATGAAAGCCGGTCCATGATTTATACCAAATGTTTACGCTTCGGCCCTCTCACTTGCCAACCCCCCCAACCCCGACAGGCCCCCCGCCCCCCCCCCCATGCTTTATGAGCAAACCACTGGAGCTATGGAATTTTAAATAATCTGGATTGAAAACTCTTTTTTTTAGATACGTACAGTGCGAAAGAAGTTCAACATACATACATACACACACGCGCGTACGATTAATTGTGACTGTCGGGTTGTGCGTTGCTTAATATCGATTCTCAGGCTCGCGATACAACTGTCACATCACACGCGGTAGAATAGACATTTATTATTTATTCAGATTTGTCGAATCCAAGAGACGACGCGACAGGTCGGCGAGGCCTTCACCCAGGAGCGGATGGAGCATGGCCGATGATGATTTGCTCTGTCTCGGAAGAGATGGCGATGGATCTGAGAGGCCTTCGTAACAGCATTCATTGATTTATTTGCAGGGCCCTCCGGGCGACGTCATCCAGCCCTTTCCGATTCAAACGCCGCGGAAGAGCCGGCGGCAGATCGACGGCATGCAGGCGGACGAGGGGGAAAACGCCGTGGACTACCCGGACGGCATGGAGGAGATCTTCGGCTCCATCAGCTCGCTCAAGCGGGAGATCGAGCTCATCAAGCACCCGACGGGCGCGCAGAGCAGCCCGGGCCGCACCTGCAAGGACCTGCAGCTCAGCCAACATGACCTCCCCGATGGTGGGGGTCGCGGTGCAATCACGCAAAGCACACCTCGCAGACCGAAACTGCCGCCCCCCCCTCCACCATCAATTATTCATAACCGAATCTCCCCCATCGGCTGTGACCGAGCGCGCGCGGTACACAAATTCAGACACGCAATGTGCGCGCCGATGAACACCGCCCAGTTCCGTCCCCACAGCGTTAACCTCGATGCATTTGTAATCTCGCTGAAACAGATTAGGCTGGACGTTAGCTCGTCTCCCAAGTCGGCTTGAAATAAAAACTAAAAGTGTCCCAGATACGAGCGTTATTTAATTTTATTTCATTTAATCCCGCACTCGTCTAAAAAATTGCTCTTTATATCTAAACCATGTTTTTTTTAAATATTAAATCAGCCCCACGGCATTTGGATGTCTGGTACATATGGAAAGATTTGAGAGTAAATGCCTCCCTTTTTTTATCGCACAATGAAATGTATCCTGACAGCAGTCGTAGGTAGTAAGATTGAGACGGCCTATGTTCTAATTCACTCGTGAATCAAATGGCTGATTTTTTTTTACCAGGTGAATACTACATCGACCCCAATCAGGGCTGCAGTGCAGACTCGTTCCGCGTTTACTGCAACTTCACGGCCGGCGGAGAGACCTGCATCTACCCTGACAAGAAATCAGAGGGGGTGAGTCAGCAGTGCTTAACTCCTTAAAGCTATCCCATAGCATCCCAGGGGGATGTCAACAACAACAACAACAAAATCCAATTCTTCACCGCGGTTGACCCGCAAAATGAGACAGTTAATTTAAGGGGGCTGCGACTTAAACGAAGTAAGGAGTTCAACAACCTCTGCGTTTGTCACGTGTTGTTCTTACAGGCCCGATTATCGGCCTGGTCCAAGGAGACGCCGGGGACCTGGTACAGCGAATACAAACGCGGCAAGCAGGTGAGAGGAGCAAGCCACAACGGCCGGTTTAGAATCAGAATATTTATTTGGATTTGTGAACATCTACACAAAATTCCTCACACCGGACACGCAAATGCTGCACTGGGAGTGCGGGCGGTTAATTTGTGAGGGAGGATATTTGACATTGTACCGGATAAGTTAATTGTACGCTGCATGAGGTTTAAAAAAAAAAATGAACAGGCAGATAATCATGATATTTATTGAGATTTGAAGGAGGCATTCCCATAAGCCGTGGAAGCTCTTTGTCACAGGCGTCCTTGTCAGGGGTACAGCGTCAGCGAGTTACGGAGAACTGACACGGGACGTGCAGAAGCGTGTTTGCTGCTTGTTGTAGAAGTTCGCGGTTCAAGTTCCCGGCCGCCCCGGTTAATACTGGCGAGCATATTTAACTATACAATAATCGGTGGCTGGGAATCAGATCCCGGGGTCACAGGCCTCGTGGTGCAGTGCGCTTTTTACAATTGCACCACCGTTTTCCATCTTCTAAGCCACTGTAGGTCCCAATGTGAGACAGAATTGAGGCAGCTGATGTTCGTTCGTGCGTTCGTTTTTCAATCCACTTGTCCTGGTGAGGGTCGCGGCAGCAGCATGTTGAGTAGGACGGTCCAGACCTCACTTTCCCTGGCGACAGACTCTAGCACTACACTACTATACACTACACTACTATACACTATACACTACTATACACTACACTACTGTACACTACACTATTATACACTATACACTACACTATTGTACACTGTACAATGCTATACACTACACTATTATACACTACACTATACACTACTCTACACTACTATTCACTACACTATTATACACTATACACTTCTATACACTGCACTACTATACACTACGATACACTATACACTACACTATAAACTACTATACACAGACTTTAGCTCTTCCAGGCTAGCCGAGCAACGCCATCCCCCCAGCGTGTCCTGGGCCGGCCCTGGGGTCTGATGTTATTAATGGTTAGTTCAAAGGGTATATTTTTACAAGCATCAAAGTGTATCCATTCCATCACATACATTCGTTGTGTGTACTTCATTTTAAAACAGTAGTCACATTAAATTATATTATACCATCCTATGCAATTTTTTAAAATGTATTGTATTTTAGCGTATTAAATTACTAATTTATCGAATGATGGATTACTCTGGTGTGCAATATTGTCTTGTTATGTTTGCGGTACATTTCACGCAGAACTGACAAATTACTGTCATCTTACCCAGCATCCAGTTGTACATAAGATGCGACTCTCGAGGGTTTATTCCGGTTTAATAAAGAATATCGAATATTTGCCCGTTTCCCCTCATACACACAGCATTCAATCACCGTGTTGCAGGCTATGTTCCTCGTACCCCTTTAATTGCACTGCTCCACTTCCAACAAAACTCCCTCCCGCCGTCTCTTTTCCAAAGTTCCCGCAGCCTTGCCAAATTCAAGAAACGTATAAAACTCCTGTCCGCTGCACTATCCCACGACGTCTCCATTTGATAGCCACACTGCATCAGAGAGGCCTTTGGGCCTAGTTATATACGCTTCATGTAAAAGCAAAGGCGCAGCCATGGAAATGCTTGCAAACACCACCACTGCTGGTGGTGGCAGGGCCTCCGATAGATGGAGCTCTGGAGAGCCTGCAGGGATCTCTCCGCAGGCCTACTCTTCCACGCCAGCTAGACATCGCGGAAGAGGTGGGAGTACCCACACCTTACGCCACCACACGCGGCGACCTGCCGATCGACTTAATCTCAGTGAAGCCATTAAGACTGCTGGGTGGAAAGAGGCGGCGGGCAATTAAGAAAACCAACCTCCAGCTAGCACGGTTGGCAACGTACGGTGCGAAAGAAGTTAAACGTACGCACACGTACGTTGTTTCAACTGCCGCGCCGGGAGATCGAATCAAATCGAACCGGCGACCTCAGTATCGCGAGTCCAGTGCGCTGACCGTTAGGCAGCGGCGGCGGCGTGTAAAGGTCGCAGGTCGCAGGCTCACCGATCAGCGTGTGCGTCCCGTGTAACCGTCTCTCGTCCGCATCGATCGCAGTTCTCCTACGTCGACCTGGACGGGCAGGGGATCGGCACAGTGCAGATGACCTTCCTGCGGCTGCTGAGCTCGGCGGCGCGCCAGAACTTCACGTACAACTGCCACCACTCGGTGGGCTGGCTGGACGAGGCAGAGGGCAGCTACGCCCGTGCGCTGCGCTTCATGGGAGCGAACGAGCAGGAGATGGAGCGAGGCGGATCGCCGCACATCCGCACACTTTACGACGGGTGCTCGGTAAGCCACCGGCCCGCGTGCGTGGTCACCCGCCCGCCCGCCCAACCCGTCCACTCTGTGAACTCACTCGGCCGCGTGTGGGCAACGTAAATTTACAAAGGTCTTCATGGTTGTCATCGTCACCTTGAAAAACATTTTTGTTGTTAATAATGATCGCAGTAATTATGTTGTACGTTTGGTATTCGCGCCATTCTTATAGCGCAGGGATATTACTCAGGCGAGACGTTTCACGGACGCATATAGTCTCGGCTACGTGTAATCACGATTGGGTAAATCACAAAAAGCAGGTATCAACATCAACATGCATTCAATAGAAAACATAAATAGGGAAGATCCATGCGAAGAATTCTGCCCACCGTGTCAACAACAAAGACAGCATCCTCCATCTGCCATTAAGTAACGCCACTCGTGCCAGGCTAGGTTCGCTTTGAAGCTATGTTAAGTGTCGAGGCTTGCTGGTAGGAGGTCACAGGGCAGACTCAGACCTTCTGGGTTGACTAAGACTGACAGATGCACCACCTGTGCTCTCCACTGTGCCACGTGACTGTGTTTAGCCACTCAGTGCTATGCTCGTTGTGAACCTTGCCCCTCTGCCCAATGTATCAGCCTACTCACCCTTAATTTACGAAGCATATAAAAATATATAAAAATAACTTAGTTGTATGTCTACATGCAAATACAAATACAGCATTATTGGCAGTATTTATGAATCCGTCAGCCTATTGGCTTTCAGACTAATATTATGAACCTGCATTTGTATAAGCAAGAAAACTATGGACAGGTTTTGTCCTTATGGGTCTCTTCAGCAGTCAGGTTTGTTAAAAATGCCGCTGGGTTACCATATGTTATTGGCAAGAGCACTCCATATCACTTAGGGACCCCTTTCAATGCAAAACGTAATGCTGTTCACAAATCGATGGTTTGCCGTGGAGCAACATGGGTATCGCACATTCAAAGGGAAGTTGTTGTTTTTTCTTGTCTCCACATACGAACAAAAATATATCACGATGTAAAGGGTCATCGTCGGCTTTCATTTATAATTCTCTGTTGACAATGAGTCTCAATGCACAACCGACATGAACACAAATAGGGAAGTGACATGACATTGATTCTGCCCGAGCTATCGGCCCACTCACCCGCAGCCTAAATTTAGAAAGGCCATCGCCAACATCATCATCATCATCACCATCACCTTTATTTCCAACGTGTACTTTACAACGAGGGTTCTCGACGTACACACCACCAGAAACAAGTTTACATGTGTCTGTGTATTAAACCAGACATGCCATATAAGAGACAGTGTATTGGATATAAAACCACTAAGGCAAATACTGTAAAACTACATAATGCGAAAGAGTACGATAATAAAATGATAATAAAATAAAATAGGGAATATCCATAAAATGCATTGCATTGAATTCAGAATCAACAATAGTTTTTTTTTTTTTGCCAAAGGGAATGGCCGTAAAGACTCATGCATAAACATTTTCCGAGCCTAATTTTAAAGGCATATTCCTTAAAATATATATACAATACATTTCAGCCGTTGGCAATGCCCTGCTGGACGAGGTTCTCCTATTCTGTGTCAGTTTGTGGGGTTTGTTCAACCATACGTCACCATGCTGGTCATTATTAGTCAGTCAAGGGACCGATTCAGATCATCACTTAAGGTTAATCATGGTCAAGAAACGAACTCAGGTTCGCCAGATTCACGGAGCGGTGCGCTAACCACTAAACAACGATGCTCATGTATTTTAATCGGATATTTATTTACACATAGGTATTATTTGGTGAGCCCCTGAGGTTTAATAAATAAACATGCTTTTGGCCCAGTTCTTTTCTCAGTCCCAAGGCACTGAGAAAAGCATTCCATCATTGTCAAGGGGGGGCTGCATAAGAGTATGTTGCTGATGGTTGTGCATGGTTTCAAGTTCTCCTCAAAGTAAATCCACAAACCGGGGCTTCTCAATCGCAGTGAGTTGATGGTCTCAGCCCAGTCGCCAATGACTGCACACAAAACAAACAATCAAAGCAGCATCCCTTCAAATTGGTTCAGGATCTAATTTGGCTAAAGTTCCAGCTCCAAAAAGTATATATCAATCTTGATTTGAAGCTTTCGCAACTGCAGGAATCCATACTATCCCACGTGAAGACGATTGCTTGTGTGACGATCGAAACGTCGTGATCTATTATGTATTCTACCTACGTGACTTTAACGAAATAACCAAAGAGTAATTAAATGTAACTTTCACTGTCACGTGACAAACATTACTCCCTGTGGCAGGGCCGTTGGGAAAGTGACATCCTCTACTACATGTGGACCAGAGGTCACTAGAAGGGATCTCATCAGAGGTGTCTCTGTGATATCCGCTTCAGCATGGTTTGCCGTGGAGGAACAGGGTTAAACTGCTCTGGCAGGTATCCAAACGAATACTTCGTCTCATGCCAGGATACCGTTTGCGCAATCGGGATGAAAAAATATAAATATTACAAAAATCTGAAATAATTTGTGCTGGACTCCCATTATTAATATTATAATTTTTTATATGTAAAATTTACCATGGGCAGAGTGCATTTCCTGTTTGCAGCCATGAGCCAATGGTGTAAATTCCATATTTCTATGGCAGGGACAAGTGCCTGTGCTTGCCACGGGGGCAAGCACTGGCTGCACTTTCCACAGCTTTCCACAGCTTGGACCTTTACTGCGTACGAGCATCAGGATAGCCACACATTAACGTATCCTGGGATTTCACTCGGACGTAGGGCAAATAACTGGCTCATTCGAAACAACAAAACGTACGAACTCAGAGGGCCAAACCACTCCCCGTACCCCCCCAACCCAACCCTCACTCCCTTCGTCGATCCTTACAGCGAGCGGGATGTAGCCCACGTGTGCGTTGTCTCACCTGGGGACGGGCCCGGCTGGCCGTGGTGGGCCATCGGTTGCCGGGCACACGCGCGTGGATAGCAAGCACTTAACAATTTACAGCCAATTAATTTGCGTAGCGGGTTTATGCGCCGTTGCGAATGCACTTACGGAGCACAATTCATTTAGCATGTTTTACGCCCGCTGATTGCCGCTCCACTCGTGCCGTCAAGAGCACACGCTCCGACGCATTGTTCCTGGGAGTTAGGCAATTGGAGGGATTGATTGCGGAGAGGGAATGCAAGTGTTGGTGCGGTGATTAGCGCACAGCGGCACGGACCCAGCGGCCCGAGTTCCAAGTTCGATTCCAGACCATGGCTAAAATTAGTGCAGGGTGATATTTGAACCAGATCTGCCCCCCCTCCACCACTCCCAACCTTCAACGCACGCTGACGAGCGTGGTGAAGTATGTTCAAACAAGCGTGGTGAAGTATGTTCAAACAACCCCCCGTGATAGACAAGACATGGCGACATGGCGACATTCATCCTGCCGTGCATTGACAAAGAGTTACATGTACATGAGGATATGTAAAGTTGGAGGTGAGACAAAGGTTCTACACCAGTGTCCGATGCTTAAGTTCGAGGCACAGTATGCCACTTAAAATGAACTTCCCCTGCCAGCCCCGCTAAGCATCGCTGAGAGGAGCGTGCTGCCATCTCGTTTCATTATTCACTGGCAATTGTTTCATCTCTGGTGCAAACAGCCAAATACAACCTGTTCCGACCTGCCCTCTCTACCTTGACTACGGTGCCAGCAAAGAAATCCACGTGTTGGCTTCGCCTGAGCCTGGCACAGCTTCGCGGTTGTGCTAACACCACTCGCTTGAGGTCAACAAAAAATCACGATGACTGAGGCTGAGCGGTATTACAGGGTGGGGCGAATCTGTGGTTTATGAGTACCTTGCTTCTGGTGGAAAAAACTAAAAAATGTTGAAGCTTGGCACTTTCTGAACATGAAGTGACAAAAGTAAAATACTTTTGTCATTACCGTCACCGCAAGTGTGAAAGAACAGCCCAGAGAAGTGGATTTGTATGCAACTGCTTCCAAAACCCCTTCAAGTGACTATTTGTGTCCGCGCACTATGCGACCCACACTTTGCCACACACCCACACACACTGCCACATGTTCATCACGTGGCAGTGAAACCCATCTCCCCCCCCCCCCCCTTTACATTTTCATAGCTCAAATTAACGAAATTCAGTCAAGAGGGAACATTTAACGCGCCTGGTTTTTGTGCAGTCGTTGGTGACCAGGATGAGACTATTCTTAGCTCTTTCGGTAAAGTCACGTTGAAGGGAAACAATAAAATAATAAAATATATATAAAACAATAAAAAATCTCACGACGTTTCGACCATAACACAAACGGTCGTCATCAGGTGTGCAAAAAACCTGATGACGACCGTTTGTGTTATGGTCGAAACGTCGTGAGAATTTTTATTGTTTTATATCTATTTTATTATTTTATTGTTTCCCTTCAACGTGACTTTACCGAAAGAGCTAATAATATAAATTACTGCAGTCACGAAAGCTTTAAATCAAAATTTCAGGATGAGACTATTAACTCGCTGCACTTGAGAACCTCGTTTTGCCACAGAGGGTTGCCCGTGTATTTTGTTACGCAGGATCTCACCAAAGTACTGGCTTCGTACTCTGACCTCTGACGCATCCTGCCCACCACTCGTGGTCTTGCGATGTACTCTCTGATGTGACCTCTTCTTCTTTTTTTATCATTTAATTTTTTCCATTCATTTCAATTGTTTTAGTTTACTTTACTAGGTATGGCCCACTGGGCAATGTAGCTCTTTATCAGAAGCGACCTGGCCACAAATGATAAGCTCAAATAAGTGGTTTATCACGTGGAAATGTATTGCAGCCAAATACTCTAAACGCATGTTTCTAAATGTGGAGGGAAAAAAACGGAGGACCCGGAGTAAAATCCATGCGACCACGGGGAGAAAAAGCAAACTCCGAATAGGCAGGCGTCTGGGTCGGGATCGAAACCACGACCACTTGTATACCAGCCGGGGTAGTTCACATCTCTCCACCGTGGCGCCCCTTTTGTTTTCCCCCGTGCCACGTGGCGCGTAAACTATTCTCTTTCCAAATGCCACAATAACTCACAATACTCACGAAAATATAATCACAGCTAACGAACACCAGAACTTATCTACTGCTTAATCACCCTCTTCGTATGCACAGCGGGTACACATATTTTCGCGCCAGCTCACAACAGCGGAATATCACCGCATTTGCATTCATCATCGTGGGGCTTTAATTCATTACTGTCCGCATCAACAAAGTGGTTGTGCACCAACATAAACCGGTGATATTACTGCAATTAGCCCGTTCGTATAATTAGCACGGTTTTTTTGTTGTAAATTAGCCCCAGAAGCGGGCAAAGTAAAAGTTACAAAAAAAAGCTACACCCTATGAATATGCATTCTTATTTTTGAAACATACGATTTTCAGTCACACCCGCGAGAGGTCAACCCTCAGATAGAGCGGTTTCATCATAAAATACTGCACTTGTGCTTTCATTCATTCTTCCCCCCACCCTTTTTCATTCCCTGCAAGGAAGGAGATCAACCCCCAGATACAGCTGTGCCATCGTCAAATACTGCACTTGTGCTTCCATTCATTCTTCCCTTCCCACCCCCTGTTTCATTCCCTGCGCGGAATGAGGTCAACCCACAGATGCAGCGGTTTCATCGTCAGATACTGCACTTGTGGCGTTCATTCGTCGGATGTGAGCAGACATTGACGGACAGCTCCTGCGCGCAAGCTAGTGTCGATCATGAACTGGCAACGCAGGCACGCATTTTGCCTTGCGGTCGGGCATTTCAACGTGGCAAAGGTCGCACTTCGCCACGAATTGCCTAAAGAATCTTGAGTGGGATCTTCGGCCCCGCACCGTAGTGTGGGGCAAATCAAGGAGGGGCGGAGGGGTTGGAAAAGCCATTGCACCCTCTTATCACAGTCAGAGGCCTTTGCAGTTGCGCGATGCTTTCATGTCGACGCTTTTTTTAAAGTGCCTCTTTCCAATATCGGCACGGTATTTTTTGTCTAGCAGCGTGGGGTACTGTAAACTTGATTATGATTTAATGACAAATCTGGCTTGCCTGCTGTCAGGCAATCTTTTGTGCAACGCTTCCCCCCCCCCCCGCTCCGCACCGGTTGCCCGACTCCCCATATCTTTATTTATTTTTTATTTCACATTAATAATCACCTTCCATTTTTTTCCCATCCCTCTGCCCTTTTTAGTAATTTAATTCATTCACCTGCAAGCCACTGAATAATGGAACGCATAAAATTACGTGGCGTTGCACATCATTTCTCCCCCCCCCCCACCCCTTCTCACGGAGCAGTTGTGCAGCGGCGAACAAAGATATGGTCGGCTCGCACAACTTGTACCCTGAATAAAAATTATCGCAGCACCCTGCAGGGGACCCACAGACGGCACACGGATGGGGGGCGGTGGCGGGACGGTTTGTTAAATTAAAATAAAAAAAAATTGTCAAATGTGTCTCAACAATGATTGCATTTGAGTCGGGCAGCAGGGAGAGAGCTGAAGACAGCAACACGTGGTCCCGCAAAGACACAATTTTTCTTGCCCCGATGCAGAAACAGCTACGATAATAGTTGATTCTCATTCCCCTTATGCTGCCCCCGACAGTCGAGAACTTCCCTTCACCCCGCGATCAACAGCCATCAATTACCTGCCCATTGTTCAATTCCACACTCAAGGCGTTTTTTGTGACCTCTGCCTATGACCGACTGCCTCTGTCTGTACACAAACAATTATAAAACAAAATCATCCCCACTGCTTCTGTACAGCGTCTCTTTAGGTGCAGTTGCAGTAATGTGAAGTATAAATACGAATTGTCTTACCATTATTTTTTGAGCTGTTCATTATAATAGTTGCTGGGAAGATTTAATTCCAACACAATGTAACGTGTAATGTCTGTCTCACATGAAATGTCTCAGTCACTGGTCTAATGCAGCATTAATAACAGAGACAGTAACTAACAATATAGCGAAATTTATTTCAAAATTTGTGTCAGATTGAGCATCGGTTCAGCACTAGAAATTGTTGTCTATCAGATGTTTACGCAAATAATATAAACGACAATGTTGCATTCCCCCACGCACGTGAATGACGTGTAACTGTTAAATAAATGGAATATTTAGAACAAATCCACTGCTGGATGAAGGCCTTCCCTGTGCCAGCCACACTGGGCAGTGCGGGTTTGTGAAGGAGGGGGTTCTCCCAGGCTGGTTCAGCTGACCATCACTCGGCATTGATGTTGGCCGTGGTGCGGAATTAAATCAGGCCGCCTAATTCATAGTGCAGTTCGCAAACCTCCGCACCACCGTTCCTATAAGGCTGACAGAAAAGAACAGAAAGTTACATTATATTTCACATTTTTTTGCATGATCACCATCAGCCTCCAAAAATTGCTTCAAATATCTTACATTGCCTTGTGATACCATGTGCAACCCTTTTGCTGGCTCTGTTTGCGGTCACATTAAAATCACGTGATGCTTTAAGAATGGCTTACGAGGCTGTGCGGTTATACATCTCTGCTTTGGCAAAATGGACCAACCTATAAATTAGGGTGCTTTCGGGACACAAATAGACACAATGGAATGCAATACAGCACAATGAAGCTACCTTGTGTAAAGATTTTCTATAAAACTTACACTTCATTAGACCTCCTTTGACAGTACCAAAATGTAATAATATGGTATTTCCCCTTTTTTTCTGGCAACAAAACTGAAACCTTTTTTTACAAGGATTCATGTCTGCATTAACCACAATACCTGCAGTCAAAATGCAAACAAAAAACATTATGATAATGTATGCATTGTCCTTGAAACTGATTGGTCCACACCAAGGAACGGCTTTCTTTTGAGCCTCGACCCAATTGGTGCTCGACCAGATGACGCCAAAAAGCGTACAGCTCAAAGACAATGCACTATCAAAGTAATGAGGGCTCGCGGTGAGCATCTACATCATTAGACCTCCTTTGCCAGTACCAAAATGGAATAATAGGGTTTTTACCCTTTTTTTCTGGCAACAAAACTTAAACCTTTTTACAAGGATTCATGTCTGCATGAATCCGTCACCTGGCGTCATCTGGTCGCAACGACATTTTTTTATTTTAAGCGCAACGGAGGTACTGTGTGTAAAGGTATACAACAAAGCACATGGGTCTTGCTGGTACGCACGCAACTCGTGGTGTATCAATTACTTTCTTCTTCCCAGCGTTTGATGAAAGTCACGATTCAATGTCGCGCTTTGCTCCAAGCATCGTATGCTTTGCATTGTTGTGAATGGTAACGCCTCTAGTTGCTGCAGGGGTAGCGTGAGCCCATTACATTCAACATGTGATCATCGTCATCGTCCACGAACTATCCACTGCTGGATGAAGGCCTCTCCAATCCGTCGCCACCTCTTTGAGACAGAGCATATGATCATGATCAGCCGTGTTCTATCTTCTACTGGGTGAAGGCCTCACCAAGCTGTCACTAACTCTCAGATTCGACATTTACGAATTGAATAAAATGTGTATTCTACCGCACGAGATTTGACAATTGTATCGCGAACCTGAGAATCGATATTAAGCAACGACTCAATGCATCTTCACAACCCCACTATCACCATTTATCATGGTAGAAAAGTATTCTGGAGCATGTGGATTTTCCCAAGAAAAATGATTCTCTTAGAGCCTTTTCACCTTGCACTACTGCGGACATCTTCCAGAAGGTGCCTGCAGTAGTGCGTGATGAAGACTTGAATGTATGTAGGCCACACACGGCCTAACCAAGAAGACCACACTGACATTGTAAGTTGCTGGGAAAACCTCTACATTCTAAATGAAACTAAACTTCTTCTTTTTTTCCAGATGAGGAGAGGTTACGAGAAGACCGTACTTGAAATTCACACGCACAAGGTGCAGCAGATGCCAATTGTGGACGTCCTGGTGAGTGACTTTGGGGATCCCCACCAGAAGTTTGGCTTTGAGGTGGGCCCAGTCTGCTTCAAGGGCTGAGGTGACCCACCCACCTGCTCCTTAGCAAGCGCCGAACACACTGAACTGTTGACCCACCAGCGACAGAAAGATTCCAAAAAAAAAACAAAAAACTAACGAGCAAATATAAAAATGTCGTTGTGCGCTGTCATCTCTCGAGGTCGAAGGGGCGAAGCAGCCGTGTGGCTTTACACTGCAGGTCGTGTCGTGGTGAGGCGGTTTCAGAGATTAACAAAACGGTGAGCGCAAGTGATTGACCACAACTGTGGGCTCTTTGTAGTGAATTAAATAGTGGCTCCGATAAATACGTACAAAAATAATCCTGTGAACAGTTCCCATGACATGCGTCTGTTTTGTTGCTGGAATTAGCACAGAGTGATATTTTCTTTTCAAAAGATGTTACAAGTAAAATCAGGCTCAACTAAAATTGCTAGGGCACGTTAAATGGACCTACCTTTGACATTCCAAAGTTAAAATAAAATCCCGAATCACGAACAGCTTCCCTGAAAGGTGACGATTTTGGTGTCTCTCCAAAAGGCATATTAGCCATAAGCAGGAAGGAGAATAGTCATTGTGACGTTGGGAAATACATTACAATGTTCTGGTCATTTTTTATGTTTTCGGTCTGTGAAACTTGTTGGTGCTTCAGTCTGTTGGGCCATGAGCTGTGGGATGTGATGTTGAGCAAGCGTTGCGGTATTTGAGCAACGTGGAAGCTGCGTTGTGTAAATGCCTCCCCCCCAACGTTAAAGGTCTCTATGACGGCCACATAGTCAGTGCCACAGTTCAATCGAACCGCTGAAATATTCGATTTTTATTAAAGCGTCCGAGCCTAATACAGTACGCATTTTTCTGGAATGATTTTTTTAATTTTATTCTTAAAGTAGCTGATATTGCAGTTTATATATCGCTTCAGTACACTTTGAAAGACATAATCTGTAATGTAATCTAAACGGCTGTTACACCAGTTTGAAACCGAATGACAAAGCTATAAAAACTTATTGGAGGGAGAGCTTTGCAATAAAGCAGGCATCGTTTGACATGGCACAATAGTTATTGCTATGCAAGCTGGGTGAAACTAATATTTTTCTCACAATGTGGTGATCTGATGTATTATAGAGCACAGTTTAGTGTGCATGGCATTTTAAAGACGATATATAATTTCTGTAAGAAGATTAACATACCATTTAAGGGAATGGCCGAACAGAGTCCTTTACACAATAATCCAGCAACTATATATAAAAAAAATATAAAGTCGTAATTTACGTTTCCAATCCGCTGTTGTGTGAAATCCTCGCCACTGACTGTTGGTCCGGAGGGGGGGGAGGGGTGGGGGGAGGGGGGTTGTTTGACCATACTTCACCATGCCGGTCAGTGCAGTGTGGTTAGGCTGGTTATAATAACCCTATCTGCCAGTGTTAGCCATGACCAGAAGTCGAACTCAGGTCACTGGGTTCAAAGCACATGCATGTATCTTTGCTGGAATATGAATAATAATAATATCACTGCAATTACTTGATCATACGCATTTTAATATTTACTGTGCATTGTATTTTAAACTCATTAAAATAAAACTTGATGGTGCTGTCTGTTCAACTGATTATCATGGTGCTCAGAAGTCTTTAATGCTTAATATTTAAAGTGTTTCATTTCGTCTAATTCTGAGCTGCATAAACCTGCATGCAATTTTTTGCTTTTAAAATAAGTGTTTTTAATAAACACTTTAGATTTATTGTTGTGCCGCCTAGCATGCATTTCCCCGTTTTTGCCATTTTTTTGTCTTTTTTTTTACATTTTTTATTACTGGTATATAAATGTGACGTGATTCGGAAAGGGTATTCTGTAAAATGTTTGTATTTTTGCAACATCGCAATGTAAACTTTGAGAACCACGAACATTGTTCTCCCATAAAGATGCTTAATCCTTTATGAAGCCAAATATCTTAAAAAAAAAAATTTGGTTTGGACTTTCGACGTGAGACCACCATCACCGATGTTTCACTGCAACAAGTGTTTCTTGTAAGCACGTTATAAAGCATTAAATTCAAACTACTTAAATAAAAACCTTTCTTCTATCAAAGATACCCGAGGTGTTTCAATTACACTCCACAGTATTTCATAGCGACTTTGGAGAACGAGGTGAGACGATGCATTTCCGTTGCGGGAAAAGTTACGTGCGTGAATTCTTCGAGATGCACGGTCTCAGACCCTATTCCACAACTTCACCGAGTGCCTCTCACCCCCCCCTGCCCGCACCTTCGCCCGGCTGAACATCGTGCTCCAACGTGGCGCGTGATAAGTTATGCTCGAACGGGCGTGTTTCGCAAAGTCGGATTAAGCATCTTTAAGCAGTTGTCTTCCACTTTTGGAGATTAAAAGGGGGTCCACTTTTTTTTTTGGTTGGTGTCAGGTGAGCAATACGTGTAATCTGTGACTTTTGGAGTTGTGAACCCAATAAAATGGAATTTACATTTATAACCATCCTCGCTATACTTTTAATTCATCTAATCAACAAAAAAAGGTTTTAAATGTCATTAATGGGTGGAATTTAATTGATAATGTCACCCAAAATAGGAGGGAATGCTGCCCGTGATCTGACAGTCAGCGCACTGGACTGACAATCTAGAGGTCGCGGGTTCAGTTCGATCTCTCAGCACGGCAGTTGCAACAATTGGCACAAGTTTCTTCAATCCTCCACCGCCTCTGGCCCACCTGGCAGTGTCAATCGGCAGTTTGACTGTGGTGGGGTAAAGTGGGGGAACTCCGACCTCTTCCAAGATTTCTGGCCAGCATGGAAGAGTAGGCTAAAAACACCCTCTATAACAGGGCCACGTTACGGCTCCCCACTTTCGTTGGTCCCTTCTACCAGCAGTGGTGTGAGAACAGAAGTCGCAGGTCTGCACCTTTACCAAAGATAATATAATCTGCAGTGAAAATATTTCATGCATAGCATCAATCCTGGCTTTTTTTTCAAAGACCGTGGTTATTTTTTTTTGTATCAATTAGAAAGCAATGGAAAGTAAAAGCCACCCATATTATGATTACTATTACAATACTTGTTATTTTACATTGTATTACTGTTACTGCGGTTTCTGGATGGAACTAAAATAATAACAACAAAAATAAGTTTCAAGTCGATAATATAATTTCACCTTAACGGCGGTGTAGGGGGAAAAAAAGGAAAAAAATGCAATGCTGGCATTTTTCATCATGAACATGGTGCATGCTCTATTGATTTGAAGCATGTATTTTATTATTATTAAAAAGATGCACTGCGTGCTTGTCTGGCTTCCCTAGTTGGTCGTGGCGTGCGCTTCAAATCTTATTTGTCCTGGCCGAGAGCCCTGGGTTTCTCAGACATTTGTTTTGTGAGGTGGTTCTCTACACGCCTCCAGTGAATGTGCCGACGAAGGGCCAAGGGTAGCACGTGGTTGGAACCGTTGCACCAAAACGTTGGCCCGTCGTTTCATTTCTCCTGGGTTCATGGTCGTCGCTGAGGAATTCTATCTCTTGACAATGGTGCTCGCCAAACAAGGCGAGGGCACAGCCCTGCGATCACACGCTCACTCCACCGTCCACCGTGCCGTTGAAGCGCAGCTAAGTTGAGTTCGCAATGGAGTTGCAAGGGAATCGCCTTCAAAATAATTGATTCTTGCAGGAATTGTCCATGGTGTAAGACTGTAAGTCCTGGGAATCAATTACAATTCCTGCAGAAATCTCCCGGCTGTAATATCCGCGATACGTTATTTCGACCGCATTGCCACAGCTTGCCATGATCATTAAAGCTTTGTCTATGGAATTCAGATGAGAATTTTAATCACTTATCTACAATCCGCAGATTGTGCTCGCGTATTCTTTTCTTCATAATCCCGTTACGAAATACGTTACATGAACGTAACAGGTTTTGCTTTGTGCTTTGCTTTGTTTCTCCGAGTTTTTCCCCCCATGTAATTGATTTTTCACTATACAAGAGATATGCTTTCAGTCAAACCATTTCATGAAGATACCGTAGTGCTCTGGGCCCAAAGGAGCACCAAATGAGATGAAATGTTGTGCAATATATTCCTGAATTTGTCCTGCAAGCAACCTTGACAATTCCTGTGCAAATGCATCACCATCTTGACGGAGCTTCCTCATCATCATCATGAAAGCCTCACCAAGCCGTTGCCATCGCCCACAGTCTCGCAATGCAACAATGCATCTAAGCACCTGCACAACGATTCGACTTCATCGCTCCGTCTCCGTGGTGTACGACCTTGTGGGTGTATTCTCTCCGGGCGCTGCCGCTCAGTTAGAATTCTTCACCATCGGCCATTGTCCATTTGAGATAGATGTCCTGCACAAGCGCACCCACTTTTCTCAAGCGAATATGTTTATCTTCCTGTTCAACAAACACGGATCTATAGCAGACCACAGTATTGGTTTCATTGTCGGGGAAGCTGCCATAGCGGGGTGGTTAGCACACGAGACTTGCAATGGAGAGGTAATGCATTTGATTTCCCGGGCTAGGCAGTCGAAACAATGCGCACTTTTTTTTGTAATCCCCCCATATGTTTCCTACCCAGCAGTGTAAAATTATTTTACCGCAGTCAATTGCCATGTAGCGTGTATGTATGTTCAAATTATAATCGGCGGTGCGGGGGAAGGACAACAAACTAAAGACAAAAAAACAGTTCTGCAAAAATGAGTTTTCAATATAGATTAAAACGTGCATATATATCTCCAGTGGCTTCCTAATATTGGAAGAGCGTTCCAGACGGCTGCTGAAGCCCATCTCAAAGCATGCGATGCAGTGACCGTGCTGGGGTGAAATGTGGGTACTCCTACCTCTCCAAGAGGTCTGGCCAGCCCATAAGAATAGGCCAAATGCCCCTCTAGAGAGGCCCTCTGTCGGAGGCTCTTCCGCCATGGGTCGCGTGAGCAAGCAAATGCAGCGCTGCGCCTTTGCCACTACCCTTTACCGTTCCCATCGGTCGCCGCGATGCATTGACGATTCAGGTTATTGTTTCTCTACGTGCTGAGAAGGTGGCAATAATGTGCTCAGCCCGTCGAAGGTTATCGTGGACTGTTGACGTTTGAGGCCCCCTGGTAAGGTCACACTGCAGCTGCCCGTGCTGCTGACCTGTCACCGCCCCAGGTGTGACGCGAATCATCCCACTCCTGAGAAAAGCCCACCCTCCTTGAAGTCCAGCAGCACAAGCCTTATCCCTGAATCGCTAGGGAGAGCGCGATTTATTTAAACTCTGCCTCGGGCTGAATTTATATCATACGGCACACACATCTGGCAGCCGGTCACACTGTGTACAATGTCTTTCCCTCAAAAATTTTATTGGTGCATTTACCCAATTTTTTTCTGCCAGAGTGTAATGGTAAGCACGCTGGATCTGCAATCCGGAGGTCGCTGGTGTTATTCAACCTACCGTTGGAGCACTTGAAGCAACGGTGCAATGTTCTTCTTTCTGTTTGAACCCATGTCCACCCAGCAGTATAAATGGGTACACCACAGTCAATCGTTTGCGGTGGTTTAAAGTGCGGGTACTGCAAAGATGTGTGACCAAGTGTGGGCCAAAATCTAACCGTAACCACTTATAGAGGGGCTCTCTAACACATTCCTGCGGAGGGAGCTGGGAGGAACGTTGGGTTGCTCGGTCAATGGCCAGGGTCAACGGCGGCGTGGTGTATTCCGCAAATATGCCCGACTGTGAGGGCGGGCACAAGCCGGCGTGAGTAGGTTAAACGTTGAGTTTTATAAGGGCACCACGGGGTGACCAGCCCCTCCCCACCCAGCCCCACCCCTCCCACCCCCCACACAGCCCCACCCTCCCCACCCCCCACCCAGCCCCACCCTCCCCACTCAGCCCATCCCCACCCTCCCCACCCTCCCCAGCCCCTCCCCACCCTCCCCTCCCTACCCAGCCCCTCCCCACCCTCCCCTCTCCACCCAGCCCCATCCCTCCCATTTTATCCGGGTGTACGGATACACGTGGACAGATATCCACAGACATACACAATTAATCCCCTGCCTCCTGTGAATTCATCCCGGTTGGGCTTCCGGTCCACTACGTTTCCTACCAGTATAGTTCCATCTTGTGGAGGCCCTTCTGCCAGCATTGGCACTGGCACTGTCACTCAAAGTGGCATGAGCAAGGGCTGCACCTTCACACCTTATGATTTTTTTCAAGTAGAATTTGT